GATGATAATAATAATAATCCTTGCGCCTGAGCACGTCTTCGAGATGTCTCAAAGCGCTTCACGGGATATACTGCAAAGTGTAGTGACTGTATAGTTTGTGGGCGAAACGCTAAAGACAATCGCGCACAGCAGCGTCCCGACAAACAGTTGTGGACTGAAGTGACCAATTTATTATTATTATTATCATCTGTTAAAAAAAAAAGAACGTCATCCAGTCTGGAAACGTCCTTGGTGAACTCTGTGACCGATGGCCGGGGTAATGCGGTGCCAATTGGGCTGCATGAAGCAATGGCAGTAGACATTTGTGTAAGTTGCAGCAGGGTGGTTCAACTGGCGGCCCGCGGGCCAAATCCGGCCCCCCACCCCCACATTCCTCCCTCCATTCCCCGTCAATGTCACGTGACATTTCTGGAAGGGAAACCCCAAATTATTGCTGAGTGTCTCGTGGCCGTTCCTTAAATAGCCAAAAGTTCCTCTCAAAATAAAAAATTCTCAACAGCCGAAAAGGTTGGACGACCCTGAGCTGGGGTGGGGGGCAGGGGGCGGGGGGGGGGGGGGGGGGGGGCGAGGAAACTGGTCGCGGGGAGAGTCGGTGTGGTTTAAACCGAGAATGGTGGTTCTAACAGGCTCTTCGTTGGTTTTGGCGCCCAGTTTGTGGACCTCTCGGCTTCATAATGTGTCTCCACGGCTTGTCACTCTTGCCAGACCCACTGTTGACTTGACCCAATCGAACGGTACAAGGGTTCGAGTGTTGGCAGGGTTGCTGTGTATGTGCCGCCTGTTCTCGGCTGCAAGGCCACACCAGTTATCTGTGCCCGTGTCACGTCTACCACAGGCTGGAACCGTCTAACCCGTAGGGTAGTGGTTGGAGCCCTCGCCTCGCAAGCGAGAGGGCCCGGGTTCGATTCCCGGGCGGGCAGAGTCAGGGCGAAATGACGTCTCGACCACATAATAAGGTGCTAGATTGGGTTGGGGAGAGGGTGGGTGGGGGGGGAGAAACAGTTGGCCATTTTGCCAAGTATATCTCACCCGAGACATTACCAATGAAGTCTCTCCAGCAGCCATCCTCCTCAGCCGACACTGGACATAGCACTGTGAGATATATTCACATCAAATACAAGGATTATTAGTATTATAATTATCATTATTATTACTTGGGATCCTGTCGGAGTGACATGGGCATGTTATACCAGTGGTGGCAAGGCTGCGGAGAACAGGCGTCACTCTACTACTAGTTTCCTAGTTTTTTTTATGTGTAATTTAAAAAAAAATAATGATTATTATTATTATTATTTTGCCTGTGGATTTGAAAAGCTTCCGATTGAAATGAATTGCTTCACTGAGTTGACATGTTACATACAGATCTCATTAACTTCCCTTTCAGGAGTCCTGGGACATCAATTTGCCTTTGGATCCGGGTTCAATAGCTACTGTAGACAGGTGGAATTGAGCATGCTTTAGTGTTTCCTCTTGACTGAAGGTGAACTAACCAAAAAGTTCCTGACCTCTCTTTCTCTCTCTCTCTCTCTCTCTCTCTCTCTTTCTCTCTCTCGCTCTCGACCAATTTACTGTCTCATTCCTTTCCTCTTAGAACAGATTACCTTCCTTGTTGTGTAGTGTAGTGTGTGAAGTGTATACCAATCGCATCATAAACTCCTCGATAGACTTTTCCTTCCTGGTAGAGGGCTTTGAATGGTTTTGGCCTGTCTTTTTTTAGCTTCTTCCTGTCTCTCCGTTTAAAAACAAGAGTCTCTCTCTCTCTCTTAGAAACGTCTTTTAGAAATAAACAAAACGAGTTTAGCAGATTGATTCCAGTTGTGAAAAGCAACTTGTATTAATTGCTCCCTCTCTGTCTCTTGAGTACCAAAGACACATGTTGATGAGTCAAATTTTGGGGGGATATTCCCTATTGCATTGGATAGGGATGGGGTAAGGATGGGATTTGCTGTGTTATTTTGGCCAATGTTCAAAATTTACATTTGATTCCCGGGCGGGACAGGACGAAACCTTAGGCAAGTTTCCTTACTTGCTGCACACAAACCCACGCCTCTGTTTACCCGGCAGTAAGTGGGAACCCGCTCGTTAGTCGATTGGTGGATCGCTTTTCCGGGAGCTAATAATCCCTCCCAATTAATAATAATTTGGTCACCCAATCCACGACTGCTTGTGTGCCTCGCACGCTGCTGGGCGCAATTGGCTGCTGCGTTTCGCCCCACAAAATACACAGTGTATCCCGTGAAGCGCTTTGAGACGTCTCGAAGACGTGATCAGGCGCTGTGTCAAATGCAAGGATTATTATTATTGTCGTCGTCGTTATTATTTGCCAAACACTAGAATCAACAGTGTTACCTCTGGTGCTCATAGCAGTTGGAATGCACATCAAGTGGACATGTGTTCCTCCATCCTGTGTGTGTTGATATGATCAAGTGTCTTTTTTTTCGGGGGGTGGAGGTGGGTGGGGGGGGGGGGGGTGGGAGGAGGGGGATTAAGGGCAAACATATGTGTTATTACCTGAATCTGAGCAGGAGTGTTTTTGCAGCAAAATGGGTCAAGGGCAGATTCTGGCTTCTCTACTCTGCACGTGAGTCAAACATGCGGTTACAGCTATACCATCTGACGTGTTTATTTAGCCTTTAAGCTGCTGGGAGAAATTTCCATCCAGACCTACGTTTACTCCGTCTGCCTCGCCTTTCTCAACCTCCAGAATTTTGGAGCCCCCCCCTCCCCCCCCACCAGCTCAGGGGTTACAGCCCTCGCCTCGCCAGCGAGAGGACCCGGGTTCGATTCCCCAGCGGGTCAGGTCGGGACGAAACCTTAGGCAAGTTTCCTTCCTTCCTCACCCCCCACACACACGCACACACACACACACGCACACACACACACACAAGCCCACGGAGGAACTTTCAAATCAAGGCTAAGTATTAGGGTTTTCCTCAATTCTGAATGATCTGGAATTTGAAGACGATGAGCTCCTCGAACACACTTTTCCAGGGGGTAAGAATCCCTTCCAAGACAAAATAAGAAGAATTTGCTCACTCAATCCACGACTGTTTGTGTGAGCAATTGGCAAACAATGCAGTCAATCCACTTTACAATATATTCTGTGAAGCCCTTTGAGGTGTTTCCTTACTCCACACACACACACACACACACACACACACACGCGCGCGCACGTCTCTGTTTACCCAGCAGCAGTAGGTTGTTAGTCGATGGGCGGATCGCTTTCCGGGGGTAAATAATCCCTCCAAAAATTAGATGAATCAGCAAATAAATAAGTTGGTCACTCAATCCACGACTGCGCACAATTAATTGGCTGCCGCGTTTCGCCCACAAAGTACACAGTCGATTCGCTTTACAGTATGTCCTGTGAGGCGCTTTGAGATGTTTCGAAGACGTGATAAGGGGCTGTATCAAATGCAAGGATTATTATGATTATTATTAATAATAATATTGACTTAGAAAGCTTGCAGACTGGAAGCTAGTGACTCCTCTTGACGCTCTTCCTCCCGAGGTCGAGTCTGATACACAGCACAGATTTACTTGTATTCTTTTTTGTAGGTACCTATGTATGTATGGCTTAATTTTCTGGGCTTTTTCTCTCTCCCTCACGTCGATCGGATCCTCACACAGTAAAGGGTAAGGTTTGCGCTGATCAATGTGTGGTTTTTTTTTCCAACAGGTTTCCTAAACCCTCTAACCCAAACCCAACTCCCAAATCTCAACCCCCCCCCCTGACCCCAACCCCACAACCCAACTTTTTAATAGTGTGTCTGTGTGTCTGTGACCCTTTTCTTCCTTCTTTCAATCTTGTTTCCTTTTTTAATTTGTTTTTTTTATTTTTACTATTATATTATATTCTTATTGCCTCTCTACTTTTTTCAACCATGCATTTCCTCCTCTAGGTCACTTGCGAATGTCACCACAAGCCAAAGGGGGAGAAGGGAGTACGGAGGTGAACTCAAGTCCCTCCTTCGCCCCTTTTGGGATCCAACTTTGGCTTTCATCGGTTTTAATAAAAAAAATAGGGCCTTTTTTTCTAACCGTTGTTGGAAACTCTGCTTGTTTTTTTGTTTCCGTATAGGTCTCCCTAGTCAGCCTCATAGCTAATGCCCTGGGATATTCCGAACTAGGTGCCATTAAATCCCTTAGGACATTAAGAGCGTTGAGACCTCTCAGAGCCCTATCACGATTTGAAGGGATGAGGGTAAGACCTGATAAGCAGCCAACAATCTTATCTGCATGTCTATGAGGAACTGAGCATGCTCAAATTGATTAACGCGTGGGGTAGTGGGGGGGGTGGGGGGCGCGGAGAGGGGGAGAGGGGGCGAGAGGTGGTTGGGGGTGGGGGGGGGAGAGGAATGGGGGAATGGGGAGATTAATCTTTTACACAGCTGCTAAAATCAGTCCCTCTCCCTCTTGGCTATCCCCCTCCCAACCCCCCCCCCCACCCCCAACCCCACCACCACCACCGCCACCTGCACCCTCTCCTAATCGGGAGAATACATGAGGCTGTGTCATTACATTAGATTGGCCCACGAGTACATAGAACATCAGCTGAATCATTTTCGGCCTGGCTTTCCTTTAATGTTTTCAAAGGGATCTCCTCGCTCAACTTCCACCGAGAATCACCAGGTACAAAGAGCTTCCAATGGCGCACATTGTCAATCTTCCCCTGGGGGAGGGAGGGCGGGGGGTTGGGGCCAGTGGGGGTTTGGGGGTTAAAGAAAAAGCCACGTAAAACATTGGCTCAATTTGCAATCTCGGCGCGATTCTTTCCTCTCTCTATCTCTCTCTTCTCTCTCTCGCTCTCTCTCTCTCTCTCTCTCTCTCTCTCGAGCACGTCCCCTAATTAAACCCCCCCCACCCACCAGCCACCCAAAAAAAACGCGAGGGAATTATTATTTCGATGCCAAGAATCTCCGCCGTCCATTGGGCTCACCTTGTACCTGATTATTCTCAACTCAGTCTGGTTGAGACTGAGATAGGCTTGTCTTGCTAGCTTTCCCTTCCACTCTCCTATCCTCTCCCCTCCCTTATACATATGCTCTCTCTTAACCCCCAACCCCATCCCCAACCCAAACCCCCCCACCTCCCCCCCCCCACTCCTTCCCACCCCCCCACCCCCCACCCTGTCTTGTCACTGTTTAAGGATACAGTCACAATCATGTATTGTGTGCTGATGATGGGTTTGATGACATTGTAATTAATTTTTTGGGGGGTGAGGGGGTCGACTGGGCAGTGGGGTGGGGTGGAGGGGGGTGTCTCCGACACACGCGGAAACCCATAACCGTTATTTAAGAGTCTCCAAACCCAACTGAGAATTCCAGGCCTCCCGTCTTTCACATGGAAACCCCAGAGATAGATTGTCGGGATGCAATGCTGTTGATTCCATGAAATCCATCGAGCCTCAAACCCACCTGCACTGATAAGGATAGATCGTACTGTTGCCCCCTACCCTGCAAGCCAAAGCCCTAGGGTGGTCCTTGCTGGCCGAGCAGCGGGAAAGCTGGCCAGGCAGCGATATCAGTGGATAAGTGCGGTTTTAGCTGGTTACCCAACGCACGCTCTAGGCTCTCTCCCACCATCGCAAACCCCCAAGCCTTAGCTCTTGCCAATTAGGGAAGCAGGATGTGTCCCTCCAGGGAGAGCGCGAGAGAGAGAGATTGCCAGATATTGGGAAATTTCCATGTGTGGTGACATAAATATGTTGGACTTTCAGTTTGGTTCGGATACTCTTAAGCGCGGTGATGGGTTTCCGCATGTGTCAAGGGACCCAGTTGACTTGAATAGAAGTCTTGCAATTCTGTTGGTAATTTGAGGGAAGAAGATTTGGGAAGAAATTGAGTGTGAGACTGTGTGGAATTTTTATCCATTGTCTTGAGAATTCTTTGGGGCTTTTTTGAGGGGAGGAGGGTGGGATTGGGGGTGGGGGGAAGAGAACACAGAGCAGATATCTCGAGCTCGTTTGTTTTCATTTGAAAAAATTCAATCGGGGGGGGTGGGCGGTGGCGGGGTGGTGTGGGGGGGAAATTAGGCAGAGACACAAAGTCAAGTCCTCTTTGAGAAACTGGTGTGACATCAAATCCATCAGTGGAAATGCTTTGATTATTCTCATTTTTGCTTATTATTGATGATTAATTTGGGTCGACGCAAATCATCTTTGTTCTGCATATCCGGCGAGGTTTCAATCTAAGGAGATTTGAGCTTTTGGGGGGAGGTCGGGGGTAGGGGGTGTGAGTTGAGATATGAGGGTATGACATTAGTGGAGTCCTGTAGCTTAGTGGTTAGAGCACTCGCCTCGCAAGCGAGAGGACCCGGCTTTGATTCCTTCCCAGACCGGGCAAAACACTGGGCAAGTTTCCGTACTTCACACGCGCGCACACAACACACACACACCTCCGTTTACCCGCAGTGAGTAGGAATCCGGTTGTTACTCGATTGGTGGGTCTTTTTTCCGGGGGTAATAATCCCTTCCAAAAAAATAAAAATAATAAATTGGTCACTCAATCCACGACCGTTTGTGGGACGTTCGTGGGGAAAGAAAAACGGTCGGGGACATACTTCCTCGCCACACACGCCCAGCTCGCTAGGCTCGGGAAATCTAGAGAGAGGGAAATTTGGGCAGATGGTAGAGTAGAATCCGAGAATCTTACAGCACAGAAGGAGGCCATTCGGCCCATCATTCCTGTGCCGGCTCTTTGAAAGAGCCACCAACTGGTCCCACTCACTCCCCCGCTCTCACCCCCAAAGGGCTGCACTTGATTCCTTTCCAAATCCTTATCCAATTCCGTTTTGAAACCTACCATCGAATCTGCTCCCACCAGCCTTTCAGGCCGTGCGTTCAAGCCCGTAACAACTCTCTGGGCAAAAAAAAAATATCTCCTCGTCTGGTCTCCCCTCTGGTTCCTTTGCCGATTATCTGAAGCTGAAATAAAGCCCCACTACCCAACTAAATTTTAACACCCTCCCAGCTGAAAGTGAGCGGGTAGTGTGCGTGTGTGTGTGTGTGCGTGTGGGTGGTGGGGCGATGGGGGGAGAGGGAGGGAGGGAGGGAGGAGCCATATCACGAGAGGAAAAAAAAATTGGTCGATAGTTGAGCTCAGAGCTGTGCTTATAGCAGATGGCCCAAGCGATATGCATTGCAAAGAACTTGAAAAAAAAGTCTTCAAGTTTGCCCGGAATCCAACGGTAAAGTCTAATCGCTGCTGATGGTTTGCATGTCCACGTACCGTCAGGTTCTGCGCTTCTGACCGGCCTGCGAGCAATGCATGTTTGAGCTTGTTATATACTCTGTTGCTGAAGCCCCTGTCCCCTCGCGGGTCAAAAGTCTTGTGCGTAAATTGTGCCAGGGTTTAAGTTGAGCAAAGACACACGACTGCTTTCCCCCACCCCACACCCCACCCCGTCCCCACCCACCCACCCACCCACCAACCCGGTCAACGTTTCTTGTGCAGGGCGGAGTGATGGCATTTATGTCACTGCGCGTTTGCATTCTGGCACGCTTCGCCCCGCAACGTACTCAGTCACCGCAGTTTACAGTCCCTCCTGTGAAGCACTTTGGGACGTCTCGACGATGTGATGAGGCGCTGTATCAAATGCTGAGTTAATTCATTAATTAATGAATGAATTAAGTCATTCATTCATTAAGAAAAATCGAGCACTCAAGCCACGACTGTCTGTGGGGACGCCGCTGGGCGCCAGCGGCTGCCGCGTTTCGCCCACCAAACACACAGTCACTACACTTGACAGAGCACGGAACGCTTTCGAGACGGCCCAAATGAACAAAGTTCCTTTTGTTTTTTTTTCACAAAACGATTTTTTTTTGTTGTAATCCAAAAAGTCTCCCAACAAGTTAATGCATAACATGATGTCCGTGGGTTTAATTAGCCCAACAGCAGCTTAAACCCTGGTGTGAAATCGTTAGTGAATTAGATAGTAGTTAGTTGGTTATCTGCTTAGTTTGTTTGCCCTATTCAGGGACTTTTAAAGGGTTTCAAATTGTATGTTTTTTTTACTGTTTTCTTTTTCTGCATTGATATAGGTTGTTGTCAACGCATTGGTTGGTGCTATCCCTTCCATTATGAATGTGCTACTGGTCTGTCTCATATTCTGGCTAATTTTCAGTATAATGGGAGTCAACCTATTTGCTGGGAAGTATTATTTCTGTTTTAACGAAACGTCAGAGTACAGATTTCTCCCCCCAGAGGTCAACAACTTCTCGGAGTGCGACAGTCTGATCAAACAGAATTTCACTGATATTCGGTGGAAAAACGTCAAGATCAACTTTGACAATGTCGGTGCTGGATATTTAGCTCTACTTCAAGTGGTGAGTTCCCTCCGCCTTTGTCCTTCCCTCTCCCATCCTACGACCCTTGAGTCTTACAGCGCAGGAGGAGGCCATTTAGCCCATCGTGCTTGGCCATCCTGGCTCGCTGCTGTCCAACTATTCTGCAGTTCGGCGGAAGTCCCCGTAGCTTAGAGCGCTCGCCTCGCAAGCGAGAGGACCTGGGTTCGATTCCTGGGCGGGTCAGGGAGAAACGTTGGGCAAGTTTCCTTACTCCACACCTAGCAGTGAGTAGGAACCCGGTTGTTAGTCGATTAGCGGATCGCTTTCTGGAGGTAATAATCCCTTAATATCAAATATTAATTGGTCACTCAATCCCCGATCTGCGTGCAATTGGCTGCCGTGATTTCGCCCACAGTCACTGCACTTCACAGTATATTCCGTGAAGCGCTTGGAGATGTCTCAACGACCTAATAAGACCTTATATCAAACGGAAAGGATTATTATTATTGTTGTTGTCGATGTGGGTGCGATGGGATTCGTTGTATCATCAACCCAAACACAACCCTTTGCTCAGTGCTTTACCCGGCCTCGCGTTTTCCTGTTTCTAGGCTACTTTCAAAGGTTGGATGGATATCATGTATGCGGCTGTTGACTCGCGAGAGGTAAGAGCAGCAAAAGTGGTTAGAGCGCTCACCTCGCGAGCGAGAGGACCCGGGTTCGATTCCCGGCAGCGCGAAACGTTGGGCAAGTTTCCTTACTCCACCCACACGCGCCTCTGGTTTCCGAGCGGTAAGTAGGAATCCGGTTTGTTAGTCGATCGTCCGATCGCTTTTCCGGGGTAATAATCCCTTCAAAAAAAAAGCTAACAGTAATTTGCTCGCTCAATCCACGGCTGTTTGTGGGGGGCGCGCTGCTGTGCGCAATCGGCTGCCGCGTCGCGCCCACAAAATACACAGTCACTACACTTTACAGTCTATTCTGTGAAGCGCTTTGAAAGCTCTCCTGATGTGAAAGATGCCGTTATTTAAACGGATTGATTGTCATAGTTATGATAACAATGATGGATGCGCTTCTTATAATAATTATAAATATGGTAATAGGTTTTATAATTATTATTATTATGATGTGTTTTTCCCACACAATACAGTCACCTGTAAATCCTGTGAAGCACTTTGACGTGGTACAAGAAAAAATTACGTGTGTGTAGTAGTGCCTTTCATGTCAGGAGGATGTCCGCAAGTCGCTGAAAGGCGCTATATCAAATGTGCGGATTATTATCATATAACGGTTCTTGTGTTCAAAGAACAACTGTGTCCTAATTTCTGTGTTTTGTGTCTTTCAATCATTTTCCAGGTTGGAGAACAACCGGTGTATGAGATCAGCATCTATTACTATATTTATTTTGTCATCTTCATTATCTTCGGATCATTCTTCACACTGAACCTCTTCATTGGTGTCATCATTGACAACTTCAATCAGCAAAAGAAAAAGATAAGTGTTCCCCCCCCCCCCCCTCCCCCCCCCGTCCTCCTCCCCTTCTATAAAACAGCCGGGATTGTGACCGTAAGTTAAGGGAGGAGTAAAATACTGCGGAACACTCGCTGGGAACACTCAGCAGGTCAGACAGCATCTATGGAGAGAGGAAAGTGGGTTAGAAAGTGGACTGAAAGACCTTCCTCGTTGATCGTGTCTTCGGCCACCCTCCCATGCCCAGCCCCACCGTCCCCCCCCCCCCCCCCGCCCCTCTCCCCTTCTGACCCCAACTTTACAGTATAGTCTGCGAAGCGCTTTGAGATGTCTCGACGACGGGATAAGGCGTGGAATCAAAATGCAAGGATTATTTTATTGTGATTTTGATGAGCTGAGATTGAATGTGCGCCAATTCCAGAGGTTGTAACCATTTTGGTTTCTTTCTGCCTTTACTTTGGAGGTCAGGATATCTTCATGACTGAAGAGCAGAAGAAATATTACAACGCCATGAAAAAGCTAGGATCCAAAAAGCCTCAGAAACCCATTCCCAGGCCTCTGGTAAGGAAAATGTGTGTCAGTCAGGATGTTGTGGGTTCAAACCCCCACATTGGGAATCAATCAATCACTTAAACAAACAATTGATTGATCAATCAATTGATCAATCAACCAATCACATGATCAATCGATCGATCAACCAACCAACTACAGCACTTCTCCACGTTCTCAAACCTCTCCGGTGTTCTCTGCAGAACCCAATCCAAGGCGGAGTCTTTGACTTTGTGACCCAGCAAGCCTTTGACATCGTCATCATGATCCTGATCTGCCTGAACATGGTAACCATGATGGTGGAGACGGACGACCAGAGCGAGGAGACCGACAACATCCTGTACTGGATCAACTTCATCTTCATCGTCTCCTTCACCAGCGAGTGCGTGCTCAAGGTCTTCGCTCTGAGGCACTATTACTTCACCATCGGTTGGAACATCTTTGACTTTGTTGTGGTTATCCTTTCCATCGTGGGTGAGTGCAGCTCTCTGTTATACCTTTTTTCCAATGACGACAACGATGGGACATTTACATGGCACCTGCCTTTTATGTCAGGAGGACATCCCAAGGTGTTGGACTAGACAGTCAGGGATTTGGACCCGAGTTGAGGCTTGGGATTCAGGAGAGGGATGGTGGAGGGCAGGATGGGTAGGGGTAGGGGGTTAGGAGGGTGACCGAAGGCACGGTCGAAGAAGAGGGTCTTGAAACAGGCCTTGAAGGAGGCGAGGGAGTGAGGGGGGTAAGCCAGAGTGACTATAGGATGGAGTTCCAAAGGATGGGGAGTAGAGAGGCTCAAGGCCTAGACTGGATGTTATCAATGGCAAGGTTTTAGCTGGTTAGACTCTAGCAGTTACCCCCAACGCACACTCTGGGCTCCCCCCCCCGAGCCGTGGCTCTGGCCAACCTGCGCCTAATACTCTGGGGGGGGGCGTCCCTCCAGGGAGAGAGAGAGAGAGAGAGAGAATTTCATTCCAACAATCTATCCTCTGGGATTTCCAGGTGTGGAATTCTCAGTTGGGTTTGGAGACTCTTAAGCACGGTGCACTGGCCAACCAATCGTGCAGCACAGGAGGACATTCATTCAGCCCATCGTTCCTGTGACGTCTCTTTGAAAGAACTGCCTACTAGTCCCACTCACTCGCCCCCGCTCTTACCCCAAAGCCCTGCGCATTTTTCCTTATCAAACCCCTCTACAATTGCCCTATGGAATCTGCTTCCAACCGCACTTTCAGGCAGTGCCTTCCAGACGGTAACAAGTAACTCTCTGGGTTAGAAACGCAACGAAATGTCCTCCCGGCGTACGGGGAACACTGCATCGAACGCAAAGATAATAATCCATTTCCTTTCGATCCATTCGCAACGTGCAATTAACACTTGTGCCGTGTCTCTACAGGAATGTTTCTGGCGGAGCTGATCGAGAAATACTTTGTGTCGCCAACCCTCTTCCGAGTCATCCGACTGGCCCGGATTGGCCGGATTTTGCGTCTGATCAAATCGGCCAAAGGGATCCGAACACTCTTGTTTGCGCTGATGATGTCCTTGCCCGCCTTGTTCAACATCGGGCTGCTGTTGTTCCTGGTCATGTTCATCTTCTCCATCTTCGGGATGTCCAACTTCGCCTACGTGAAGAAAGAGGCGGGCATCGACGACATGTTCAACTTTGAGACCTTCGGAAACAGCATGATCTGCCTGTTCCAGGTCACCACCTCCGCCGGCTGGGACGGTTTGCTCCTCCCGATCCTCAACCGACCCCCGGATTGCGACAAAGACAAGGACAATCCTGGCTCGGCGGTCAAGGGCAACTGCGGAAACCCTTCGGTGGGCATCTTCTTCTTTGTCAGCTACATCATCATCTCCTTTCTGATCGTGGTGAACATGTACATCGCCATCATCCTGGAGAACTTCAGCGTGGCCACAGAGGAGAGCGCCGAGCCCTTGAGCGAGGACGACTTCGAGACCTTCTACGAGATCTGGGAGAAGTTCGACCCGGACGCCACCCAGTTCATCGACTACAGCAAGCTGTCCGACTTTGCCGACACTTTGGAGGCCCCCCTGCGGGTGCCCAAACCCAACCACATTGAACTGATCGCCATGGACTTGCCCATGGTGAGCGGCGACCGGATTCACTGCCTGGACATCTTGTTCGCCTTCACCAAGAGGGTTCTGGGCGAGAGCGGGGAGATGGACGTGTTGAGGCAACAGATGGAAGAGCGTTTTGTGGCTTCCAACCCCTCCAAGATCTCGTACGAGCCCATCACCACCACGCTGCGTCGCAAGCATGAAGACGTGTGCGCGGTGATCATCCAGAGGGCTTACCGGGCACACTTGGCCAGGCAAGCCATCCTGAACAGGGGCCGCCTCCCCCTGGCCAAGGCCGGAGGGCGCCACGCCAACGAAAACGGCAACACCAACCAGGAGAGGAAGGAGGGCACGCCTTCGACCGCGTCTCTGCCCTCGTACGACAGCGTGACCAAGCCGGACAAGGAGAAGCAAGGCAAGGAGCCCAAGGGCAACGACAGAGACAAAAGCAACCAAAAAGACATCAGGGAATCGAAATTATGAAAACGTTTCCATTTCGCGAGCAAAATGTTGTTTACAGACTTGAAATATATATATATATAAAGATATATATCAATTGAGACACAAAAAAACAAAACAAAACAAAAAAAAACACAAGAGATTTTCCCCAAAATTTCTAGAGCAAGGAGAAACTCTTCTTATAGAGATCTTATACAAACCATAACCTGCTTTACAAATATCCAATTGACGCCCCGTTGGCCGTGACTTACCCTTTACAGCAGGAGACTGGGGACCCTGTGCAGAAAAACAATGGGAATTCAGAAACACTTGAACACAGATTGATACTGCATATATATATATTGACTACCAGAGGATAAATGATACATTGCTTTGAATCAGTGCATTACTAAAGGGGGGTCAGACAGACACTTTTATTTTTCTCATTTTTCTTTCTTTCTTTCTTCCTTTCTCTCTCTCTCGCTCTCTTTCGCTCGCTGGCTCGCTCTCTCTCTCTCTCTCGCTCTCGCTCTCTCTCTCGCCCGCTCGCTCGCTGGCTCGTTCTCTCTCGCTCTCTCTCTCTCTCTCTCGCTCTCGCTCTCGCGCTCTCTCAGACTAAAAAAAAGGGTCCATTTGACCGTTTGCAGACTCGAAAGGCAAGACTGCATCGTAACCATTTCTCAGTCTTAACAACAACCTTTGATCGTAGGGGGCGGTCGGCCCAAAGTCATTCTTTCTACGACTCACGGTTTTCTTTGTTAGAAACTGCATATTTTTCTACATAGGTTTTACGTTCGAGGGGTTTTAAGGGGGAGGGAGGGAGGGAGGGAGGGAGATAAGTTGATTTCTGTTTTCCTTTCCGGGCTGAGGGGGAGGCAAAGAGGTGGTGGGTGGGTGGTGGGTGGGTGGGGGGTGGGGGTAAGGGGTTCGGGGGGGTGGGGTGGTGGGGGGGGGGGGTTCTGCTCAAGCCAATTTCCAAAAAAAAAAGGTGTGCTTGTTCAATACATAGAAAAAAAAATGATTTGCATGAGAGCATGTGTAATCAGATATCATGCATGGACAGTCATAGAACACAAACACAGATATCTTGTCCACAGACAGCGAGGGGTCTGGATGCCTGAGACTTTTTTTTTCGCTGTGGTCATACACTATAAACTTTGGGGGGGTGGGGAGGGGGGGGGGAGGGGAGGGGGGGGATCGTACCGCGTCCTCACACTTGACTTAATATTTATAAACTCTTTGAACGACAAGACGAAAGGTGTGGGGGGGGGAGAGGGAAAAAAAAACGACGCAGCAAAACGAACCGAAGGAACGAAACAAACAAAAAAAAACACCCCGCCGCCACCCACCCACCCCCCCCCCCCATCCCCCCTCCCGCGCACCCACACCCCCCGCACACACGCACACACGCACGCCCCCGCCCGCCCGCCCGCCCGCCGCGCCCCCGCACGCGCACACGCGAGACGATTTAAAAAAAAAAGAGAAACCCAAACCCAAAAGCCATCCGACAGAGAGAAAAAAAGACATACGACGGACAAACAAAAACAAACAAACAAACACAACAGTGGTGGTGGTGGTGGTGGTGGTGGTGGGAGGGAAAGGGTGTGTGTGTGGGGTGGTGGTGGTGGGGGGGGGGGGTTGGGGGGAGGGAATTTTTGGGGTGGGAGGGCAGGTCGAGGGGGGTTTTCATGTGTCTATTTAATAGCTACTGTTCTTAACCATAACTGATCACTGTTTCACATTAAATTAAATTGATGCTCTGTATTTCTTGAAAAGGGGACACAAAAAACAAATAAAACGACAAGAATAGCATTTGTTGTATTGCTGAAGTTTGGCTGTGAAAAGAATTCAAGGCACCAAACTCTCTCTCTCTATCTCTCCCCCACCCCCATACCCCTACCCCCCCCCCCCCCCCCAGCCCCTACACCCTCCTCTCTCTCTATCACTCTCTCTGTCTCTCTCTCTGTCTCTCTCTCTCTGTCACTCTCTCTCTCTAGATTTTTTTTTCCCCTTTCTCTCTCTCTCTCTCTCCCCCCCCCCCCCCCCACCCCGGGGACATTTAACATGCTTTTTAATCCCATGTTACCAGGGGGTAAGACACGTGTGTGCGCCTGCGGAGGTAAGGAATATCCTCTGTGTGTGTGTGTGTCTGTGCGTCTCATTCACGGTTTCTCTGACCCATCATTTCACCTGAAAGGATTACACTGATTTCCTCTCCGAAGCTGTTCCTATCTATATTATCGCTTGTTATAGATTTTTCGATGCAGTTTACGGTTTTTCTTTTAATTTCCCCCTCTCCGTCCCTCTCTCTCGCCTTCTCCCCCAACCCTTCTCCCCCCCCCCCCTTCCTCTCCTCCTCTCTCCCGCCCTCCAAAAAAAAATTAATCGATCACTTTCCTCACTGAGTTAATGGTTCGCAGATCGGCATTTTGATGCACGTTTCTCTATTCAACTGTAGTCACCGGGAATGTGTTTTACTTCTCTTTTATCTCACTTTCACACTCTCTCTCTCTATCTCTCCCTCTCCTCCTTCTCGAAAATAAGACGCGTATTCTGTCCCTTCTCTCTCTCACACTCTCTCTTTTTATATATATATATACCTAGAAAATTAACCAAATCCCTCCTCCGCCTTCTCTTCTCCCTTCCACTCTCTCTCCCTCTCTCCCTCCCTCCCTCCCCGCCCCTCAAAAAAAAAACAACAAAAAAAAGAGAAATTGAAAAAAAAACGACGACGACGACAGAAGAAAACGGGACATAAAAACCATAATTAATTGCTACGCGGTGACGCCAGTGACCAGAACGCATGCCTTCATTCCAGTTTTCTCAATTCTATAATTGTTGTCACGGCACAAAACTGAACAGAAATACAAGGAGCCAATTCCTTGCGAGTTTCTCTCTCTCTCTCTCTCTCTCTCTCTTCGATTAGTATCTTATCTGCAATCGATATATGTGTGTGTGCGCGTGTGTAAAAAAAATAATAAAAAAAAATCATATTGATATGTACAGGTTATGTTGTGGAAGAGCTCCAGGAGAGACCCTTTGCTCGACACGATGTGGTTGGGATTTTTCAGAGAAGTCCTTATAAATACTGTAATATAGCACTTTATTTTACGGGCGTGCATTTTTCTTTGTAAATATCACATAAAAATAACGGTTACGAAGTTAAATAGAATGGCATTAAAGCTGATTTAGCCACACGATATATATATATATATATAATATAATAATATGATATATATTCCCACCTGCACCCTCTATTTTTTCTTTCTTTCCCTCTCGGACACCCGCGCGACGCGTTAACTTGATGTGTTTTTTTAAAGAAAAGTTAGAAGACACTGTGCAGTCCCTGTAGTGTAGGGGTTAGACCCCCTCGCCTCGCCTCGCCTCGCGAGCCGGAGGGACCCGGGTTCGATTCCTGGGCAGGACAGGTCGGGGCGAAACCTTAGGCGAGTTTCCTTACTCCACACACACACACACACACACACACGCGACTCTGTTCACCAACAGTCAGTAGGAACCCGGTTGTTAGTCGATTGGTGGATCGCTTTTCCGGGGGTAATAAACCGTCCCAAAAAAATTTCACGAACAATTTGGTCGCTCAACCCACGGCTGTTTGTGGGGGACGTCGCCGGGCGCGATCGGCTGCCGCGTTTCTCCCCACAAAACACACAGTCGCTGCACTTTACAGTGTGTCCCGTGAAGCGCTTTGAGACGTCTCGAAGACGTGATCGGGCGCCGGGTCGAATGCGAGGATTATTATTGATATTAATGTAATGGGTCGTGGGTTACACGATGGTTCCTTGTCGATGGAGGAGGAAGAGAAGGGAAGGGTTCATCATATGTCTGTCTCTTCCCCTCCAACCCACTGCGCTCCCCCCTTCCCCCCCCCCAAAAAGAAACCACGCACCCAGACAGGACTGTTCTGATTCCGAGTGTTCAATAAACATTCATTTCAAACCAAACCTATTGAGACCCGTATTTTTTTTTCAACCAGGTTTGCGGAGATCTGAAACTGGATGGGGAGTGTTTTTTTGGGGTGGGGGGGGAGGGGAGAAGTGGGGAGTGCGAAGGTGAGGTGGCGGTGGAGTGGTGGGGGGGGGTGTCATGGGAGAGAGAAGAGAGAGAGCTGGGCTTGATTGAGAGGGGTTAAGATGGATGGATTCTTCATGGGAGCTCCAAGCTTGGACTGTCCCCTCCGTTGGGGCAAACTGTCGTGATCCTTGTCCTGAGCATCTCCCGATATCGATCGGAGGATCGCTTTTCCGGGGGCAATAACCCCTTCGAAAAAAAATAAATACTAACAATTTGGTCACTTCAACCCACGCCTGTATTTGGGGACGTCGCTGGTGGCAATCGGCCGCCGCATTTGGCCCCCAAAGATACACTCGGTCAATCCACTCTGCGGCGTATTCCTGCGAAGCGCTGTGAGACGTCTCGAAGAATGCGATAAGACGCTGGATTATTATCGAACGCGAGGAATTATTATTAATTATTGTAATTATTGATTATTGATTGGCCAACAACCCCCCCCCCCCCCTTGTAATTCAGGAGCCTTTCCATTTTGGTTTGAATTTCATTTAATTTAATTCAAAAGGAGCTTCTTTCTGTGATGTGCTTAGAAGAATCTTGTCGATGTGCGTCAGTCTGTCTTTCTGTCTGTCCATCTCACACATATAGTGTGACAGCCCACACACACACACTCACCCCCCACCCCCCCCCCCCCCCCCCCACACATGCTGTCTGCCATGTTAGTATGTTATAGATAAAGCGTGTTCCAGATTCTCCGCCCAGGGAAGACCACGGAACATGAGCCAGTGTGGTTTTCAATGAGGAGCCGGGGGTGGGTTGGGGGGTGGGGGGGTGGGGGGGGAATAGTCCATGGATTCACCTGTTCCAGCCAACCTTCAAGGAACGGTCCTTCTTCAACAACGACAACAACAACTTGTTTACATAGCGTCCACACACACACACACACACACACACGCGTCTGTTTACCCAGCAGTGGTATAGAGAGAGAGAGAGAGAGAGGGGTGGGGTGGGTATGTGAGGGTGGGCAGGAGGAAACCCTGAGGTCGACGAGTGGGGGGTGGGGGTGGGGGGCGTCTTAAGCTCAGGAAATGTACTGGGAAATTTAATGGGGAGGGGAGGGAGGGAGGGAGGGAGGGAGGGAATATCATAGGAGGACTTTTGACGCAGAAGATGATTGGAGTGGGAAAATCTGTAGGCGAAGGAGGCATTCAACATTTAGCAGAGAGCAGGATAAATATTTCAAGAGGGACAGAATAAAAGGGTTTAGGAAGAGAGAGAGAGAGAGCGAGAGAGCGAGAGCGAGCGAGAGAGAGAGAGCGAGAGAGAGAGCGAGAGAGAGAGCGAGAGCGAGAGAGCGGGGAATTGGGATCACAGAGTACAGCAATGATGTTCGAAAGGACTCCCATCATTTCTTCCCGCACGTCCATGGTGATTGGAGTCCCCCCGTAGCTCAGGGGTTGGAGCCCTCCCGCCTCGCAAGCGAGAGGACCAGGGTTCGATTCCCGGGCGGGTCAGGACAGGGGGAAACCTTAAGCAAATTTCCTTACACCCCCCCCCACCCCTATCCCCCACCGCACACACACACACACACACGCGCGCGCGCGCCCCTGTTTACCCGGCAGTAAGTAGGAACCCGCTTGTTAGCCGATTGGCGGATGGCTTTCCGGGGGGTGATAATCCCTTCCAGAATCAAAAAACAATAAAAAANTTATTAATAATCATTCGGTCGCTCGATCCACGGCTGTTCGTGTTGACGCCGCTGCGCCCGATCGTCTGCCGCGTTCGGCCCACAAAACAAATACCGTCACTGCACTTCGCAGCGTCGCCCGCGAAGCGCCTTTGAGACGTCTCGACGACGTGATCGGGCGCTGTGTCGAACGCGAGGATCATCATCAGACCGGACAAAAATAGCTAATATATTCGACGGAGAGCTGATCCCTCCTCCCATTCCAGTTGACGTGTTGTTGTTACACATCGTTTCCTTCCACTATGTTACTCCTGAAGTCCTTGTGGGAGTCTTTGCTCTCGACTGTGCATCCTGGTAAGATCGTTCACTAAATAATTAATAATTCTCTGACACAGAGCGAGAAGAAGAGAGAGAGAGGGAGAGAGACTCTGTTAGAGATTCAAATTACGCAGTCCATTCGCTTTACGGTATGTCCTGTGAAGCGCTTTGAGACGTCTCGAAGACGTGATCAGGCGCTGCGTCAAATGCAATATTATTATTGACAATAATATCTTATATTGTACGATACACAATAATAATATCATTATTATTCACTGCTTTCGCAGTTGAATCAGCAGTAATAATAATAATAATCCTTGCAGTTGATACAGAGCCTCATCAGGTGTTCGAGACGTCTCAAAGCGCTTCACAGGATCCGCCGTACAGTGTAGTGGCCGCGTATTTTGTGGGTGAATCACAAAGCTGCGTATTTTCCGGGCGTATTTTGCGGCGATTTGGTTTGCCCCGGCCGACAGCCCCCTCAATAAAAACCCATCCTGCGCCTCATTCGCGGCTGTTTTCGGGCAAAGACGGCTGCCGCATTTCGCCTGCAGAAGCACACGGTCACTACGCTTGACGTGAAAGCTCCCGTGAAGCGCTCGGAGACGTCCTCCTGACACCGAAGGGGCTCGCGCGGGACGGTTACACTGTCCTGGTCCCCTCGCACCGGGAAAACCCAATGCTCGGGCCGTCTCCCCGGCCGTACTTTGCTCCGCGTTTGGAAACCTCGAAGGAGTTCCCGTTCTGCCCGAACGCTTTTCGCTGAGTAGATTATTCCGGACTTATTCAACAGCCGTCAATATTTCATGAGGCTTTTTAACCACCGAAATGTAACGCCACTCTCCCTCCCTCTCTCTCTCTCTCTCTCTCTCTCCCTTTCTCTCTCGCGTGCCCTTCGCAAAGGCCCGCGACTGATGTTTTATTGAGAGTCGCTGTTTCGGGGCTGACAAGCCAAGATAATTGCTCAGCGAGACAGAAAAAGACGGTGCGGGTTGAACGGTCCGAGGACCTGAGCGGCGGCGGCGGCGGCAGCAGCGTGTGGACGGGCATTTTTTTTTCCGCAGGTCATTCGCGCTCACACAACCCCCTCCAGAAACAATGGCATCGCTAAATAATTCGGTCACTCAATCCGTGACTGTTTGTTTGTTGGGGGGGGTTTGGGGGGCGGGTGGTTCGATGTGTGTGATTGCCCACCCACCCCCCGCAAAACACACAGTCACTCCGCTTCGCGGAGTAATCGTAATAATAATAATAGTAATAATAATAATAATTATTCTGTTTGATGTTTGTCGGGTCAGGTCGGGGGGGATCGAGGGGATACGGGGCAAAGGCGGGCAATTGGCATTGCGGTGCAGATCCGATAGAATGCTCGGAACAAGCTCGAGGGGCTGAATGGCCTCCTCCTGTTCCTATAGTTCGCGCGAGTGCCTCTGCTCAACGGGGGGGAGTCATCACCGGCGCCTGGTGGGGGCGATAGGAAGTGTAGTTCCAGATGGGTTCGGAGACCAAAAATAAATGTGAAATTCGCTGAATCAAAGGAAAAAGATTATTGATTTTTATTGTTATTAATATTATTGTTGTTGTTGTACAGTTCTTATCGTCAATAAATGTCAGTTCATGTAGAGTGAACTACACCTGTATGAAAGGTGTGTTACGTGTCGTTATCACTGTTGTGTGTGTGTGTGTGTTTGTGTGTGTGCGCGCGCGTGTTTGTGTGTGCGTGTTTGTGTGTGTGCGTGTTTGTGTGTGAGTGCGCGTGTTTGTGTGTGTGCGTGTGTGTGTGAGAGTCTGAGTGCGAGTGTGTGAGGGTGCGAGTATGCGTGTGCGTGTGTGTGTGTATGAGAATGCGAGCGAGAGCGTGTGCGTGTCCGTGCGCGCGCGCGCGTTTCGCCCGCAAAATATACCGCCGGTCGACCTTTACAGTCTATTCCGTGACGCGCTTTGAGACGTGTCGAAGACGAGATAAGGCGCATACTGATGAGTGCGAGTGCGAGTGCGCGCGTGAGCGTGAGCGTGAGCGTGAGAATGTGTGCGAGTGCAATGTGTTCCCGGATGCGTCACAGTCGGTGAGTGCGTTCGGTTCGGTTCGTTTTCGGTTCGGTTCGTTCCCTTCGTGAACAAGTGGGGACCCCCAACGTTGTGTCTTCGATGTGACTCCCCCCCCCACCCCCCCACTCCGTCACTCCGCCCTCGATCCAATGCCTGGAACCTAGAACTCAGTACATTTGGGCTCTTCCCCTCCTGTCGGGGAGAGAGAGACAGTCCGGAGCTCAGAGCAGATAACGATTGAATAAGGAAAACCCAATCAATACTTTCAGACCCCGAGTGAGACAACAACAACAACAACAACTTGCATTTGCACAGCGCGCCCCCCCCCCCCCCCCCCCACGCAGGACACGGGGTTTCGAGTCGCAAAAGGGGGCAAAATTTCAGGACAGGCGCCAGGAGGTGTTTCTTTACCCAGAGGGTAATTCTGGTGTCTCTGTTGCTCAGGGGTCAGAGCCCCTCGCGAGCGCGAGGACCCGGGGTTCGCTTCCCGGGCGGGACAGGACAGGACAGGGAGAAACCTTCGGCAAGTTTCCTTACTCGATGCACACACACACACACACAGATACACACACGCACACGCACACGCACACACGCCTGGTTATCAGCAGTCAGTAGGAACCCGGTTGTTAGTCGATTCATTGATGGTTTTTCGGGGGTAACAATCCCCTATAAAAATAATAATAATTTGGTTGCTCGAGACATGACTGTTTGTGGGGGGGACCCCGCTGGGCGCGATTGATTGGCTGCCGGGTTTCGCCCACAGAACGCACAGTCACTACACGTGACAGTATATCCTGTGAAGCGCTCTGAGACGTCTCAGACGCGAGGATTATGATCGTAATGATCAACATCGGCCCAACCCGTCACTCCTGAGAACTCATCGTGGAGCCCCCTTTCCTCTTGCAAGATGAGTTGTCAGAGGTTCAGTGCATTTACTCGCCTGTTGCCTGTGGGGTAATGCCCCCTGGAGTGGTCGACGAGTCCGGCTGTTGATCTGGACCTTGTTTGTGGCCTATGTTTGGGGGTTCCTCTTCATCGTCACCGGACTCCTCAAATCTCCCCTCTTCTGTTCCTGCAAAGGAACATCAAAGAAAACCAATGACACTGAATAACCCTCCAACTTCGCCCCCAACTGAGTGTCATTGGAATCAAGCCCCCACCCCGCGACAGTCTCTCTCTCTCTCTCTCTCGAGGAAAGCTTGGCCAGACAGCCCTCCTTCCCTCCCTCTCCCTCTCCCTCTCTCTCTCAATGGCCGAGCTATGTGTGGGTTTAGCTGGTTAGACTCCAGGCTCCGGCGCCGTTTAAGCGCTCAGAGACGCTGTGTAAAATGCAAGTTGTTGTCGTCGACATCCCGTAGGAACGACTTTCCACCACTTGGTGGCGGTCTTTGACTTGGCCGACGGCGCCCTCTCAAGGTTGGCTTGAGCGAAGAACTCCCTTCGGCCCATCGGATCTCAGGGCTCCAGAACACTACCGTATGCACTGAGACGGCAGAGCCCGAGGACACCGGGTCAGGGGTGCAAAGGGGGCAATTTGAGGGCAGACCCCAGGAAGTGTTTCTTTACCCAGGGGGGTAATTAACGACAGGGTTGTCAGGAAGGAGGGGCTGGTGGTGGGGGGGGGGGGGGAGACGGGGCTGCCTTCTTGTTTTGCTCGCAAAAACACAGTCACTCCACTTTACGGTATGTCCTGTAAAGCGCTTTAATGCGAGGATTATTATTATTATTTGTTACCTTGCAAGGCTTTGCGATGGCTTCTGTCGTTGTGTTTGGGAGAGGTCGCTGAGCCGCACTGGAAGAAAATCACACAAGTTTAGGAACGTAGGAAAACAGGAGAGGAGAAAAACCTCAGGCAACTGCTTATTCCACACACACACACACACATCTCTCTGTTTACCAGCAGTTACTACACACACACAGGTGCACACACACACACAGGTACACACACACAGGTATACACACATAGGTATATACACACACACACACATCTCTCTGTTTACCAGCAGTTACTACACACACACAGGTGCACACACACACAGGTATACACACACACAGGTATATACACACATACACACACCCAGCAGTAAGTAACACACACACAGGTTCGTACGCACAGGTACACACACATAGATACACACACAACATATGCACAGGTACACACACACAGGTACACACACACAGTTACACACACACAGGTATATACAGCGCACACATATAGTGGCAACCCTATTCCAGTCACAATAATAATTTGGTTACTCAAACCCCACGACTGTTTGACTGCCGCGTTTCGCCCACAAAACACACAGTCACTGCACTTGACAGCATAGTCTGTGAAGCGCTTTGAGACGCGATCAGGCGCCGGGGGTCAAATGCCGGGATTATCATCACTGTTAGGTTGGCATCAGAGCCAAGTTGACCGCCTGCAGGTGGAGATGAACGGACCCACCGTTACCTGAGAGCTTGGCACCTCTTCACCCAACTCTGGAAGAAAAAGACAGAATAAATGGTGAATAACTTTGGTATCGAGAGCTCAAAGCTCTCACCACCTACCGGTGGGGCGCGGTGGGGGGGGGGGACCTCATCGCGTTGTATAACACAATAATAATTAATAATAATAATAATAAGGATAGACAGTAAGCGCGGACGTGGTAAGAAAATGATTCTGGCCACACAGGAAGGATCCTTTGAGGTCTCACACATTCCTGTGTGAATGTGATTTGCAGAAGCGCTGTTTGTTTAAATGTTTTATTGGGAGAGCGGAATTCATCAAAGTTAATTATTCTTTCACCTTTTGGCTTTAACCTTAGCTCTCGTTTGGGTAAATCTCAGGAGGAGGAGGAACAGTGGATTTTCAACCCTTGATTGATTAATCACTCCCACCCCCCCCCCCCAAAAAGAAAGAGTCGGGGACGGGTCTGGGATGCGACCAATGGTCCCAACTGAGGACGTGCCGTAAGGGGACGAACCTTCTGAGAAGTGGTCCTTCGAGATCATGTGGATGGCGGGAGTCGGACGACGCTTTCTGATCTTAAAGAGAACGGAGAGACGGAGAGAGAGAGAGAGAGAGAGATCTCGAGTCAGTCCCTTCTCCGGAGCAGCAGCGACAACAAGTTGCATTTTTAAGCAGAGCGGTGTCCCAGAGCATTTGCCAGTGGTGGAGTTTTGGGAAGGGGGGGGGGGGGCGGTGCGAGGGGTGGGGGTGACCGTAGGGAACCGTAGGTCGAAGAGGAAGGTTCTCAGGCGCACGACCTGAAGGTGGGCAAGGAAGGAAAGTGGGGGGGGGGGGGCGCGAGGGGGAGGGAAGGGGATCGAGGGAGAAAGTTTCAGGGCGTAAGCGGCCGAAAGCGCGACCGCCCGCCGGCGGACGTGGAGGGCTTTTGAAGGTCGGGGCGGCCCGCGCTCTGCGGTCCGGCCGTTCAAACGTTGCTGAAACGGTTAAAAAGAAAAAAAATAGAGAAGTTTGCAGGAAACCCGTAACAGCTCTCAGTGAGGTCAGCGTCAGGCTATCTCCTCCGAAAACATTTCTTTACACAACGCAATGTCACACGCCCTGCGCTTGCCCAGAATGTGCACGTGTGCGTGTGCGTGTGTGTGTGTGTGTGTGCGTGTGTGTGTGTGCGCGCGCGTGTGTGTCGCTGTCTGTTAAAAGGGGAGATGATTATAACAATAATCCCGGCGCGTGACGCCGTCGAGACGTCTCAAAGCGCTTCGCGGGACACGCCGCGAAGCGTAGTGGCCCTGCGTTGTTTTGTGGGCGAAACGCGGCAGACAAAAATTGCGCCCAGCGACGTCCCCCCACCCCCCCCAACCCCCCACCCCCACCCGCCGCGAAACCCCCCCCACAAACGACGGTCGCGGATCGAAGTGACCACATTGTTTTTAACTGCGACGAGACAGAGAGTTCCTGCGGAGAGTTTTGAGACGTCCTCTCAACGGGAATAAGGCGTCGCAAAGGAACGCAGGGGACGTGTTTACAGCTTAAGCGGCTTAGATCCCGTAGCTTTAAGCGCTCGCGAGCCGGAGCGGAGCGGGTTCGATTCCGCACAGGCACAGACACACACACACACACACACGCACACACAGACACACGCACAGACACACACGCACGCGCGCGCGCCTCTGTTTACCAGCAGTAAGTAGGAACCCGGTTGTTAGTCGATCGCGGGTAATAACTCCACCAAAAAAATGTGGTCACTCAATCCACGGCCGTTCGTGGGGACGTCGCTGGGCGCAATCGGCTGCCGCGTTTCGCCCACAAAACACGCAGGGTCACTCCGCTTGACCCGTTGTCTTCCGTGAAGCGCTTTGAGACGTCGCGACGACGGGATAAGGGCCAGGAGTATCCAATGCCAGGAGTATTATTATTACTGCCATATCGAAGCACTGTAATCAATATCCCGTCCAGGCGAACGTTAACGATCTTCCTGCAGCAATACCACCCCCGTCCCCCGTCCCCCCCCCACCCACCCTGCGCCCCTCCAGGAGAAAATCCTTCACTGAATCCGTGACTCGAGGGAGAGGGGTGGGGGGGGGGTGGGGGTGGGGGTGCCATTGACTGCCGCGTTTCGCCCATAAAGACCGACTCGACGGTGGGAAACCTGTGAAGACCTTTGAGACGTCTCGACGAGGCTGAAAGGCGCTGTATCGAATGCCGGGATCATCATTAATATTAATATCAAGTGTAAACTGTACGAGGTGCCAGTTGGGTGGGTGGTGGGTGGTGGGTGGTGGGGGGGGGTTTGGGTGGGTGGGGTGGGGTGGGCTGGGGGTGGGGGTGCGGGGAGATGTTTCGTGCTTACCTGTTCCGCTGCTCGCGGGTCCAGCTCACACGGGAGGATGGGATCCGTGAACTGAATCTTCCGAGGAGATCTCTGCATTTTGTCGGAGAGGGTTCAGGCGCCTGTGACAGGACGGGAGCATCAATGGCATCTGCCAATTCTCCGCTCAATGTACGACCTCAGCCAAACTTCCTGTGTCACAGTAACTTTCGCCCATTGGCTAACCGGAGCCTCCCCCCACCACCCCACTCTCTCTCTCTCTCCCCCCCCACCCCTCTCTCTCTCTCTCTCTCTCTCTCGCTCCCTCTTTCTCTCTGCCTGTCCCTCGTTGCATTAACCCAACTTTCAAGGCTCTTAAAGGGACCTCAATCCTAACTTGTCAAGACAGCGGTAGAGATAGATATTCGTTGGCTCGGGGGTATTAAGGGAGTCCCTGTGGCTCAGGGGTTAGAGCCCTCGCCTCGCAAGCCCGAGGACCCGGGTTCGATTCCCGGGCGGGACAAAACCTTAGGCAAGTTTCCTTACTCCACACACACACACACACACACAGACAGACCAGCAGTAAGAAGGGACTCGATTGTCAGTCGATTGTGGTTGTGTGGTTATGTGGTTAATAATCCCTTCAAAAAAAAATAATAATAATAATAAACTGGTCACTTTAATCCATGACCATTTATCTCTTGATACCCTGACCCAACATCCCTTGGTAGCAAGTGATAAGGCGTTATATTAAATGCAAGGATTATTATTGTTATTATTAATGTTTGCCAACAATTTGGCGATGTATTGGAGCAGCAGAAACCCTTAGAAACCCACGACCTTCTGACTCAAAGGCGAGAGAGAGAGAGAGAGAGAGAGAGCGTTACCCACTGAGCCGGGCTGACCCTGCCGTGTTCCAGCTGTAATGGCTTTTAGTTGGAACGAGATCACAAGAGAGTTTCAGGTGAAGAAAGTCCTTCCGTCTGATTGATCTCAGAACTTCGACCTCTGCGTGAGATCCGGACCTTTCAGGCCTGCGATCGGGGAGGGGGTGGGGGGGGGGGGGGGTGTGGGGTGTGAATCCAGAACAAATCCGAGGAGACACTACTTCAGCGAGCGAGTGGTACAATGTAGGGAACAGGTTCCCGAGACAGACAGACAGACAGACAGACAGACAGAGACAGACGTGGAAGCAAAAAAAAGTGTTGGTTCTTTCAAGGACAAACGAGGTAGATCTCTGTGAAGGGAATAATATCCATAATCCGGGCGTATTACCTTACGGTGTGAGCTGCGAAGCGCTTTGAGACGTCGCAAAGATGTGATCGGATGACGCACTGTGTCAAATGTAAGGATTAAAGCATTCTCTCTCCTTCCTCGTGCGTATTGTGAGGAGAGAGAGCGCGAGAGAGAGCGCGAGAGAGAGAGAGAGAGAGAGGGGCGGAGGGGGGCGGTGGGGTGTGGTGTGTGATCGGAGCCGGTTATAGGGATCAGGTAAGCGATGAGAGGGATTTCGGAGTGTGAGATCTTTCATGTGCTGCTTATTTCATCCGTTGCCAGAGAAAGGGAATCGGACTCAGATCAGCAGTTTGGAGCTCGAATTCAGAAGTGGTTTGGGTTCACAAAACACACAGGTCCGTCCACGCACACACACGCACGTGCACGTGCACGCGCACACGCAAGCACACAGGTAAACACAGCACAAAGTGGAGTCCTGTAGCTCAGCGGTCAGAGCACTCGCCTCACGAGCGAGACCCCCGGGTTCAATTCCCGGCCGGTCAGGGCGAAACCTTGGGCGCGTTTCCTTACTCCACACGCGCCTGATGATGATGATAATAATAATAATAATAATAATCATAATAACTATCCCTCCCCAAACAAACGAAAACAGTAATAAATTGGTCGTTTTCAACCCAGGGCTGTTTGTGTGGGGTGGGGGTGGGGGGGGAACGTCGCTGCCGCCTTTCGCCCACGAAACACACAGTCACTACGCTTCACAGTGTCTCAGGCGAAGCGGCTCGAAGGCGTGATAAGGCGCTGGGTCAGCGGCGAGGATTACAGTGTGACGCGGGAAACACACACACACACACACACAGACACAGAGAGAGGCCTCAGTAAATCACATGCTATTGCCGAGCTCTCTGTACCCGGGGGGAGTGGGGGGTGGGGGGGGGGGTGAGTTCGCCGCCGCTCTGTTTGCTCTCGCTTTAACGTCAGATGGAATTTGAACCACTTTTATCAGTTCAAAGCCCGGAGCTAAGCAGCGTTGCTCTGAGCATATTTCTCAGGAACCCATGGCTTAAACATCCTGCGCCGAGTGACGTCGTTTCGAGAACACGTGAGATAGATTTCTCTTGGGGAGGGGGGGGGGGGGAGAGAGGGGGGAAGGGGTGGGGGTGGGAGGTGGCGGGGGTTGCGAGACAGCGGGTGGTTTGGGGACAAAGTTCTTCCGATGAAGAGGGTAGGAACAGGAGGAGGCCATTCAGCCCCTCGAGCCTGTCCCGACGTGCTGTCAGATCACAGCTAATCCGAACCTCAACTCCAATGATTCACCCTCGTCAAACCCCCCCCACACCCCCACACCCCCACACCCCCACCCACACCCCCCCACCACCGTTTACTATGTGCTTCCCCCCCCACAACCTTCCCAGGGCCAAGGGGAAAGTTTTAAAAACATATTTTTTTAAAGGGAAACGTAATTGTACTGTCGTCCGGCGGTTCTCCTGTTCTCGTGTTCCTGCCTCGGGCACCGAATCCGTCTCAGACGCAGATTCCCGAAAAAAAAAAAAACAGGTTTGGTTCAGTCTCCCCCAAAACTCGTGATTATTTAACTTTAGTAACACATAATCCGGGCCACATGACGCTCCGTAACTTTAGTCACAGTTACACAAGCAGCGACTCCGCGAATAACAGCAATAATCCGCGGCTCCGACTCCAACAGGTATTCTATGTTCCGTTTAGTATCACAATTTATATTGTTTTTTTTTTGTGTTTTATATCATATTTTTGTCATATCACAGCGTCAAATATGATATGAACGCATCAGGTACAATGTGAACGATACGACGCGTGGAATAAAACGTGTAAAATCTGATTATTTATTATTTTACTCCCGCAAAATGCACAGTCACTACACTACTTGTAATAAAACCTCGTCAAGACGACAAGGCGCTGATAACGGCGAGAAGTTGTTGCTGCTGTTGTTGTTGTTGTTGTTGTTGTGTTGTGGGTTTATCAGATCTGTCCCCGTGACCGAGTACACTGGACTCCCGTAGCCCGGGGGTTGGAGCCCGTCTCGCCTCGCAAACGAGAGGACCCGGGTTCGATTCCCGGGCGGGTCCGGTCGGGGCAAAACTTAGACCGGTGTTTCCTTACTACACACACACAAGCGCACACACACACAAGCGCACACACACACACGCACACACACACGCACACACGCGCGCACACACACGCGCGCGCCCCTGTTTCCCGAGCAGTAAGTAGGAACCCGCTCGTTAGTCGGTTGGCGGATGGCTTTCCGGGGGGAGCGATAACCCCTCCATGAGCAAAAATAATAATAATAATAATAACAATAACTTAGTCACTCAAACCCACGGCTGTTTGCGGGGTACGATTGGCACGAAACACACACTCGGTCGAGTCGCTCGGAGACATCTCGAAGGCGGGATCAGGCGCCGTGTCCAAGGCCAGCGGTTTGGTGTAGTGTGTGGCTGCCGGTCGGAACCCCCCCCACCCCCCCCCACACCCCCGTGACTCCGTCATGGATCCCTCGCGGAGCCCCCTTCAGTTGGACGCCGAGCGCGTGTGGCTGTGAGGCTGTGGGGTCTGCAATCAAAGCACAGGCGCAGCAAAGGTGGGTGTCTGCACGATACGATCGAGGACCCTCGATATACGCCGGGATTGGGGGGGCGGGTGGGGGGCACCGTAGGCACCTTGGGGAAGATGGGGAAGACGGGGAAGGGGAGAGAGGGGGCGAGGAGGCGGAGGGATTGAGGGAGAGCGCGACTAAGTGTCGGTTGAGCGGAGGCAGCGGGCAGTGGAGCGGGGGGGGCAGAGGGTACAGGGTGGGGGTGGGGTGGGGGCAGAGGGTACGGGGTGGGGGTGGGGTGGGGTGGGGGAAGAGGTGGGTTGGGGGGGGGTGGGGGGAAGGTCGAGTACCTGCATTTGATTAACAGGATCACACGCGTCCTCAACGAAGCCACTGCTGTCAGACTGAACGCTCTCCGCACGGCAGCCCAGACCTGGGGTCAGCGACAGGCGAGATATCAGGTACAACAGCCCCCCCCACACTTCCCTCCTCCCTTCTAACCACCCCCCCCACCCCCTCAGGGGTTAGACCCCTCCCCTCGCACACCACAGCCCCTGTAGCTCAGGGGTTAGACTCCTCCCCTCACACCCCACAGCCCCTGTAGCTCAGGGGTTAGACCCCTCGCCTCGCACACCACAGCCCCTGTAGCTCAGGGGTTAGACTCCTCCCCTCGCACCCCACAGCCCCTGTAGCTCAGGGGTTAGACCCCTCGCCTCGCACCCCACAGCCCCTGTAGCTCAGGGGTTGGACATCTCGCCTCTCAAGCCAGAGGCCCCGGTTCGATTCCCGGGCTGGTCAGGTCGGGGCGAAAGCTTAGGCAAGTTTCCTTACTCCCCCCCACCCCACATACACACACACACACACACACACAGTAAGGGGGGGTGGGGGGAGGAAGGGGTTCACTAACCTTTCTGTGTCCTTACAGCAGAGGCTGGTGTTGAGGATATGGGGGGGTTTGGTACCAGACTCCGTCGCTCCCCTTCACTGCTCTGTAACTGTGAGAAACAGACCTCAAAGTCAAGGCTCACCCAACGGCCCAACACTCTTCGCAACGATCCTCTTCAACCAACCGCGCCTTCGGTCACCCCTCGCAGCCCCACCCGCCCACCCCCGACCCTCCCACATACACCCTCCCACAAAGGCCCTCTCACCCCCACCCTCCTGACCCCGACCCCCCAGCTCGAATCGACTCCAAACCCCTGACCCTTGGGACGTCCTCCGGGCGTGAAAGGGGTGGAGTGAGTGTGTGTGTGTGTAAATATCACGTGTTGTTGTTGTTGTTGTCTCAACGATGTGACGAGGCGCTGCATGGAATGCACAGGTTATTATTATTATTATTATTATTATTATTATTATTATTATTATTATTATTATTATTATTATTATTATTATCATTAATGAGGTTACTGTCGCCGATGGCTTGGGTGCTCTGGGCCTACCTCCTCCAGGTCAAACGAGTCCTCTTCAGCCCGGAAGAGGCTCTTGAGAGAACGGTTAAGACGACGTTGCCTTTGAGGAGCAGACGCGAGCGAACGAGGGGGAGCGCCGTCCGGGCTCCCACCACACAGTCCGTCAAGAACCCCCGACGCCCACGGGCCCGTGGTCCGAGCGGGAATTGGCGGACGCACCTTGACCCCCGGTCCGGGGCCACCGCCACCCTCCTGGTCTCCGGCCGCGAGCTCCCGAGCTGTGGCCCCGCCGGGAATTTTCGGCCGGGCGGGAAGGCAGGGAGTTTCCCGGGAGCCCCCGAGCCTTTCCGGGTTCAGGGGCCGGTTTACCGGTGGGGGGCAGAAAGGGGGCGAATAGTAGGCGTGATCGAAAACCGAGTGGTGCAAGTCGTTTTCGATGGACTCTTCGGACTCGGTGCTGAACCCGTAGAGACGGGATCTCCGGGTTTCCGACCTCCACAGCTCTTTCCTCAGGGAAGACCTCTTCCTGTCTTCCTCGAGCGAGTCCCGGCCCCCGGGAGTCCCGGTCGGCCCGGCCTCATCCCGGCAGACGAGCGAGGATTCCCCCGGAGCTCGTTCCGAGTCTGTCCTGGCTCCGTCCCCCACCGGCTCCCGCAGGTCCCTGCGCGGACACTCGGCCAAGGGGCACCTGGGGGATTCCGTGTCCCGGGAGGCGCTGTACAGGCAGAGCTTGGTCACCGTCTTCCGCAGCTTCTGCACCGCTTTGCCCGAGGGCGACCTCTGCTCCGGCCGGGGGTTGCTGCCCCCGCCGCTGTTGTTGTTGTGGTGGTGGTGCCCCCCCCCCACCACCACTGTCCCGAGGGGCAGGTCGAAGTTGAAGGGGAACTCATGAGGCGAGACGATTTTGGGGCAGGGGGTCTTGGAGACGTGGGAGTACAGGGAGGTCAAGGCGTTGGCCATGGTGGTCAGGGCCTCGATCTGGCGGAAACGACCTGCGTGGAACAACGGCAAATTTCGTTGGCAGGTGGACAACCGCCACCATCACAACAACAACAACAACAACAACAACCACCAGAACAACCACAACAACAAACACCACCACCATCACAAAAACAACCACCACAACAACAAGAATAATAATCCTCGCTTTTTGACCCAGCACCTGATCACGTCTTCGAGACCTCTCAAAGCGCTTCACAGGACACACTGTAGAGTGCAGTGACTGTGCATTTAACGGGCGAAACGTGGCAGCCAATCGCGCCCAGCGATGTCCCCCACAAACAGCCGTGGATTGAAGCGATCTATAGTTACTTTTTTTCCTTTGAAGGGATTATTACTCCCGGGAAGCGGGCGCCGACCGACAGTCCGGGCTGCGGCAACGGATGCGGGGGAGAAAGGACAGTCGAGGGTCAAACGAGATGGGCACGGATTGGGGTGAGAGGGGCCGGGTGGGGGGGGGGGGGGGGAGAGAGGGTTTGAACTTACTGGCGAGGGTGTAACTCGGACTCTCTTCTCCGAGTCGCTTGCTTTGCGCTTCCAGAAAGACCCGGAAGTTCATGCCGTTTGCTCGGGACTGGAAGCTGAAGAACCGGGATGGGATCTTGGCCGTGACATTGGGCTCCTCTCTCCCGAAGCCCAGATTGTAGAGGATTTCCTCTGGATCTTCCCGGAACAGGTCTAGTACTTCCGAGATACTGCCGGGTGGTGTGGTGGGGGGAGGGGAGGGGGTGGGGTGGAGGGATAAGGAGGGGAGAAAAGGGGGGAAAAGACGTCAGCTCAGCAGTCGACTGTCCAGAGGGACCGGCTTTAATTATCATCATCATCGTCATCACCACATTGTTCTCAAACATCTTCCTCATCATCACCACAGTATCTCAGTCAACAACAACAACAACAACTTGCACTTATGATCTCATGATCTCTCCTTCACCATCACCATCATCATCATCATCACCGCACTGTCTCCATTTACCTTCACACTGTCTAAGGGCTATTATCGTGATGACGACAGTGATGATGACGACGGCGACGACGATGATGATGAAGAAGAAACATGGAAACATGGAGGAGGCCCTCCAGCCCCTCGAGCCTGTTCCACCTCTCTATCAGATCACGGCTGATCTGTAACTCAACCCCAATTACCCGTTATGGCGCGACCTAACGAACAGACCGTCTCGGTCTTACCTGGAGACGGTTTCCATGGTGCCCCTGGAGGAGGTTTTGCTGCTGCCCATGTGGAACAGGTGCTGCGAGGAGCTGTTTGATAGAGATGATGATAATGATACTAATAATAATAATACTACTACTAATAATAATATTCCTTAATAACATAGCGCCTTATCACGTCTTTGAGACTCTCCTCTTCGACTTCGCCTTAGGTCACCCTCCCGGCCTCTCTTCTGTGATATCTGGGTTCAGACGGACAACAGGAGGTTGTCCCACCCTGTGCCTGTGAGATTGTGGAAGTATCAGCCATATCAATCTGTCCCCTCCCTCCAGTCAGCGGCTCTGACCTGCTCCACGTTCCCCCACCCAGCTCAGACCCCACCTCCCCCTCACCCACCACCCCACCATCAGCGGTCAGGCCTTCAGCCTCTTTGTCCCCACCCTCTGGGTCTCCATCCCACAGTCCCTCCGCCTCGCCCCCCTCCCTCGCCTCCTTCAAGGCGTAGCTCGAGACCCTTCTCTTCGACCAAACGTGCCTTCGGTCACCCTCCTTAAACCCACCCTCTCCGCCCTCCACCCCCTCCCTCCTGATCCCAACCCCCAGCTCGGGTCCAAATCCCCGACTGTCCATCCCAGTGCCTTGGGACGTCCTCCCGATGTGAAAGAGGTTATGCAAATGTTAGTTGTTGTTGTTGCTGACAGTGTAACAGAAGCTACAACACAGGGAGGTGGCTTCCATTGACCACCAAGTTCTCTGCTGCCATCCAGTGGACGTGGACAACCTTACTATATATTTTGGTGTCTGACATACGTAGACCTCAGCAGTTACCCCAACGCACATGACTCCGTATTTTGTGGTCGAAACGCGGCAGCCAATCGCGTACAGCAACGACCTGCAAACCGTCATGGATGGAGCGACCAAATTATTATTATTATTATTAGTTTGAAGGGATTATTACCCCCGGAAAGCGATCCTCCAATGGACTAACAACCGGGTTCCTACTTACTTACTGCTGGTAAACAGAGGCGGGCGTGTGTATGTGTGTGTGTGTGTGTGCGTGTGCGTGCGCGTGTGGCGTAAGGAAACTTGTCTAAGTTTTGCCCTGAACCGCCCCACTCGGGAATCGAACCCGGGTCCTCTCTCGCTTGCGAGGCGAGGGCTCTAACCGCTGAGCTACAGGACTCTTGAGCTGAGCAAAGAGACCGAACAGAGAAGTGATGTGGGGGGTGATCAGATGGATAGATAGCGAGCTGCAGGGGCGTGAAGAGATATGTTAAGTGTTACGTTTAAGCCTTTCTAACCTTATGGAACTGGAGATCGTCGAATCTCTGAAACTTTCCAAACGTCCTTTGTGATTGACAGCCCTGAAAGTTAGAAACAAACACCGGTTCTTCAGACTCAACGCAGCAACTAATAATAACGATAATAATCTTTTGCCTTTGACGCAGCGCCTTATCACGCCTTCGAGACGTCTCAGGATTGTTACCCCTGGAAAGCGATCCACCAAATCGACTACCTTCTGACCTCCTGGTCTCCTCCTTGTCCCCCGAGTCCTATGCCCCGAGGCTCTGGAACTCCCTTCCTCACTCCCTTCGCCTCGACCCTCTCTTCCTATTTTCAGGTCTCTGCTGAAGACCTTTCTTTTGGTCGCTTCCCCGCCCCCCACCCGTCCCCCCGGCTCGGCCCCGGGATCCGTCCGGCGTGGAGGGCGCTCGCTATATAAATCCAAGTCGTCGTTGTTGTTGACTCAGAGGTGAGAGTGTGAGCGACTGAGCCAACCCGACCCACCATGTCCTTACGTTGGCTTTTAAGTGTTTCCGAAAGGGTGTGTGTGTGTGTGAGGAGTGCGGTTGGACTTACTGTGACCTGACAGCAATCTTGGGGTTTGGGAGCAACATCGCTGAGAAGAGGAGAAAAAGTTATTAAAAATAATTAACACTTAGGATGTTTCTCTCCAGAACTCTCCCGCCTGTCCCTCCCCCCCCCCCACCCCACCCCGCCTTGCCTCCTCCTTCCCCGCAGCTAAAGCCCTTCCTCTTCGACCTACAGTGTCTACGGTCACCTCCCCCCACCCCCGGTCACCTCCCACCGCACCCCACCCTCCACCCCTCACCCCTCACCCCCCGGCTCTGCTTCATGCTCCATCACCGTCAACTTACCTTCAGCTCCCAAACTAAGATCATCCTCAAAACTGCTGTCACCTCTCACTCCGGCAGCGTCTGAGAGGGGGAAAGAGTAGAGGCTGAGTAACACTTAACTTGCTGAGTGTTTGGTCAGTATCAGTGGCCGAGCTCTGTGTGGGTTTAGTTGGTTAGACTCCAGCAGTTACCCCCCAACGCACACTCTGGGCTCTCCGCCCCCCACCCCACCACCCAAGCCGTGGCTCTCGCCAACCTGCGCCTAATACTCTCCGGAATTAGGTAAGCAGAGGGCGTCCCTCCAGAGAGAGAGAGAGAGAGAGCGCATTCGATTCCAACACTCTATCTGTGGGGTTTCCAGGTGCAGACGGGAGGTCTGGGATTCTCAGTTGGGTTTGGAGACTCTTAAGCAATGGTGATGGGCTTCTGTGTGTGTCAGACACCCCCCTCGGCTGAACCCAAAAAAACAGTGTTAACAACCGGGTTCCTACTGATTGCTGGTAAACAGAGGCGTGTGTGTGTGTATGTGTGTGTGTGTGTGTGTGTTCGTGGGGGGGAGTAAGGAAACTTGCCTAAGGTTTTGCCCTGACCTGACCCGGCCGGGAGGTGAACCCGGGTCCTCTGGCTCTCACTAACCACTGAGCTACGGGTCTCCAACAGAGTAACACTCGCCCACTGTGATGCTTAGCGACGACGCTGAGCCCCGATCTCTTACCTTGGTCCCTGGGGGGGCTGCTGTTGTCCAGGATGCTCTCCGGTGGAGCCCTGAAAAACAGGAGGGAGGATTTGCATTGGGCGCTGTTATTCCCGGACTATTGTCCCGTTCCCTCATTATCCGATCGTGTTGGTGACCCCCCGGCTGTGCCCGTGCGGGAAGTTCGGTGGGATTTGGTGTGATTTGCGTCGTGCGATTAACAGCGACAACTTGTACAAACAACAACAACAGCAATAATAATAATAATAACAATCCTTGCATTGCCTTATCGCGTCTTCGAGGACGTCTCAAAGGGTCTTCGCAGGCGACGCTGTATTTCTTGAGCGCCCTCCACGACACCGACGCCGGCGGTCGCGGTAATAGTTCGGGGACACGACATGTCAAACGACTGCCCGGGACGGTCGGTGGAAGGTCTTCTTTTTGCCGGGAGGATTCTCACGATCTCCCTGCGGCGGAAGCGTGTGCGCGTGCGTGGGCGTGCGTGGGTGCGTGTGCGTAGCTTCGGCGGGCGAAGAGGATAAGATGAACGTATTGCTCCTACGCTCTCCTGCACGTACCCGCAATCCTGTAGCCAACTTGTTATCTTGTCCTCCGAACTTCCTGCAGAAAACAGGAAATGCTGATTGTACACGAGCTCGCTCGCGCATATTAGAGACGTCTCAAAGGCGTGATAAGGCGCTGCCATCGAACGCGGGGATTATTTTATTGTTGTTATCGCGGTCTCACACACACACACACACACACACACACACGCGCGCAGTCACACGCACAGTCGCTCAGGTACACAGTCACGCACAGTCAACCACACGCAGTCACACGCCCAGTCTCACACGCGCACGCAGTCGTGCAGACACACAGTCGCGCGCGCGTGCGCGCACACACGCACACACACACGGTCAAACACACACAGTCACAGGCGTACACAGTCAACCACACACACAGTCACACACACACACACAGACACACACACAGTCAAACACACTCGCTCACACCATCACACGCAGTCGCACAGAATCTGCACACAGCCCTCGCGAAGGAAACTATATAAAAGCAAGTTGTTGCTGTTGTCGCTCTGCGGCCCCCCCACGCACCCACCCACCCCCCTCGCCACTCTTTGGAACTCCACCCCACAGTCCCTCCGCCTCGTCCCATTCCCCCCCTCTCCACCTCCTCAAGTCCCCTCTCAAAGACCCTCCTCCTCGCCTGCGCCTCCAGTCACCCTCCAACCCCACCCTCCGCTCCCTCCACCTCCCCCCCCCCCCCCTCCTGATCCAAACCCCCAGCAAATCCCTGTCGTCGTCGTTTCGGCCCCCACCGCCCTGCAAATAGCTGCTCACCTTCAGTCAGGACTTTCTCCTTCAGCGACTGCCATTGACCGCGGCTCCGAGCCCAGGCCTGACGTCTCCTGGAGACGCTGCGCTGTGCCCCGGTTTGTTGAGGCGGTGAACACTCCATCATCTCTCTCACTGGGTGGACGGTGGTGGGGTGGGGGGGGGTGTGGTGGGGGGGGGGGGTGGGGAGAGAGACAAGGAATGGAAAGAGGTCAGAGTTAGAATAATAATAATTACTGCCACTGATAATAATAGTATTAATTATAATGGTTAATAATAAATTATATTATTACACCGAACGTGGCATTCCTTATAGGATGATAATAGATTTATTACATGTGGTATAACGTTAATTATATAACGGTAATACGATGATAATAAATAATAAAAACCTAATTAAAAAAAAAGGTAGAAAAATGCTGTTTGGGTTTCGACATTCGGTGAAAACCCACATAAGTCTGACCCGGTGGGGAGACCCTGTACCTCGCAGTCGAGAGGACCCGGGTTCGATTCCCGAATGGGACACAGCGACGGCTTTTCCCGGGGCTATTAATTCCTTCCGAAAAAAAAATGATAATAAATTGGTCCCTTCAGTCCACGGCTCTTTGTGGGGACGTCGCTGGGAGCCGTTGGCCGCCGCCTTTCGCCTGCAAACTACACAGTCACTACACTTTGCAGTGCAATCCCGCGAAGGGCTTTGAGACGTCTCGAAGACGCGATAAGGCGCCGGGTCAAAGGCGAGGATTATTATTATTATTATGATGATTATTATGATTATTATCACTGATTCTCAAGAAGCAGAGAGAGAGAGAGGGACAGAGAGAGACAGAGAGAGAGAGAGAGACAGAGAGAGAGGTAGAGAGAGAGGTAGAGAGAGACAGAGAGAGAGAGAGAATCGTGCAGTCTCCCTCTGTGTTCCTTACCCGGCGTCCTCACTGCGGGGTCCCGAGCGGCTCAGCTCCCGTCTCCCCGACCGCACGAGTCCTGCCGCACCGAAACATTCCCAGAAAGCCTTCCGTCGGTGTCTCCAGTCGGGAGCGGAGCCTCTGACGAGGGAGGCCCTGGTTTTCCACACACCCCCCACCCACCCCACCCCACCCCCACCTCACCGCCCCGTCTCTCTCTCTCTCTCTCTCTCTCTGGCTGGGAACCAACCCGGAAATCGCGAGGCTCGACGGAAACTGCCAACCCACTTCCTGTGGGTCGGGGCTGGTTGGAGCAGTTTAGAGACTGACTCACAATCAACGGTCGCCCGCCAACGTTTCTGAGAACTTGGCGTCGGTGTGTCTCTCTCTCTCGCTCTCGCTCGCTCTCGCTCGCTGATCGAGCCCAAGAACGCGTTTAAACCACAGGAAACGCGTCAAAGACGTCAGTCCCGCGCGCGCTCTCTCTCTCTCTCTCACTATCTCTCTCTCCGTGCGATCACCAGCGGTGAGATTGGGCTCCACTCAATGTTTCCACTTGTTACCGGAGTTGGGAGTCAATAGGATCCTGTTTTGTCTCCTTTTGTGGGTGTGTATGCGTTCGCGTGTGTGTTTGCGTGTGTGTGTGTGTTTGTGTGTTTGTGTGTGTGTGTGTTTGTGTGTGTGTGTGTGTGTTTCTGTATGTGTTTGTGTGTGCGTTACCAACTCCCACCTTATTGCTGCCGTAAAGACTTGCCACCGAAATATCAACCAGAAACACGGTCACCAGCACAGAATTATTACAGGATAATAATTACAGAATAATAATAACAATAATAACAACAACAACAACAATAATAATCTTTGCCTCTGTCACGTCAGGCGAATATCTCAAAGCGCTTCACAGGAAATATCGTACGGCGATCAGAACAATCCTTCCGTTTGACACGAGGCTTTTTATCGAAGGATCATAGAATCTTACAGCACAGAAGGAGGCCATTCGGCCCATCGGGCCCTGTGCCGCTCTTCGGAAGAGCCACCAACTAGTCCCACTCACTCCCCCCCGCTCTTACCCCAACTGGTCCCTCTCACTCCCCCCCGCTCTTTCCTGCAGCCCTACACATTTATTCCCTATCCAATTCCCTTTTGTAAAGTTATCAACTCGTTGAGACGTCTCAAAGCTCTTCACAGTCAATCCACTTTACAGTATATCCTGTGAGGCGCTTTGAGGCGTCTGTAAGGCTCTATGTTACATGTGAGGATTATTCTGATGACTCTGATGGTGATTATTATTATATTACCAATCACCTGCTCCGGCTGTTTTCTTTTCTTCACAGGAATCCTGCAATTGGCCTTCAACCTCAGAGGTGGGACATTCTCAAGGTCCAACTTAGACCTCGTGTTTGACAGATTACACGTCCATTGACGTGAAACAGTGCGGGGAGGGAGTGTGTGGGGGTGGGGGGGTGGGGGGAGGTGGGGGGAGGTGGGGGAGGGGGGGAGGTTGGTGCAAAGGGGGTTTGGAAAAATATTTTTCCATCAAAAACAACATCCGCGGCCAAAAAACTGATAAACCCCCCCAGCGTGTGAAATCAGTTTTGCCCCCCCCCCACCCCCAAAAATACACAGTCACTACACTTGACGGTACATTCTGCGAAAGTCTTTGAGACGTCTCAACGACGCGATGAGAGGCAATAACCCTCAAGTGCAAGTCGTACTATGATTAATCGTTAATTATTATTAATCATTGATTATTAATTATGATTATTACGATGGTTATCAGCTTCCTCCTGGGATACTTTCCTGATGTTCGCACAAACCACCGCGTTAGAGGGCAACGATCCCACAAACTGCTGACCTGCTGATTGGCTCGCGAGCCCAGTACATAGGAGAGTCTGCAGGAGGCGAGGGGGTGGGCAGTCGGTGCGGGCGGGCGGTCCTGTTGGGTGTTGAAGCACGTCACTGCAATGAAGCCGGCAGCTCTCCTCACCCTGCTCCTCTGCAGCGCGACGGCGAGGCACGTCGGTTACTGTGAGTGCGTCTCTCTCTCTCTCTCTCTCTCTCTCGGCTCGTCCTTCTCGCGCGGTAATAGCTCACCCGTTAAGCGCCCGACCCGCGCGAATCGTGCGGCCGTGACGGCAAAGGTCCTGGCGCTTGATGCAGCGTCGTGGAGACGTCTCAAAGGGCTTCGCGGGACCCGGGGCACGTACCCTAAAGTGGAGCGACTGTGCATTGCAAAGGCGACACTTGCCGCCACTGTTTTATCTGGCGGCAAGTGATCAATTATTTAGTGAATTTAAGTGAGCGATTGATGAATCGGCTGCTCATTAATTTAATTGGTTGAGACGCCTCAAAGCGCTTTATCGCGAGTCGATTCCGCTCCAATCCACTCATCAGTTATTTATTATCGGATGAATTCATCGGCGATCGCGCTGATAAATTCTTCCGGTAGCGGGGTACGCGATAAGAGTTTGTGTCGGCGTTGGTCCCCACCGCTGGCGGTTCCCAGACAATAGCTACTGTTCCGAAGGGAATTTCGGGATCGTTCCCGTTCAGTTCAGTGGTCTGCAAATCCCATTCACACCAGTTTTCTGGATGAAATGGCTCATTTATCCCTTGTGTAAGCAAGGTCACACTGTGAGGCCATCCCTCACCCCCTCCCTCCCTCCCCCTCCCCCCTCCCTCCCTCCCTCCCTCCCTCCCTCCCTCCCTCGCCTCCTCCAAAACCCGGCTCAAGACCCTCCTCTCCGACCAACCGCCCCTTCCCATGTTATCTTCCCGTGGAAGGGTGACCGAAGGGGCGGTTGGTGGAAGAGGAGGTTGAAGGGGGAAGAGAGGGGGTGAGGGGGTTGGGTGGTTGGGGGGGGCGAGGGGAGGGGGGTGAGGCGGAGGGACTGTGGGATGGAGTTCCAGAGGGTGGGGGTGAGAGAGAGAACCTGTGACGTGGCGAGATTCCTGGCGCACAACGTGAGAAATGGACATGTTTTAAGCCAAGGTCAGATCGACCCGATGACACCAACAATTGGGAACTAAAAATAAATGATTAATAATGATTCGGTCACTCAATCCACCGCTCGCACTCTCTCTCTCTCTCCTCGCACACCCGCTCGCACTCTCTCTCTCTCTCCTCGCACACCCGCGCGCACTCTCTCTCTCTCTCTCTCTCCTCGCACACCCGCTCGCACTCTCTCCTCTCGCCCACGCACACCCGCTCACGCTCTCACACTCATACTCGCTCACGCCCGCTCGCACTCTCTCGCCTCACCCCGTCACGCCCGCTCGGGCTCTCTCCTCGCGCGCACACTCACGCTCTCTCTCCTCTCACACCCGCTCACGCTCGCTCTCTCTCCTCTCGACCTCTCACAGCCGAGCTCTCGTGCGAGGGAAGATGCGGGGAATCGTACAACCCCAACGACCTTTGTCACTGCAACTCAAAGTGTAGCAGATACAACAACTGCTGTGAGGATTATACCCTGATCTGTGGGGGTGAGTGAACCCGGTGTAAGCGAAGTCACGCGTGTGTGTGCGTGTGTGTGTGTGCACGCGTGTGTGCGCTTCTTTGTTTGTGCGCGCGCGTGTCTGTGCGCGTGCGTGTCTGGGTGTCTGTACACGTGTGTGTGTGCATGTGTGTGTCTGTGTGCCAGGGTTGGGTTGGGGGCGAGGTGGGTGAGGGGGTGGGGGTGTTCCTGTTCTGCTCCGGGAGCTAATCCAGGTGCCCGACCCCAGGTGTTACTGACCCTGATCCCACTCCTCACGCAGAGCCCATCACTGATGCCGAGACCCGGAGTGTGTCTGAGAGACTCTACTTAAAGGACGTCAACAAACCCACAGCGTCTGAGCTCCAAATCAACCCCCAGCGCCTGATCGACAACTCGCAGACCGATGGCCAAGTCGATTACTCTCCAGAGAGGTCAGTGTCCTGGCCACGCAGTCCATCTCTCTACCCTCCCTCTGTCTCCCTCTGTCTGTCTGTCTGTCTGTCTGTCTGTCTGTCTGTCTACGCTCTCTGTGTCTCTATATCTCTCTCTACGTCTACCCTCTCTCTGTCTCTCTCTGTCTGTCTCTGACAGTGTCTGTCTCTCTGTCTCCGTCTTTCTCTCTCTGTTGTCTCTCTGTCTGTCTCCTTCTATCTCTACCCTCGCTCTGTCTCTCTCTGTCTGTCTATCTATCTGTTGCTCTGTCTCTGTCTGTCTACCCCCTCTCTCTCTATATCTACCCTTTCTCTGTCTCTCTCTATCTGTCTGGATGTCTCTCTGTCTCTTGACCTTCCCGCCCTTGTCTCTGTCTCTCTACCCTCTCTCTTTCTGTCTCTCCCTATTTGTCTACCGTGTGTGTGTGTCTCTCTCCCGCATCTCTCGCTCTCAACCCATCTTTCTCCCCCACCTCTTTCTCCCCCATCTCTCTCTCTCTCTCTCTCTCGACAACCTCCCAACATGAAAGGCGCTGTGTAATATACACCTCTCTCCGTCTCCCTTCCAGGTTTTATTCCTACGTGAATGAGGAAGTTCTCTTCTCCAGACCCACGTACGCTGCCTTCATCTCTCTGCTCAACAATTACCAGTGGATGACTGGCGAGGACGAGGAATTCACCCCGGAGCAGATAATGGAACAAGACAACTTCCTGACAGCCATCATGGAGACACCCATCATGGAGGAACTGTACAGCTTCCTGCACTCCAAGAGTAAGCGTCTGCGCTGGGAAAGCACAGGCAACGGTGTCCCTCGCACATAGTGTCATACACACACTCACACACACTCATACACACACACACACACACACACAAATACACACACACACACACACACACACTCATACATACATACACACACACACTCATACATACACACACTAATACACACACACACACACTCATACATACATACACACACTAATACACACACACACTAATACACACACACACACTCATACATACATACACACACACGAATACATACACATGCACACTCACACACTAATACATACACACACGAATACATACACATACTCGCACACACACTCATACACACACACACTAATATACACACACAAATACACACACACACACTCATACATTCACACACACTAACACATACACATACACACGCGCGCACACACACACACTCACACACTAATACATACACTCTCATCAACACACGCACAGTGTTACAAACACACACAGTGTCACACACATACCTATCAATCCTCCTGGAGTCCCGTAGCTCAGGGGTTAGACCCCTCGTCTCGCGAGCGAGAGGACCCGGGTTCGATACCCGGGCGGGTCAGGTCGGGGCGAAACCTTAGGTAAGTTTCCTTACTCCCTCCCACACACCGACACAGACACACACAGACCTCTGTTTACCAGCAGTCAGTAGGAACTCGGTCGTTAATCGCTCGGCGGATCGCTTTTCCTGTTGTTATGCCGTGTTTCTGCCACTCAGAGAAGTACAAGACTGTGGAGGAGTTTAAAGAGGACCTTAAGAAGATGTGGTTTGGACTGTACTCTCGAGCCTATGGCGCCCAAGATTCCAGCGGCTTTGAGCACATATTCCTGGGTAATTCACGACTTCAACACAGTAATAATAACGATAATAACCCTTATAATCCCCTTGGGATACCCTCTCCCCCTGCCCACAACACACACACACACACAGCACTCCATCACCTGCCAATATTAATAAGGAATAATAATAATCCTCACATTTGACCCGGCGCCTTATTATGTCTTCGAGACGTCTCAAAGCGCTTCACGGGATACGCTGCAAAGTGCAGTGACTGTATATTTTGTGGGCAGCCAATTGCGCACAGCGACGTCCCCACAAACAGCCGTGGGTTGAAGTGGCCGATTTATTATTATTATTCATTATTATAAAATAACAGCCAAACGCAAACACCCGACACTCCACCGTCTGACAGCAACAGTGACGTTAACGGTATAATAATAATCCTGGCATTGGATACGGCGCCTTATCAGGTCATCGAGAGCGTCTCAAAGCGCTTCACAGGATACACCGTAAAGTGTAGTGACCGTATTGTAGGGTTAGCGGGAGTTGAGTGGAATGACTCCTTGACCCCAGGGACAAGTCTCTCTCTCTCTCTCTCTCTCTCTCTCCCGTTCCTCTGCCCCTAATACCACACGTTCCTTTGGCCACAGGTGAGGTGAAAAAAGGGATCGTGAGTGGATTCCACAACTGGATCCAGTTCTACCTGGCGGAGAAGCGAGGAGAGCTCAACTATTACAGCCACAACTTCAACAATCCCGTGAGGAAAAACCACCGCCACCACAACAACGACGACACAGGGCACTTCACGGGGGGGGTGGGGGGGGGGGGGGCAGTGTCTCGGACCGTTTAACGGTGGCGGAGCCCGGGTGAGGGAGGGAGGGAGGGAGTCAATGAACTCGGGTTCTCTCGCTTGCGAGGCGCCAGGTCGAACCTTTTTTTTTCCAGCTCCCTCCTTCAAACGAGTCACACACAAAAAAAGAAACCCAAACAGCCCCCAATAGAAAGTCGTTAACTCAATCCCCTCCGCTCCACCTCCGCACTTTCAGCCATTACGCCCCGAAGCTTTTGAACTCTCTCCCCCAACCCCTCCGCTAATTATCCCCCCCCCCCCCCCACCCAACCACCGCCACTGTCACAGCAGCCTGGCCGGGCATCGTTGGCAGAGAGATCTCTGCGACCACATCTGTGCCACTGCCCCATCCCTGGCACATCTGACAGCCAGCAGCGCTTCAAAGCCACATCTTTGGCCAGAAAAGTTAATAGATGCAGGAGTTCTCCTGCGGCTCAGGGGTTAGAGCCCCCCTCGGCCTCGCAAGCCAGAGGACCCGGGTCCGATTCCCGGGCGGGAGAGGTCAGGGCGAAATGTTGGGCAAGTTTTCTTCCTCCACACACACACGCACACGCACACGCGCGCGCGGACGCGCAAAATTCTCACTCAATCCACGGCTGTTCCCTCAGATGACCGGTTATCCGGATATCCTCGGGATGCAGTTTGACTGGAACGGTTACTTCAAGGAAGTTGGTTCTGAATTCGTCGGCTCCAGCCCAGAGTTTGACTTTGCCATTTATACTCTGTGTTTCATCGCAAAGCCGGACGGAGTGTGAGTATCAGCAACGAAGCAGCAATTGTGGAGTAATTCCTGTAGCTCAGTGGTTACCGATCGATTAGCACACGTGCGCGCCTCTGTTTATCAGCAGTAAGTAGGAACCCGGTTGTTAGTCGATTGGCGGATCGCTTTCCGGGGATAATAATCCCTCAAAACAGATCGGCTGCCGCGTTTCGCCCACAAAATATACAGTCAATTCACTTCACAGCGTATCCCGGGAAGCGCTTTGAGACCTCTCGAAGACGTGATCAGGCGCTGTATCAAACGCGAGGATTATTACTAATTACTATCAATATTATCAGCGCTAATATCATCATTGATAATATTATTATTATCGGTAACCTTTCGCGTCCTACCCCGATCTCCCTGCAGGTGTCGCGTACGTTTGGGAGGCACTGAGGTGGAAATCCAGACCTACACCTGGTCCAAGACCTCGTACGGCAACGGGAAGAAATACGTGGCTTCAGCTTATCCCAGGTCTCCCTGAGAGTGAGGCGTTCTGTATCCCAGCTATCGCCCCCCCCCCCCCAGGGAATAAATAAAAATAATTCCCTCCACCTTACCCTCTCTGCTCATCATTGCAAAACGCACAGTCGCTAACACTTTACAGCGTATCCTGTCCTGCGAAGCGCTTTGAGACGTTCTCGAAGACGTGATAAGGCGCTGTGTCAAACTCCGCGATTGTTATCAGGAGTCGGAGTTATAAATGCAAGTTAGGGCGGCGGAGCCGTAGTGTGGAGGAAAAAAGGGAAAGGTTTAGAGACACAAAGATAAAGGGGCAAATTGAGCTCCAAAGCCTTCAAATGTGTGTGTGTCTGTCTGTGTGTGTGTCTGTCTGTGTGTCTGTCTGTCTGTGTGTGTGTCTGTCTGTGTGTCTGTCTGTCTGTGTGTCTGTGTGTGTCTGTCTGTGTGTCTATCTGTGTGTGTCTGTGTCTGTCTATCTGTGTGTGTCTATGTATGTGTGTGTCTGTCTATCTGTGTGTCTATCTGTGTGTCTGTCTGCCTATCTGTGTGTCTGTGTGTGTGCGTCTGTCTGTCTGTGTGTCTGTGTGTGTGTGTCTGTCTATCTGTGTGTCTGTCTGTGTGTGTGTGTGTCTGTCTATCTATGTGTCTGTCTGTGTCTGTGTGTGTCTGTCTATCTGTGTGTCTGTCTGTGTGTGTGTGTGTCTGTCTGTCTATGTGTATGTCCGTGTGTCTGTGTTAAAAAAAACATATTCAATCATTTTAATTTACTTCGCAAAATGGGATTGCGATATCTGAGCCGTGTGGGTTTTACATCTCTGGGTTTAGGATTTCTGACGGGTCCCGGAATAAAAGGTTCCGCTCGGAAATGTGGCTCTAATCTGAGGAGATGTGCAGTGTTTCTGTCTGAAACAACTCGTTCTTCCCTCTGTACTCTCTCTCTCTCTCTAACACGATTCCTTCCTACGTTCCTCTCTTTCCCAGTTTTTGTTCTGCCTTTTCCCCTCAACACATGAGCCTCCGCTAATCGATCGGTTTATTCTGGTACACACACATATACACACTCACTCACTCACACACACACATATATACACACACACACACACACTCACTCACACGCACACATGTACGCACACTCACACATGTACACACACACACACACAAGCACACTCACATATATACACACACACACACACACTCACTCACACGCACACATGTACGCACGCTCACACATGTACACACACACACACACACAAGCACACTCACTCACACACACATATACGCACAATCACACTCACACACACGTGTACACACATACACACAAACACACTCTCACACATACACGTATATACACACATACATACACACTCACTCACGTACACACACACATACTCGCATACACACACAAACGCACACACGCGTGTGCTCCCAAGGCTGTATATAAAGTGTGTCGCCTCGTTCAGGGGACAATAATCTGCTTAAGAAAAAAAGAGTTGAAATTGTCTCTTAAAGCTTTGAAATCCTCTCCCAAGCTTCCAACACAGCGGTAATTACATGTACACAACCCACCGCCCCCCCCACCGCCTCCCACCCTCCTACCCCCCCCCCCCCCCCCCACCCACCACAGGAACATTTACCGTTACTGTCATAACAGCAGGAAAAGGCATCGTTTATATTAAATGTCATATAATAATAACAACAACAACAATAATAATCCTGGCGTTTGATCCGGCGCCTCATCAGGTCTTTGAGGCGTCTCAAAGCGCTTCCCGGGATTCGCTGTAAAGTGTAGTGACCGTGTGTTCTGTGGGCGAAACCCTGGATATCAAATACACAAAGTCACTACACTTTACGGCATATGCTGCGAAGCGCGTTGAGACGTCCCGACGATGGGACACAGGGCCCTGAGAGCCAACGCGAGGATTCGTATTGTTATTGTTGCTCTCACGACGGTTTGAGTCGAACGAGGAAATCTAATTAAACCGAGTGGATTTTCCAACTGAATGGGCAGATTAGAGGGCAGGAGGGCTGGTCTGCGGACACCGAGCACACAGTCTTCCTCTGGGAGGTTTATACATGCGACAGATGGACCTCTGCTCAGCTTCCCACCCCCCCCACTCCCCCCTCTCTCTCCCCCCCCCTCCCCTCCGCCACCACACACACACACACACACACACGCAGGAGTACAGCAGCCCTCGATAGCAAGTCTGCCAACAGCACACGTGTCTTTGGAACCACACAGATGGTCAGTAGCTCTCCAGCCATCGGTGCTGAACTGCCCACTAATCAGACACAGGGCTGGAGCGGGAGAGAGGGAGAGGGGGATAAGGGGGAGACAGCGAGAGAGAGCGAGAGAGAGAGAGAGAGAGACAGAGAGAGACAAAGCGAGTGAGAGACAGAACGAGAGAGACAGAGTGAGTGACAGAGATACAGCGAGAGAGAGAGAGAGAGAGAGAGACGGAGAGCCAGAGAGCGCGGTGAGCCCATCACTGAACCCAACCTCAATGGATGCTCTTTAAGAGTTGATTGCAATCGCTTCTGACCGGGTAAAGTATTTTCCAAAGTTTGTTCCCTGTTCTATTTGCCTCCCGCCCTCAATCCACAGAATATGTACCGTAAAGTGTAGTGACTGCGTACTTTCTGGGCGAAAGGCGGCAGCCGACTGCGCCCGGCAGTGTGGCTCACGAACAGCCGTGGATGGAGTGACCCAATTATTATTATCGTTCGTTTTTTTTGGGGGGGGAAGGGATTATTACCCCTGGAAAAGCGATCCGCGCGCGTGTGTGTGCGTGTGTGTGTGTGTGTGTGTGTGTGGGGAGTAAGGAAAGTCGCCCAACATTTCGCCCCGTCCTGACCCGCCCGGGAATCGAACCCCGGGGTCCTCTCGCTTGTGAGGCGAGAGGTCTCTAACCCCTGCGACACAGGACTCCCGCGTAATGTTTCATAAATCATTTTATTGCATTTTTCCCCCCACATTCTCTCTCTCTCTCTCTCTCGCGTAAGAGGTCATCCGCGTTACGCCCGGGAAGCGCACGAGTCAATGCGTTTGGCGGAGTGTCCCGCGAGGCGCTTCGAGGCGTCTCGAAGACGCGATGAGGGGCTGAATCGAACGCCAGGAGTAGTATTGTTATTATTATTTACCGCTTATTATTATTTCACAATCGCAAACTTTGCCGTAGAGAGAGAGAGAGAGGGAGAGAGAGGGAGAGAGAGGGGGAGAGAGAGAGGGGGAGAGAGAGGGGGAGAGAGAGGGGAGAGAGAGGGGAGAGAGAGGGGGACGTGGGAATCCGTCGAAATGGATTACAGTCCATTTCTGGAATTAAAGGGGAAGCGTCTGCGCAGTCAGAAGAGATGGATTTTCAGGCTGAACGGACAGATTAGAAAATACTATAAGCTGATAAACGAGGAGATGCAGACTGTGTGTTCAATCTGCGCTCAAGGATTTATTCCAATTGCCAGCGACCTTCCCCCACTTTCCTAACAATAGAGGTCCCCCCCACCCCGGAGCTCGGTGGTTAGCGCCCTCGCCTCGCAAGCGAGAGAGGACCCGGGTTCGATTCCCGGGCGAAACATTGGGCAAGTTCCTTACTCCACACACACACACGCGCGCGCGCGCCTCGGTTTACCAGCAGTCAGTAGGAACCCGGTTTCTTAGCCGATTGGGGGATACCTTTCCCGGGGGGTGATAATCCCCTTTTAGAAACAAAATGGTCGCTCAAACCGCGGCTGTTTGTGGGGCCGTCGCTGGGCAAAACACACAGTCACTGCACTTTGCGGTGTATCCCGTGAAGCGCTTTGAGGCGTCTCGAAGACGTGATCGAGCGCCGGGTCGAATGCCGGGATTATTATTATTATTATTTTGATCTTATTATTATTATTATTAAGCACGAGTTGTTGCTGCTGTTTTGCTCAGACCATCGCCATGACAAAGACCTACAGCAAACCCACGGAGATGACACTGAGGAACTTCCTGGAGGAGAGCGCGAGTTCGCAGGACGAAACGAGACAGGGAGACACGCTGGACAGTCTGAGCAAAGGTGAGGAGGAGGAAGGAGAACAAGAGGAGGAAGGAAGCGACAAGGGAGAGTACGAGGTGGGGGGGGAGGAGGAGGAGGAAGAGGAGGAGGAGGAGGAGGAGGATGGGCCCAAGCCCACGAGGCGAGGTCCTAAGAAGAGGAAGGTGACCAAGGCGAGGGTGGAGAGGTTCAAAGCGCGGAGACTGAAAGCCAACGCGAGAGAACGGAGCCGGATGCACGGACTCAATGCAGCACTGGACAACTTGCGGAAAGTCATGCCCTGTTACTCCAAAACCCAGAAGCTGTCCAAGATTGAGACGCTGAGGCTCGCCAGCAATTACATCTGGACTCTCTCGGAGATCCTCCAGACTGGGAAAAGCCCCGAGTCCAAAGCCTTCGTCCAGATGCTCTGCAAAGGCCTATCTCAACCCACCACCAATTTGGTCGCAGGTTGCCTGCAGATCAATCCCCAAGCCTTTATGCTGGAGAGACCAGAAGAGGAGGGGTCTGAGCCTTGCGAGGCCATTGGCTCCGTTAATTCCTTCGACTACCCCACCCCAGGACTCCCCAGCCCAGTCTACGGCAGCCTGGACCCATCTCATTTCCTGCACGCCAAGCCTCACAGCTATAGACCGTTGGTGGAACCTTTATTCGAGGCCCGATCGGCAGATTGTCCCAGCTCACCCCACCCTCCAGCAACGCCAACGTACAAGGACGCCTTGAGTCCAGCTCTGAGCATCAGTGGGAACTTCTCCCTGAAGCAGGAGGCCAGGGCTGGGGAGATGGATAAACCCTACGGCCTCGGGTCTCACTATCCCTCGGCCACCCTCCACGGACCCCAAGGTCAAGGCCCTGTGTTCCCCGCGGGAATCAACCGATACCAGATCCACTCGGAAAACTTGGTGACTTCCTTTGACCCGTACCCCCCTCACCCTCACCCCCATCCCCACCCTCACCCCCACCATCTGCTGAGCTCACAGCTCAACACCGTGTTCCACACATGAACTGCTACGACGACAACACATTGCGTTTGTATATGACGAAGACGTCCCAGGGCGTGGGTTTATTTTGGGGGGTTATTTTGGACCCGAGCTGGGAGTTGGGGTCAGGAGGGGAGGAGGGCAGGGGGGTGGGGGTCTTTATTCGAGGGGTGGGAGGGTGGCTGAAGGCAAAGGCCTTTGACGGGACTTGAAGGAGGCAAGGGAGGTGGGTGGGAATGGGGGATAGAGTCCCAGAGGGTGATGGGGGGCAGCAGAGATGCTGGATGCCCACTCGCTGATGGTGGGGCGGGAAGTGCGGGGGGGACCTGAAGGAGACCGGGCACGACAACAACTTACCTTTTGTAAGTTGTTCAATAATTTTTTTAACATATATATATATATATACGACACCGAAGAGATTAACGACATTTTTTTTAAAACTGATGTTTAACTGCAATTAAAGATGGGATCAAAACTCCAAAGGCATTTTGACTTTTCTTTTGCTTCCTGCTCATGCTCGCTTATCTTATTTGGGTTGCGGTGTGGGTGGGGTCGGTGGGGTGGGGGTGGGGATATCTCAATGCTGGGTGGGTGCCCTCCCGTTCAATCCACGGCTGTTTGTGGGGACGCTGCCGTGCGCCGTTGGCTGCCACGTTTCGCCCACAAAATACAGTCAATTCACGTCCGTTGAGACGTCTCACAGCGTGGTGTGTGTGTGTGTGTGTGTGTGTGGGGTGGGGGGGGTGAGTAAGGAAACTTGCCTAAGGTTTCGCCCCGACCCGCCCGGGAATCGAACCCGGGTCCTGTGGCTCTCTTCAAGGCGCTCCGCAATGCACATTCGCTCACTGTTGGATTGAGAGATTAACTGATCCTGACGGGGGCTTAAAGTTTCCCAATCAGACTCGAGGCAGGTATGTATAATCACCCCGTCTCTCCACCACACACTCAGCATTTCAATTGCAGATCCTCTCCGGAAACTAATCTTTAATCACTTGTTCTCAGAGAGAGAGAGAGGGAGAGAGAGAGAGAGAGGGGGAGAGGGGGAGAGGAAGAGAGAGAGGGGGAGGAGAGAGACACAATACCCATTAATAATAATTAAAAATAATACTTGCATTTGATACAGCGCCTTATCACGTCTCAAAGACATAAGGCGATGCATCAGGGAATTATTACGTCTGTGTCCCGCTGTCCACCCGGTGGCCGGATGGCAGCAGAGTGGCTTTATACGGCACCTTTCACACCAGGAAGACATCTCGAAGACATGCTTAAGAGTCTCCAAACCCAACTGGGAATTCCAGGCCTCCCAACTACACACGGAAATCCCTGCGATAGGTTGTTGGAATGGAATACGCTCTCTCTCTCTCTCTCTCTCCCCAGAGGGATGCATCTTGCTTACCTAATTCCGGAGAGTATCAGGCTCAGGTCGGGCAGATATTCTGTGGCCAAACACGTCACCTTGGGGCCATTTCAGGCTGTTGGATGGAAGGAGGGATGAGATCGAATGGACCAAAGGGTCTTCTCCAAGCGAACCAACCTCGTGAACGTGCCTGTGCTTTTTTTTGTTAAAAAAAAAACCCATTAAAGCTCTGCATATTTATTGTTTTTAAAAATTGAAAGGATTTTTTTTTATTTAGGAATACTCATTCTCGAGGAGCGACGCGAAGGGAAGATTTAGAAGCCTCGTTGGGTAGTCTCTTCTTACACGTGACTGGAGGACAGATCTTCCACTATCCTCTTTCTTGCTCTCTCAATCTCTATCTTGAAACGGCTCATTCGATCGGACGCCACTTTCCTCTACAAAAGATCACCGCAATCAACACGGAGCTTAGAATCACTGAACGCACCATTTGTACGGCGCCGCTATATCAAATGCAAGGATTATTATTAATATTTTTATGATTATTATCATCATATTGCAGCGCAGGAGGAGGCCGTTCGGCCCATCGTGCCTGTGCAGGCTCTTTGGAAGAGCCCCACCAAATTACTCCCACCCCCCCCCGCTCTTTCCCCATTAATAATAATAACACTTGCATTCCGTACAGCGCCTTATCACGTCTTCGAGACGTCTCAAAGCGCTTCTCGGAATACACCATAAAGTGAGTGTAGTGGCTGTGTATTTTGCGGGCAGCCAATCGCACACAGCAGCGTCCCCCACAAACAGCCGCGGGACTGAGCGACCAAATTATTATCGTCTTCTCTCAGGGATTACTACCCCCGGAAAAGTGATCTGCCAATCGACTAACAAGCGGGTCCCAACTTCCTGTTAGGCAAACGGAGGCGTGCAAGTGAACACGCAAACAAAAACACGCACACGCGCACAAAAACCTGCAGTCACTGCCCCCAGTGTTTACCATATAAATTTTTAGTCTTTCCATCTCCAACTTTAAGAATTCTTCCACAGTGATATCATCCACATCGCTCTTCAGGGCCAGAAACCCACAGTTTGGAGAGTGGCTCTGATGTTCTTTCCTGAAGTGTTTTTTTTTTTGGGGGGGTGGGGGGTGGGGGAAGGGGGGAGAAAGAGACAAGTTAGAATAATAATGATCCTTGCGTTTGATACAGCGCCTTATCGCATCGTCGAGACGTCTCAAAGCGCTTCTCAGGATACACTGTAGAGTGCAGTGACTGTGTGTTTTGTGGGCAAAACGCACATAGAATCTTACAGCACAGAAGGAGGCCATTCAGCCCATTGGGCCTGTGCCAGCTCTTTGAAAGAGCCACCAACTAGTCCCATTCGCTCTTACCCCAACTATTCCCACTCACTCCCCCGCTCTTACCCCCCAAAGCCCTTTTTTAAGTCCCTATCCAATTCCCTTTTGAAAGCGCCTCTTGAATCTGCTTCCACCCCCAGCCTTTCAGATCATAACATCTCATGGATATTACAGGAAGAGGCCATTCAGCCCCTGGAGCCTGTTCCGCCATTCTATAAGACCACGGCTGATCTGTACCTCATCGTCGCCCCGTATCCCTCGATCCCCTGACCAGACAAATAATCCCGCCACCTCAGTCTGGACAATGTGAATGGATCCACCCGGAATCCATAGCCTTTTGGGGTGGGGGGGGGGCGAGAGAGCGAACCAACTCCCCTGGTTTCCCTCCTAAATGGGCCGTCTCTAATTATAACCTGATGCCCCACCTCGTTCTGGATTCGCCCCCACCCCACCCCGCAGTTTCCCTGTAGCCGCCCTCTCGAATCCCTTTAGCGTTTTAGAATTCTCAATCAGATTCCCCCTCAACCCTCTAAACTCAAAGGGATAGTTTACACACATACGAACACGCACAGCACACGCACAACATACATACAACACACACACACTCTCTCTTTCTCTCTCCCCCCGACTCCAGATACAAATAGCACAAACCAGGGGTCATCCTCAGGTTCCCAGTTGTCCAGTTCCTTCAGACAGAAAAAGCAGATCACCACATCGGGGTTATTGGGACCAGGAAAGTGGATAAAGCCGGCCTTGGCCATCTACAGGGGGAGAGAGACAGAGAGAGAGCGACAGAGAGAGTCAGAGAGAGGGAGAGACAGAGAGAGGGAGAGAGAGGGAGAGAGCGACAGAGAGAGTCAGAGAGAGGGAGAGACAGAGAGAGGGAGAGAGCGACAGAGAGAGTCAGAGAGAGGGAGAGTCAGAGAGAGGGAGAGGGAGAGACAGAGAGAGTCAGAGAGAGGGAGAGATGGAGAGACAGAGAGAGTCAGAGAGGGGGAGACAGAGAGAGTCAGAGAGGGAGAGACAGAGAGAGTCAGAGAGGGAGAGCAGAGAGAGGGAGAGACAGAGAGAGGGAGAGACAGAGAGAGTCAGAGAGGGAGAGACAGAGAGAGGGAGAGTCAGAGAGAGAGGGAGACAGAGAGCCAGAGAGAGTCAGAGAGAGGGAGAGGGAGAGACAGAGAGAGTCAGAGAGAGGGAGAGACAGAGAGAGGGAGAGACAGAGAGAGGGGACACAGAGAGAGTCCGAGAGAGGGAGAGACAGAGAGAGGGAGAGACAGACAGAGAGGGAGAGCGAGAGACAGAGTCAGAGAGACACAGAGAGAGTCATATATATATGTATATGTATAAATATACACACAGTAAGAGAGAAGAAAATAGGAGTCTTAACACTTAAGACATTGTGAGACATCACAAGAGGTCACTTGAAGAGAGCAGTGAATTTCACCATTAATTGGTCTCTGCGCCTGTGACACAGCGCCCTATCAAGTCTTCGAGACGTCTGAAAAGCGCTCGGGCAGCATACGCCGTAAAGCGCAGCGACCGCCTACGGTTGTGGGCTGGAAAGGCCGTCCTTTCCTATCGTGACGCTCAAAGAGGTTTTCGAGGCGATTTCCGCTCCCGATCAGAACTCACTCACGTTCTCCGGAGTGCTCAGGCAGCGCTCGGTGAACGGCCACTCTCTGAAGCTATCCAATCGCTTCTCGTAGGAATACATCGCCTTATACTCCATCATCGTCTCGAAATGGAGAGCCATAGGAGGGTCACTTCTCACTGGTGTTTCCCCGGAGGATGTGTGGCTTTAAAGACCACTCGTTTTCTGTTTTTTTTTCTCTTTCTCTCCCTCCCTCCCTCTCTCTCTCTCTCTCTCTCCCTCCCTCCCTCTCTCTCTTCCGATCGCAAGGGCAGTGAACCACCTTCAGCTGCTCACCGACCACCGAGGAATCAGACACAGCCATTTGCTCGTTAATCAGTTAAATCTCTGAACCACTCACTCACCGTCCAACCAGTCGTTCAGCGTCCAACAACTTGCACTTACACAGCGTTCCCTTCCCTCACGCGGCGCAGCGTCCCGGAGCGCTTAGACAGTGGCGGAGCATTACGCCACAGTAATAGTAATAGTAATAATAATATCAGTAACAATGTACAACAACAACAACAAGATTCCATTTATAAAGCGCCTTTCACGTCAGGAGGACGTCCCAAGGCGCTGAATGTAGTAACAATAGTAATAATACAGTAGTAATAATGTAGTAATAATAGTAGTAATAATATAATAGTAGTAATAATATAATAGTAGTAATAATAATATAATAGTAATAATAGAGTAATAATAGTAATAATAAAGTTATAATATAATAGTAATAACATGACAGTAATAATGTAGTGATAATGTAGTAATAATAATAATAAGCGCCTCAGCACATCGCCGAGATGTCTCAAAGCTCTTGTTTGTAAAGTGTAGTGACTGTGTGTTTTGTGGGTGAAAAGCGGCAGCCGATTGCGCGCAGCGACGTCCCCACAAACACTCGGGGTTTGAGTGACCAAATTTATTATTGGTATTGTGTGTTTTTTTTAAAAAAAAGGGATAATTAAAGCCCCGTAAAGCAATCCGCGAATCAAGTAACAACCGGATCCCTACTCACTGCTGAGCAAACACAGGCACACGTGTGTCTGTGTGAGTGCATGTGTGTGTGTGTGTATGTGTGTGAGTGCGTCTGTGCGAGTGTGTGTGTGAGTGCGTGTGCAAGTGTGTGAGTGGGTGCGTGTGTGTGTGTGTGTGTGTGAGTGCGTGTGCGAGTGTGTGAGTGCATGTGTGTGTGAGTGCGTCTGTGCGAGTGTGTGTGTGTGAGTGCGTGTGTGTGAGTGCATGTGTGTGTGAGTGCGTCTGTGCGAGTGTGTGTGTGTGTGAGTGGGTGCGTGTGTGTGTGAGCGTGTGTGTGTGTGAGTGCGTGTGAGAGTGCGTCTGTGCGTGTGTGTGTGTGTGAGTGGGTGCGTGTGTGTGTGAGCGTGCGTGTGAGTGCGTGCGTGTGTGTGTGTGAGTACGTGTGCGAGTGTGTGTGTGTATGTGAGTGTAATAATAATAATAATAATAATAATAATCCTTGCATTTGATATAGCGCTTTTCACGTCGGGTGGACGTCCCAAAGCGCTTCACAGAACACACTGTAAAGTGAATTGACTGTATATTTGTGGGCGAACGCGGCGGCCAATTGCGCACAGCAATGTCCCCAACAAAACAGTCGTAGATTGAAAATGACCAATTTATTATTGTTTTTGGTTTTGGAGGATTATTATTAGGCTCTGTGTGGAGTAAGGAAACTTGCCCGAGGTTTCGCCCTCTGCCTGGAATTGAACTCAGGTCTCTCGATTGCAAAGCGAGTGCTCTTACCACTGAGCTACAGGACTCCACACTGAGCTACATACTCCAGTGTATGTGTGTGGCGTCAAGAAAACGTGCCTGAGCTGTCACGGTGGCCGGGGATTGGCCTCGGGACCCCTCGCTATGGAGGTGAGGGCTCCAACCACAGCACTACAGCGCTGCCGTGTACGAGCCGTGCGCTCTGTATGTGTATTATCGGTGCCTCCATCTCACTCTCTCTCTCTCTCTCTCTCTTAGAAAGGAGAGGACTCTCACTGTCTTGGCTGAGGTTTGCGTTCCTGCCATTCCCCCCCCACCCCCTCTCTCTCTCCCCCCCAACTCTCTCTTTCCCCCCCACCCCCTCTCTCTCTCCCCCCCAACTCTCTCTTTCCCCCCCCACCTCCTCTCTCTCCCCCCCACCCCCTCTCTCTTCCCCCCCCCCCTCTCTCTCCCCCCCCACCTCTCTCTCTCCCCCCCCACTCTCTCTCCCCCCCCTCACCCCCCCTCCCACTCTCTCCCCCCCCCCCCCCCCCCACACTACAGGAGCTGTGAAACTGAGACCCCGATGGATGGAGCAAGGCATCACTGGCACAGCTGTTGGTGAGGAGGGCAGCTGATGCCAACCTGGTACGTGGCACTGGGAGCTGAGCTGAGGCTGCCGTGGGGGGTTGTTAGAGAGAGCAAGAGCCGGGCAAACCGATGGAGTCCCATTATACTGAGGCTTCAAACTGTACTGATCGCAACGACCTTCTCTTCCCCCCCCCCCCACCACTTTTCCCCTCCCCCCAAGGCAGCTGGGCGGGGGGCCGGGGGGGGCACGGGGGGAAGAGAGGGTGGAAGGGAAGCTTTAAGGCCCCAACGTTTACCGAGACTGTCTCTCGCAGGGCATCGAGACGCTCTGTGTGTGTGTGTGTGTGTGTCTGTGTGTGTCTTTGGGATGTCTCAAAGCGCTTCACGGGATACACCGGAAACGTGAAGTGACTGTGCTTTCATAGCCAATTTACACACACACAAACGTGTCCAACAAAATAGCCGTGAAGTTGGAGGGACAATTTTATTTTGGCGACTTGTCGATCAGGACAAACTCCCTTCTCTTTTTGAATAGCGTCGCGAGATCTTTAACGTCCGCCTGAACAGCCCAATTATTATATTAATAATAATCCTGGCTTTTGATACAGAGCCTCATCGCGTCGTTGAGACGTCTCAAAGCGCTTCGCGGGATACGCTGTAAAGCCAATTGACTGTGTCTTTCACCCTCTCCCATCTGGGACTCGAACCCGGCTCCTCTCGCCTGCGAGGGGTCCAACCCCTGAGCTACAGGGACGCTACCAATAATAATAATAATAATAATCTAATGTCATTTATAATAATAATAATAATAATATTCCTCCTTGACTGCCGTAACATCGCAGAGGTCTTTGTCTGAAGTTCATTGTTCGAAACGGAAGAAGTCAGGTTCGGGAGTCATCAGGTTAGCAGACACCCCCTCCCCCCGACTTCCTCACCCCCCCCTCCACCTCCTCCCCGTCACCCCCAATCCCCGTTAATATGGGGCGAAGAGGATAGGGGGGAAGGACGTGTGGGCGGGACTCAGGGCAGATCGGAGGAGAGCTCGGGTCAAGGCTGTCGCTGCCACAATGGTCGAGTTTAAGGGGTGGAGAGACAGCGAGGAGGAGGAGGAGGGGGAGGGGGGGCAGAGAGCGGACAGCGTGGGGGGAGTAAACCCAGAGGGAATGGGAAGCAATCCCCCGCCCGGCTTCGGGAGCTCCTTTGTCAGTCCGAGTTGCGTCCTCTGTAAGAGAGAGAGAGAGAGAGAGGAAGAGAAGACCCAAAGTCACGGGTTGGACCAAAGACGAAACAAGAACAAAACACGACAACAACTTGTATTTGCCGCCTCAAAGCGCTTCGTGGGATACACTGCAAAGGGTAGTGACTGTGTGTTTTGTGGGTGAAACGCGGCAGCCGATTGCGCCCAGCGACGTCCCCCACAGACAGTCGTGGAGTGAGTGACCGATTTTATTTGGGTGGGGGTTGCGGGGGGGCAGGATACTGAGCCAGAGAGAGAGAGAGAGAGAGAAACTCCCTTCTCTTTCCCAACCGGGCCGGAGCGGAGAAACGTTCGCCTCAACAGGGCACAGACGGGGAGGGGGAGAGAGGTTTAACGACTCATCTGAAGGACGGCGGAAAAAAATAAGAAGGATAATCAGTCCCACAGACAGACAGACAGACAGAGACAGACAGAGGGACAGACAGAAAGACAGAGGGACAGACAGATAGACAGAGGGGCAGACGGACTCACTGGTGTTGCGATGTGTCTGTGCTGTTTGCTGTAGGGATTGTACTTGGACCTCGAAGTCTTCCTTCCGACTCTCTCCTTGTGTTTCCTGCTGGAAATGTGCTGAAAAACAACAACAACAACTCGCATTTACGCAGCGCCGATCACTCGTGACCATAAACGCGGTCGAATAGGAAGGTCTTCACTCGTGATCTGGAAACGGGCAAAGAGGGGGTTGCGGTGCAGGCAACCGGGGGGAGGGGGGAGGTGACCTTTAGGCACTGTGGGTCGAAGAGGAAGGTCTTCAAGCATGACCTGAAGATGGGGAAGGAGGGGGTGGGGGGGGGGCGAGGAGGAGGGATTGAGGGAGAGAGTGACAGGGTGTTGTGGCTGATGGTGGAGCAGAAAGTGATCCTCCAGTCGACCAGCAACCGGGTTCCTACTTACCTACTGAAACAGAGGCGTGTGAGTGTGTGTGTCTGTGTGTGTGTGTGTGTGAGTGTGTGTGTTCCTCTGTGTCTGTGTGTGTGTGTGTGTGTGTGTGTGTGTGAGTGTGTTTCTCTGTGTCTGTGTGTGTGGGTGTGTTCCTCTGTTTCTGTGTGTGCGCGCGCGAGCGAGTGGGTGGGTGTTTGTGGGGCGTAAGGAAACTTGCCTAAGGTTTCGCCCTGACCTGACCCGCCCGGGAATCGAACCCGGGTCCTCTCTCTCGCCAACCCCTGAGCTACGGGGACGTTACAGCCTAGAGTCGGGGCGAGCTGGCAACTCGAGCTCTTCGTTCACCTGCTTGAGCTGCAGATCGGAGTGGACGCGAACGTCACACAGCTGGCAATGGAAGTTCTTCTCCTGTAAACCACAAGCCAAGATGGTCTGAGCTTTGACCTTCCGGCTGGACCTGGGGTAGACCTTTATAGGACCTGCCCCACTGTGGGCTTCCACCAAGGCCTTGTGTTTGGTGCCTGAGTTGAAATGGGCAAAAAAATCCACAAGTGATTACAATACAACATCAACAGTAATAAATCTTCGCGTTTGATACAGCGCCTCATCATGTCTTCGAGACGTCTCAAAGCGCTTCGCAGGACACACTGTCAAGTCTCAAAGCGCTTCGCAGAACACACTGTCAAGTGTAGTGACTGTGTATTTTGTGGGCGAAACGCAGCAGCCGATTGGGCCCAGCGACGTCCCCCACAAACAGCCGTGGGTCGAGCGACCGATTTATTAAGATTATTTATTATTATTACAACCACAACAACCAGCGTTTTTACACAGCTCCCCTCAGGCAGAACAGCGCCCCAGAGCGCCTGATAATAATAATAATCCTCGCGTTTCATATCATGTCCTCGAGACTACAAGAGAAAGAGAGAGAGAGAGACAGAGGTTGGTTGCTCACCGGTGTTGTGAGCTTGTAGCTGTGAGCGTGAGTTCACCACGACTTTGCAGAGCGAGCAGTAAAGCAACCTCTTCGCCTTGTCCTCCTCGGGCTCACGGCAGGTCCCGGTATCCACGGTGAGACTCTCGGACATGCCCGGGATGGGGAGCTGGTCTGGGGCTCCGGAGTCCAGGATGAGGCCGGAACCCACTGGGGGTCGGCCGGGATCAGGGGAGAAGAAGCAGAGAGATACTTTGGTCCAACCACCAAGGAACCAGGTGCTGCCAGAGGGAGATACCCAATTAATCATCATCATCATAATAATCCCTGTGTTGATACAGCGCCTTATCACAAGTCTTCGTGACGTCTCAAAGCGCATCACAGGATAGACTGCGAAGTGTAGTGACGTGTGTTTTGTGGACGAAACACGGCAGCCAAATTAACTCGGATTTTGCGCTTTGCACATCAGCTCGAGAGTATTATTACTGCTTATTAACTAGGAGTGTTATTACTAGTTATTAACTAGGAGTGTTATTACTCCATACATTAAGGTAGAGTCAGGAAGCAGAGAGAGTGGCCTAACCTGGTGTGTTGTTGGTGGTGGTGTTGGTGTCGGTGCGTTGCTCAGTGGTCCCGGCTGTTTTGGAGATGGGGTTTGGGGTAATGGACTGGTCACTGCCCCGGTGATCAGCTGTGATGGGCTTCATCTTATTCGACTCCAGTCCCTTGACCTTCCTGGCATGTTTGTTGCCTCTGTAGTGAGACTCGGCTTGGTTCTGTAACACACAACATCCAGGAAAATAAATGACCTCCTCGCCCCCTCCACCTCACTGCCTGTCCCCGACCCACGGCCACTGTCTGTCCTTGACCCACTGACACTTCCTGTCTCACAGTCACTTTGTGCCCAGGACCTGACCTGACCTGGGAATTGAAGCGCAGTTGGCAGACATGACAGGAAATGGCCTGTTTCTTCCTGGGGCTGAAAGGAACTCCGAACGTGTGGCTGATGATGGCCTTCTGCACCGGCTCCAACTGTAAAGGAAGGAAGAACAAGATCAATAATAATAATAGTCCTTGCAGTTGGTAGAGCCGGGTAGAGTTTGAGGTTGAGTGAGTCGGGGGTGGGGGCAGGTCTTGGGGGAATACTCACTGCGCTGAAGTTTGGGAAGAGCTGGACTGGGGCGGAGGTTGTATCGAAATGGAAGGAGATGAGGGGCTTCACGTCCAGCAACGACCGCAGCAGTCTGGGGGGTGTCGGCACCAGAGCCTGGAGCCCCCCGAAGCCATTCGCACCCCCTGCAACACAAGAGGAAACCACAGTCGCTACGCTTTACAGTCTACCCCGTGAATCTCAGACGCGATCAGGCGCCGGGTCCAACCCGGGGGAATAATTATTATTATTATTAAGAAGCACAACTTGCATTAACACAGCGCTTTCCGCACGCAGGATAGCGCCCCAGAGCGCTTGAGAGTGGTGGTGGTGTGGGGGGGGGGAGGAGTGGCGGGGGTGTGTGGGTGGGGGAGTCTGGTAGTGGGGGGGGTGGAGTGAAACCTGCTTAACGTTGCACCCCCCCCTCCCCCACCCCGCTAGGGAATCGAACTCCCTTGAGAGGAGAGCAAGGGGAGAGCTCTAACCGCTACGCCACGGGGGGGGGGGGGGGGGGGGGGGGCAGATTATTTTCTCGCTCGGCCCGAAACGGGGCAGTCCGGGGGACGCAGCTGGAAACCCAAACAAGAACAGCGACGTCCCCAGAAAGATCCTCCGCAGCGCGACACGTTCCCTCCTACCCCTCGCGCACACTGTCTCTCTCTCTCTGTGCCTCCCAGCTAACACCTGAAACAAAGGCATTTCTGCCGTGGTCTGGAACGTACCCTCAGGCTTCCCTTCTCTGTTCCCAGCCTCAGCTCGGAAACTCAGGGGGAGAGTGGGGTGGGGGGGGGTTGTGGGGGGAGAGGCTGTGGGGGGGGGGCAGCAGCTTTGACAGTACAGAGCGATTACGGCAACTGCTGGGTCATGACCATCGTCAGATGCCCCGGACGATAATTCCCACCCCCCCCCACCCAAATGCTTCGGGTGAGACGTTAAACCTCACCGCCCCCCCCCCCAACCACCCCCGGCTGTGCCCTGCTCAGGTGGACGTTAAAGATCTCCCGAAAAGAGAAGGAAATGTCTCTCTCTCTCTCTCTCTCTCTCTCTCTCTCCCCCAGATAAAATTGGTCGCTCGCTCCACGGCTGTTTGTGGGGGACGTCGCTGGGGGCAATTGGCTGCCGGGTTTCGCCCCCAAACTACGCGCACACTCACTACAGTTCACAGTGTGGTCCCGAGAAGCGCTTTGAGACGTTCTCGACGACGCGATAAGGTGTGATATCGAATCCAGTGCAAAGATTATTATTATTATTATTATTATACAGTGCCTTTGACATTGGGAGGACGTCTCAAAACACTTCACGTTGTGTAAGAGGGGTGTGTGTGTGTGTGTGCGTATTAGTGTGTGTAGAGCAGTGTGTGTATGTATGTGTGTATGTGAGTGTAGAGGTGTGAGTGTGTATACAGGATAGAGAGAGGGAGAGAGAGAGCCACAATAAAGTCCCTGCGACTGCCCAACAGTCCTGTGTTTGCTAACACGACTGCAGATCAAATCAACTTACCCAGTAACATGGTTCGGGGAGTCAGTCGACCGCTGGGTGGGTGGGTGGGTGGGAGAGGAGGCAGAGGGTCTTACGGCAGATCCCACCGGGTTTACGATCAAGGAGTCAGGTGAACTCTACAACGTGCTATACCACAGAGAGAGAGAGAGAGAGAGACATTAATTTGCTCTCGTCTGCACCTCGTTAGGCAACACAAGGGTGTTGTCTCCCACTGGTCTGACTCCCAGCAAACGTAGCCCAATCGATTTGACAGGTAACTGGATTCCGCCTCCCTCCACACCCCCAACCGCACCTCCCACCCCCTCCGCCCATGACTCTGCAACTCACCTTCCCTGCTCCCGCGCACACAGTCCCAGGTTGTACGCCCGTGCGCAAAAAGAATTGGCCGCACTCTACCGTCAATCCCACAGCACCTCGGGTTGTCCTCCCGACAAGGATAGGATTGTTATCATTTAAACGAGAGACAGACCAGAGATTTTGGTAAATAACAACGATTGCTGCGTTTGACACAACCCCTTTACAGTGTCGCCGAGACGTCTCGAGGCGCTTCACGGGATTTACTGTAAAGTGTAGTGACTGGGTGTTGTGTGGTCTACTTGTGGGTAGTTGAGCTGCTAAGGGGGCGCGGGCGAAATCTTTGGCGAGTTTCCTTACTCCACACACACACACACACACACTCGCCTCTGTTGACCCAGCAGCAAGCAGAAACCAGGTTGTTTTCCGGGGGGTAATAAGCCCTCCCCCCCCCCTCCCCCCCGAAACAAATCTTGGTCACTCAATCCACGACTGTTTGTGGGGACGTCGCCGGGCGCAATCGGCTGCCGCGTTTCGCCCACAGTCACTGCCCTTTACAGCGTACCCTGTGAGGTGCTTTGAGACGTCTCGACGACGCGATAAGGCTCTGCCTCAAATGCCAGGATCATTATTATTATTATTACTACTACTACTACTACAGGATGTCACTGGTTCCCACTACGAGACGCTGAGAGAGAGAGAGTGTGTGGGGGTGTGGGGGGGGGGATTGGGGGGAATGGTCTCACAGTTATAGCAGCCATAAAAATGCAAGTACTTTGCCTGAGTAAAATACTCCGGACAGTCACACAAGCGGAGGATAAGCTATCGCTTTGCACATCGGATTACAGAGTGTTAATAATTCAGCTGAAGCCAGTGTTGTGTTCGATGGCTTTCCTACTAATTTGCTGTCCTCTCCTATTGTGGATTTGCCGGTCGCGACTTTAATGGATGTAATGATGATGGGGGGAGTAACAGGAGACCTCTATTTATCTCTCTCTCCCTCTCGCTCTGTCGCTCTCTCACCAGCTGCACATCTCCGCTCGTTGAGCCGTCTCAAAGCGCTTCGCAGAATATAAAGGGTAAAGTGCGGTGACTGTGCATTTTCGTGGGAGAAACGGGGCAGCCCATTGCGCACGGCGGAGTCCCCACAAACAGTCGTGGATTGAGTGACCGAATTATGAATTATCATTATTTTTTAAGGGATTATTAATCCCGGCAAAGCGATCTGCCAATTGACGAGCAACCGGGGTTCCTACTTACTGCTGATACACAGAGGTGTGTGTGTGAGAGAGGAGTAAGGAAACTCGCCTAAGGTTTCCCCCTGTCCTGACCCGCCCGGGAATCGAACCCAGATCCTCTCGCTCGCGAGGTGAGGGCTCTAACCCCCTGAGCTACGGGATGGGATGGGGAGATGGGGAGTGTGGTGGGAGCAAGCGGAGAGGTAGGCAGCTGCCAGGGAGTGAGTTGTACACCCTTTCTCTCGGAGCGCTGAAATCAGCTGATGTTCCTTTACGCGTTCCTTCTCGGGCTCCGGTAACATCGCCTCAAAGAGACTCCGGCGAAAGCGAGACACTACCAGACAACGAGACAACTCGTGACGAGAGACGATCGTTATTTATTTTTTTTTAAAATCGCTGCAAAATTTGTTCTGCGTGCGGAGAGATTCAACTGATTTTACACTGCTCACTGTCCTTCAAACGCTGTGTGTGAGACACTGTTTGTGTGTGTGAGAGACACTGTGTTTGTGTGTGTGTGAGACACTGTGTTTGTGTGTGCGTATAAGACACTGTGTGTGAGAAACACTGTGTTTGTGTGTGTGTGAGACACTGTGTTTGTGTGTGCGTATAAGACACTGTGTGTGTGTGTGTGTGAGAGACACTGTGTTTGCGTGGCACTGTGTGCGTGGGTGTGTCTGAGTAAGTAAGTGCGTGTCTCTGTGTGGGTATGCGCGTGCGAGAACACCGTGCATCCACGTGAGACACACAAAGCATCCACGTGCCTTCCTCCCGCGTAACACGCTTATCCCGTGCTCAATGTGACGGGCCGGTAAACCTCTCTGAAGGCGTTCCTGAGCAACACGTAGGGGAAATACGGCTCCAACACATCTATGTCCAGGATCAGTGACTCCTCGATTATCTGGTGAGAGACGTTACACGTTATTTTGTCTGCGTGTCTGGCAATTGAGGTGCCTTGAATAGTGTTCAAGTCCTCACCCTCCCCTTCAAAGCCCTCCATGGTCTCCCTCCATCCCTCCCTCCCGTGACCTGCTAACTCCCTACTGGTCTGTCCTCTCCCTCTGCTCAGTGGGCTCCGGGCTGCTCCACGTTCCCCCCCACCCTCCCATCGACGGTCGGGCCTTCAGCCTCTCTGCTCTCACCCTCTGGAATCCGATCCCACAGTCCCCTCCACCTCGCTTCCTCCCTCCCTCGTCTCCCCTGCCCTCCACCCCCTCCATCCTGATCCCAACCTCCAGCTCGGGGTCCAAATCCCTGACTGTCCAGCCCAGCACCTTGGGACGTCCTCCTGACGTGAATGTCTCCGTGGAAATGTCGGGGAAATAAAATCTGGGGGATACGGTGTATAGTTTGGGGACACGACATGTCAAGCGACCACAGGGATGGTTGGTGGAAGCCGAACTGGATGGACCTTGGTCTTCTTTCGTGCAGCAAATTCTTACGTTCGGAGGCGAGACCGCGACCGACTGAGCCGGGGCTGACACACCGAGTCAGGACACGGGAGAGGAGTTTAGGAATTTCATCCCAAACGTCTGCTTACCATGTGAAGTAACAAATACACAGACTCCCTGTTCCTTGTGGCGACCTTGTCCGTCTCCAGACCAATTTGGAGAAGGTTCATCGAGGCGAACTAGTGAGAGGGAGAGAGTGTGTGTGAGAGACCGTGAGAGAGAGAGAGCGATGGAAACTAGTCATTACCGAACAGATTCATTTCAAGCTCCTCTCACACTCGTCTTCAAATCCCTTCACACCCTGGCACCTCCCTCCCTCTCCGAGGAAGATCGCAGCTGAAGACCTTCCTCTTCGACCAGTGCCTATGGTCACCCCCACACCCCCCACCCCATCTCTCCCCACACTCCACCCCACTGTCAAGCGCTCTGGGACGCTGTCCTGTGTGGGGGGGTGTGGGGGGGGGGGGGCTGTGTTGAGGTGAATCGCACACTTACCCTGAGGAATTCCTTCAGGTGGTTGTCGATGTCCTGTTTGTGGATGGTGTAGAGCGCGGCAGAGATCTCGTTGATAGCCTTGGCCAAGCAGTGAATGTTGTTCTGATGTCCTGAAAAGCCAAAAGGGCATCACTTTACACGCAGTCCCAACTGGGGCCTGGAGTCTCCTGGACCCAGAGGGGAATTAACAGCTGAATTTACCCCCCATCGATCCATATCGTGTGGTTCAAGCCACCACACATTAAGACTTTGAGCTCACAGTCCAGGCTGGTTAGGCTCCAGCAGTTACTCCCCCCACTCCACAACGCACACTCTGAGGTCCCCCTCCAAGAGGGTAGGGATGTGGGATTACTACACCCTATAGTTACTTACCCTGGTACATCTGACTGTAGATGGAAGTGGGGTCACTGGCGAGGGTGGGCAGGGAAACAGCCACATACACCATCAATAGGCAGGTCAGTTTGTAATCTTCTTCAGGGGAATAATTCTCTGCAAAAAAAAAAGACAAAACTCGAAATGATCCCAAGATTGTGGAGTGAGAGCAGCTCAGGGGTTAGAGCCCTCGCCTCGCCAGCGAGAGGACACAAAATACACAGTCAATTTACTCTACAGTATAAACTGTGAAGCGCTTTGAGACGTCTTGAAGACGTTAAGTCAAATGCAAGGATTATTATTAGGCGCTTAGAGACATCTCGATGACGTGATAAGGCACTGCATCAAACGCAAAGGTCCATTACTGATACAGGAGAGGACAGGGGAACGGTGATCACAGTCAGTAGCATTGAATGAACCGACGTCAACTTTGTCTCAAACACACTGGGGAATCCACCGGCTCAGTTCGTTTAGAAACTATCCCAAACGAGAGAGAGAGAGTTTGGGTGAAAAAGACCCTTTGGCCCATCTGATCTCATCGCCCCCAGAAATACCCTACCCCTAACCCTACCGTTCCCCCCATCACATCTCGTTGGGTTCGTCCTCATTCCCACTGTATGTTGGATTGTATGTTAAATGCCTTTATTTCATTGTGTGTTAAGTGAATAATATATTAACTGGGTGCGTGAAACTCAATCCGTTTTGCATCCATTATTTAGCAAAGCTGCGCATCGCCGCTCTGTTTGCAGTCCGGCTGGGACAGTCTCGCTCTCTCTCTCTCTTTTTCTTTCTCCGCTAGTTATCAGGAGGGAGAGAGAGAGGAGAGACAGAGGGAGTGGAGAGACACACACACAGAGAGAGAAAGAGAGACAGACCAGACAGAGACAGAAAGAGAAAGAGAGAGAGAGACAGACAGACAGAGAAACAATTGGCTGCCGCGTTTCGCCCACAAAACACACAGTCGCTCCACTTGACAGCGTACCGTGTGAAGCGCCTTGAGACGCCTCGATGACGTGATAAGGCTCTGGGTCTTAAGGCGCTCGTCTGGCTCTGGCCTCCTGTTTGCCCTTCGCCCCCCCTTATCGGCTGCCGCGCTCTCAGCCGCTAAACAACATCCCGAAACTCTATCGCTAGGTCCCCCTGCCTTTCCCCCTCCCTCCCATTTATAGTCACTTCCCCACCCCACCCCCCTCCCTCTCCCTCCCTCTGCCCCCCGGCTCGGGGTCAGACTCCCCCACTGTCAAACGCTCCGGGGCGCTGCGTAAATGCAAGTTGTTGCTGCTGCTGTTGTTGTTGGCTTACCGTTCTTGTGTTTGCTCAGGGCGGAAACAAGGGCTGGATCGACCGGGCAACGCACGCCAGCTGCCGATGCCAACTCGTAGATACTCAACATCACCTACACGATGGGGAGGAGAGAGACCTCATCAACGTGTGTGTGTCTGCGTGTGTGGGGGGGGGTGGTGGGGTGGGGTGGGGGGTGGTGTGGGGGAGAGAGGTAATGAGGAGTTCCCTGTAGCTCAGGGGTTAGAGCCCTGGTCTCGCAAGCCAGAGGACCCGGGTTTGATTCCCCAATGGGTCAGGTCGGGTCGAAACCTTAGGCAAGTTTCCTTACTGCACACACACACGCAGACACACGCACACACACGCACACACACACACACACGCCTCTGTTTACGCAGAGACCCTGTGAAGCGCTTTGAGACGTCTCGACGACGTGATCAGGCGCTGTATCAAATGCACCCACCTTGGTATCTGTGGTCACGCTGAGGATATCGTCCAGACTGTTGATGGGACCCATGAGAAAGGGGATATGACCAGACAGAACCTACCGAACAGGAGGTAAGAGACAAAAGAATCATTAAAGGGTCCCAAAGACAGACATTCAGCCCAAACAGCTACTCACTCGCTGCACCACTGCAACCGAACACTTCAAACCAAATCCACTGCCCTCTTCCCCGGCGGCACAGGCTCAGTTGGTAGCATTCTCGACGATTTATTATTACTTATATTTTTATTATAGTCAGTTCACGTTACAGTGTATATCCTGTGAAGCGCTTTGAGACGTCCTTGAAGACGTGATAAGGCGCTGTATCAAATGGAAGGCTTATTATTATTATTATTATTGTTCAGCCACTCTGCCCCCACCCTTTGGATCGCCATCCCGCATTCCCTCCGCCTCGCCCTCCCCCCACCCACCCCTCGCCTCCTTTAAGACCCCTCTCAAGACCCTCCTTTCGACCGCGTCTTTGGTCACCCTCCTACCCCCCACCCGCCACCCCCTCCTGATCCCAAAGCCCCAGCTCGGGTCCAAATCCCAGACTGTCCAGGGCCTTGGGATACGTCCTCCCGACGTGATGGGGGTTGTGTAAATGTCATGTGTTGTTGTTGTTGTGTGTATTTCCTGTGAGGCTGATGGGAAAAGGAGGGAATTTCGGACTCACATCTCGGAGAGCTTCCTGTGCCATGGAGCGGAAGGAGAGGATCAGACCAACGATAACCATTCGCTTTAGAACGTTTTCGGAAGCTGAGGAGTTCGGAGAGAGGGAGCGGTGGGGGCGGATGAGGGTGGGGGGGGGGAGGGAGGGAGGGAGGGAGGGAGGGAGGGAAAATAAAAGTAAAGTTATCGAACGAAGGAGTGACCCGCGGGACTGGGAGGGAAAGAGTGAGTGAGTGAGTGAGTGAGTGAGTGAGTGAGTGAGTGAGTGAGTGAGTGAGTGAGTGAGTGAGTGAGTGAGTGAGTGAGTGAGTGAGTGAGTGAGTGAGTGAGTGAGTGAGTGAGTGAGTGAGTGAGTGGGTGAGTGAGTGAGTGGGTGGGTGGGTGAGTGAGTGAAGGGAGGGAGGGAGGGATAGAGAGAGAGATTGAGAGAGACAGACAGACGGACGGACGGACAGACGGGTAATAGTGCTGTGTTGCTCACAGGTCAGTCTCTTGCTCAGGCTGCTGATGAGTTGGGGTCTGGTCTGACTGGCTCTCAGCTGCACCAAAATATCCATGTTGTCCACAACCAACTTCTGTGTCAACACAAGAACACAACCCCGTCACTCAGTTCATCCCCACGCCCCCAACCCCAACCCCCCAGCCCAACCCCAAGCCCCCAGCCCAACCCCAAGCCCCAGCTCAGGGCCACCCTGAATAGCACCTCCGCTCCCTCCTTCTCTAACTCCCTGCATAAGAGGGGCTGCTCAGGGCTTAGAACCAGGGCCCCTGACAGACAGACAGCGCCTCTTACGGACGGGCACACATGACTCCCCCTGTGATGGTGACCACCTGAGTGCGTGTGCGCGCGTGAGGCTCTGGCTCGCTTACCTTCAGCTCAGTGACCTGGGAGGTGATGTGCCACATCAGGTGTTCGCTCAGGTGCTTCATCCCGTACGGACCGATCAGCTCCGCCAACGCCCGCAGCTCTGTCAACACACACAGCGTCACAGTCACCTCACCAGGACTCATAACAATCCTCGCGTTCGACACAGCGTCGTCAAGTCGTCTCCAAGCGCTTCACGGGGGTACGCTGCAAAGTGCAGGGACTGTGTGTTTTGCGGGCGAAAGGCGGCAGTCAATTGCGCACAGCGATGTCCCCCACAAACAGCCGTGGATTGAGTGACCAAATTATTGCTATCGTTTTTGTTTTGGGAGGAATTTTTAACCCCGGAAAAGCGATCCGCCAATCAACTAACAACCGGGTTCCTACTGACCGCTGGTAAACACAGTCTGTGTGTGTGTGTGTGGGAAAGTAAGGAAACTTGCCTAAGGTTTCGCCCCTGCCTGACCCGCCGGGAATCGAACCCGGGTCCTCTGGCTTGCGAGGCGAGGGGTCTAACCCCTGAGCTACAGGGGCTGTGGGGTGGGGGGCGAGGGGTCTAACCCCTGAGCTACAGGGGCTGTGGGGTGTGAGGCGAGGGGTCTAACCCCTGAGCTACAGGGGCTGTGGGGTGTGAGGCGAGGGGTCTAACCCCTGAGCTACAGGGGCTGTGGGGTGGGGGGCGAGGGGTCTAACCCCTGAGCTACAGGGGCTGTGGGGTGCGAGGCGAGGGGTCTAACCCTTGGGCTACAGGGGCTGTGGGGTGGGGGGCGAGGGGTCTAACCCTTGGGCTACAGGGGCTGTGGGGTGCGAGGCGAGGGGTCTAACCCCTGAGCTACAGGGGCTGTGGGGTGGGGGGCGAGGGTCTAACCCCTGAGCTACAGGGGCTGTGGGGTGTGAGGCGAGGGGTCTAACCCCTGAGCTACAGGGGCTGTGGGGTGTGAGGCGAGGGGTCTAACCCTCAGGGGCTGTGGGGTGGGGGCGAGGGGTCTAACCCCTGAGCTACAGGGGCTGTGGGGTGGGGGGCGAGGGGTCTAACCCCTGAGCTACAGGGGCTGTGGGGTGGGGGGCGAGGGGTCTAACCCCTGAGCTACAGGGGCTGTGGGGTGGGGGGCGAGGGGTCTAACCCCTGAGCTACAGGGGCTGTGGGGTGTGAGGCGAGGGGTCTAACCCTTGGGCTACAGGGAACTCCAATGTGTAAACACTGACCTGACACGTCGGAATATTGCTCAGCGCTGAATATCTGCAGGTTCTCGACGGGCAAAGTGACAAAGGCCTTGATGGCAGGCGAGTGGATGATTCCCGAGGTGCTGGCCTGCCTCAGCAATGCCTCCAAGTACCTAAAGACAATAGTAATCATAATAATAATCCTGGCATTTGACCCGGCGCCTCATCACGTCTTCGACACGTTGTCAAAGCGCTTCACGGGATACTCTGTAAAGTGTAGTGACTGTGTGTTTTGCGGGCGAGACGCGGCAGCCGATTGCGCCCAGCGACGTCCCCACAAACAGCCGTGGATCGAGTGACCCAATTATTAGCATTAAGTTTGGAAGAGGCACAGGGGTGTTGGGGGGCGGGGTGGGGGTGCGAGGCGGAGGGACTGTGAGATGGAGTTCCAAAGGCCGGGGGTTGGGGTGGGTTGGTGCTGGGTGGGTGGGTGGGGGGGAAGTTGGACGTACCAGTTGGTGTAGGCAGTGGTCAAGGTGATGTCCCCTTTGCTGTCCGTGGCTTGAGACTGCTGCAGAAGCACCTCTTTGATGAGTCTGGTTACGTCGATGTTGAGGTGGTGGGTCACAGAGTGAACCAGGGTGATGAAGGCCCGGACGCTGGAGAGGACCGTGGATGGTTTGGCGATCTCCTGCGTGGTTTGGTTATAGCCGGACATCCGCATGATAGACCTGAGCGTCCGAGAGGAGAGCAGATAAAATGATCCTCGTAATAATTTGATGGGCAGTTGTGTGGCCGATCACCGGGTTGACAGGAGAGATTGAGGGAGAGGAGAGGGCAGATTGAGAGAGAAGAGAGGGGGACAGAGAGCAGAGATGAATGACGGTGTGTCGGGAGTGGGTGCAGTGGGCGATGGTGGCGGTGCAGTGAGAGTGGGCGACACGCCGTGCGAGGCGCCGTACTTGGCCAGGCGAGGTGCCAGCTGGGAGACCAGGTATTCCACGGGCACCAGGATCTGCTCGAACACCAGCAGCTCGGAAACGTGTCCAAGGGTCATACAGAGCTCCGTCAGGGTCAGGTGATGTTTGTCCATCCTGTAAATCACGCACACGCACTCTGTTAAGCTCTCCCCTCGCCTTTAAATCCTTCCGCGCTCTCGCCACACCCCGCCACCCCTCTCCCCCGCCATATCCCCCACATACCCCTCTCCCCCCCCCACTCCCCTCCCTATGTGGAGTCCTTACTCAGTAGCTCAGTGGTTAGCGCCCTCGCCTCACAAGTGAGAGGACCCGGGTTCGATTCCCCGGGCATTTACACAGCGCCCCCTTCACGTGGAGCGCTTGACAGTGGTGGAGCCTGACACCGAGCTGGGGAAGGGGGGGGGGAGTTGGAGCTGGGGGGGCAGGGGGTGGGGGGGAGAGAGAGAGACAGGCAGGAAGAGAGAGAGAGGGTGCGAGAGGAAGAGGGGGAGAGGGAGAGGGGGGAGACAGAGAGGTGGGGAGAGGGAGAGAGGCAGGGAGAGGGGGTGAGAGGAAGAGGGGGAGAGGGAGGAGACAGAGAGGGGGGAGACAGAGAAGGGGAAGAGGGAGAAGCTAATACACTCACGTGGTGCTAACGACTCTATCCTTCCGAAGACTCTCCGCCCCCGGTTTCTCTCGGTCGGGCTCCAGTCTCTTACTCACCACTTTCCTCTTCTTGTTCACGGCTTTGCTGATGGTCTTAGCCGCGTAGATCGGCAGCAACTGAGCGGGTCGGTGGGGGGTGGGGGGTGGGGGGGGGGAAATACCACACGGCAATAGTTACCCTGACGTGTCTCGCACACACGCAGCCCCTCATCTCGTCGGGAGAGAGTTCTCAAAGGGCTACGCAAGGTTCGCCGACGACGAGTATCTTTGAGTCTGAGCCAAATCCCCCCACACCCCCCACCCTCTCACCACGTCGGTCAGACGTCTCAAAGCTCTTCGCGGGCTACACCTCGAGGCGGTTTGTGGGCCAAACGCGGCAGCCGGTTGCCCAAAGCAGTGTCCCCAGGGTCTCTCTCTCACTCCCTCTGTCTCTCTCAATCTCTCACACTCTCTCTCGCTCTCACTCCCCCTCTCTTTCTCTCTCTCTCTCACCCCCTCTTTCACTCACTCTCCCTCATTCTCTCTCTCTCTCTCTCTCTCTCTCTCTCACTCTCTCTTACCCCCTCTCTCACTCTCACTCATTCCCTCTCTCTCTCACTCATTCACTCTCTCTCTCCCTCTCTCACCCCCCCCCCCTCTCACCCTCACCCTCTCTCACTCTCACTCACTCCCTCTCTCTTCTCCCCCCTCCCTCTCTCTGCTCAGTGTATGTGTGTGTTTACCTGCTCACTGAGGTTTCGTTGCTCGAAGCACAGCTCAATGATACAGACACTGGTCAACCTGCTGATCTCATCCAGGAAGTTCTTACACATCCCAACACCACGGTTCTGCATGTGCGGGAACTGGGGGAGGGGGAGGAGAGGAAAGGTAAAGGAGTCTGAGACTGAGCCCCCTCCCCTCCGCCCCCCCTCCCCAGCCGACAATCAGAGAGACTGGGACCAGTGGGAAAGACAGCAGACACACTGGGAGTAGTGGGTGGGAAGGTGTCACATTGGGAATGATAGGATGGACAGGGGACAGACTGGGAGTACACAACACACACACACACAACACCCACCAACATACTCACACACACACACACTCAATACACACACACCCAACACACTCACATACACACACTCACATACACACAACACAGTCACACACATACAAATACCCAACACACACAAAACACACGTATGCACATCCAACACACACGCACAGTGAATCTCATACCCACCCCACGTGTTGTGTGGAGGGCAGAGAGGGCACTGACTCACCTCCTCTGGGCACATGGGGTGGATGCAGTTTAAGAATTGGGCGCAAACCATGGGGAAGGCGATCAGGTAGCGGAGTTGGGTGAAGTCCTCAGCATTCTGAGCAAACAGTTTCTCAAACGTCCTCGGGTAGAAACTGCCGGAGAAAGAGACAAAGAGAGTGGTGGTCGGAGAGCTGAGACCAGCGCGGGAGCTGTTCTGGGAATAGTGTGTGGGAAGGAGATACACCGTGTGGGGGTGGGGGGGGGGTAGGGAGAGTAGTGATCATTGTGAGTGTGTGTGTGTGTGTGTGTGTGTGTGTGGGGGGGGCGTGTGAATGTGTGTGTGAGAGTGTGTGTGAGAGTACGTGTGTCTGAGACTGTGGTGTGTGTGCGCGCGCCGTGCGTGACAGAGTGTGGTGTGTGTCTGTGTGGTGGGTGATCGCTGTGTGTGCGGAGAGGGGTGTTTTGTGTGTGTGTGTGTGTGTGTGGAGGGTGTGAGAGACAGTGTGTGTGTGTGTGTGTGTGTGTGTGTGTGGAGGGTGTGAGAGACAGTGTGTGTGTGTGGAGGGTGTGAGAGACAGTGTGTGTGTGTGGAGGGTGTGAGAGACTGTGTGTGTGTGTGTGTGTGTGTGTGGTAGTGTAACTGACCAGATGGTGGTGAGATCAGACACCTCCTGTAGTAGTCTTTCGACCTGGTCCAGCATGTTGGTGTGGAAGATGACAGTGTTCATCATCTTGGCAATCTCCGGGTGCTCTCGCAAGCTCAGTGTGGACTTGGCTACGCTTGTATACGCCTGGTCAACAGCAAACAACAACACGACATATTTACACGGCGCCTTTCAAATTGGGAGGACGGCCCAAGGCGCTGGACAGTCAGGGAAAGGTGACCGAATAATAATAATAATAATAATAAATAATCCCTGCATTTGATGCAGCGCCTTATCGCGTCGTTCAGGTGCCCTAAAGCGCTTCACAGGCTATACAAACTTAATTAAAACTTAATTAAAACCTAATCAAGTCAAGTGAATTGATGGTACGTCTTGTGGGTGAATCGCGGCAGCCAACTGTCCCCCATAAGGAATACATGGGATTGATAATGTTGCGCTAATATAATAATAATTGTACAATAAATATAATATATATAATAAATTCCGGGACTGAGTAACAGATCGAAAGGAACGTCCTACCTGCAGTCGAAACCAATCAAGACGCAGTCCTTGGAAATCAAACTGTTCATCTCCTATAACCCGGAGAAGTAAAGTATTAAACACGAGGGCTCTAACCCCTGAGCTACAGGAACTCCACGGGGATTGACTGTCACGTGTAGTGACTGTGTAATTTGTAAGCGGAAGGAAGGAGGGGTGGGAGGGGAGTGTGCGTGTGGCAAGACGCAGAGCCAGTTCCGCTCAGTGAGGCCTCACCTTGTTTTAAGCTCAGAGACGTCAGGGTGGTCACGAAGGAAGACATAATGACGGACTCCTCCTCAGGACACACGGTGAGATTCTGCAACACCGACGGGAGTTATTGGAAGACGGGAGATTCGGAACGCGCTTCCACTTGCCTTCGGTCGTCCTCCCAGCGCCCCCCCCCCCCACTCCCTCCCCAACGCCACCCTCCTCCTCCCCGTCCTCCCTCTTACTGGGCCAGCACGCGAGCCACTACGCTACAGGACACTGCAGAGCCCCCCCCACCCCTCCTGCACTGGAGCGTCTTTGGGAAGAGAGGTTGGGAATTACCTGGATATTGTCGTTCAGGACCACGGCATCGAAACCGGAGAGGTACTGAACATAGTATCTCTGGATCACTTTCTTGTACTTCCGGAGCAGAGCTTTAAATTCTTCCATCACAAACAGCAACTCCGCCAGATTACTGAGAGTACAACAACAACAACAACATCAACAACAACATCATCATCATCATCATCAACAACAACAACATCATCATCATCAAGTTACATTTTCACAGCGAGGACGAATACATTTAGCGATAATAATAATAATAATAATCGTTGTATTGGATGCAGCGCCTTTCACGTCAGGAGGAGTACTTTGTCGGTGAACCGCGGCAGCCCATTGCGCACCGTCACGTACGTGTCTGTATAGTCCTCTGGGGTTTTGGTTTTGGTGACGTTCTCGGCATGGCGGACTAGCCACGAAACCTCGTCACGGCAAAATGACAGACCCATAAACACGAAGAGAGTCTGTGGGAGAGAACAGAGAGGGCAGGGCATCAATCACACACACACACACACACATCACACACTCGCTCACACAGATACACTCTCACACGCGCGCACACCCACACTCACGCACACCAGCTTCCCCTGCACTCTGTTACAGTCACCCTCACGCTATCATAGTAATCCTTGCTTTTGACCCAGCGCCTCATCACGTCGTCAAGATGCACTGTGAAGGTGTAGTGACTGAGTATTTTGTGGGCGAAACACGGCAGCCAATGGCGCAGAGCAGTGTCCCCACAAACAGTCGTGGATTGAGTGACCAGATATTTTTTTTTTGAAGATATTCTTACTGATGGTAAATAGAGGCGCGTGTGTGTGTGTGTGTGTGTGTGTGTGTGTGTGTAGCGTAGGGAAACTTGCCTAAGGTTTCGCCCTGACTTGACCCGCCCGCGAATCGAACCCGGGTCCTCTCGCCTGCGAGGCGAGGGGTCTAACCCTGAGCTACAGGGAACTCCACAAATAAAGTGTCTCGGGACGTGTCAAAGCACAGGATACGCAGTAAGGTGGAGCGACTGTGGAGCATTTTGCGGGCGAAACGCGACAGCCAAATTGCACGCATAATAATGTACAGCACCCGGCTGTAGGTTGGGGTGTGAGATGTGATGATACCTTTGGTCCCAGTAGCCCCGGCTCCTCAGTCAGGATTGTGGCCAATTCCTTCCCCGAGCTCCTGAGGAAATGGCGTCTCTCTCTGTGCACAGCTCCACTGTACGCAACAACAATAATCACGATCATAATCCTGGCATTTGACCCGGTGCCTCATCCCGTCTTCGAGAAGTCTCAAAGCGCTTCACAGGATATGCCGTAAAGTGTAGCCACTGCGTAATTTGCGGGCGAAACGCGGCAGCCAACTGGCCCAGAGGCGCGTGTGTGTGTGTGGTGTGTGTGCATGTATGTGTCTGTGTGTGTGCGTGTGGTGTGTGTGGAGTAAGGAAACTTGCCTAAGGTTTCCCCCTGACCTGACCCTCCCGGGAAGCGAACCCGGGTCCTCTGGCTCGCGAGGCGAGGGCTCTAACCCGAGCTACGGGGACACCTTAGCTTAGCAGAGAGGCCGAACAGGGAAATGAAGTGGGAGATGATCAGAGAGACTTAATGCCGTGTGCCACGTGTTCGTTCTCGGCACAACGTTCCCGGGAGTGTGATCCGCGACGTACCTTTGGCTGATGGCGTTTTCTCTGCACTCCTTTACGTCAGCGACTCGCTTACTGTAGCTGTAACCCAGAAGTCACACGTCACTCCCCCACCACCATCAGCACTTCACTTGCACTCTGTCTCCCCACCCCCCACCCCCCACCCACACTCCCAATGCCAATCTCCAGACACACACACCACACACACCCAACACAGACACACACCCAACAGAGACACACACCCACCCAACACAGACACACACACTCCCACACAACACACACACACCCACCCACCCAACTGACACACACACACTCCCACACACACCCCCATCCAACACACACACACACACAAAACACACACACACAGCCAACACACACACACACACACACCCAACACAAACACACACACCCACCCAACAGACAGTAACAGTCCACACCCAGCTCACACAACAGCAACAACACATTACATTTATACGGCGCCTTTCACGTCCCAAGGCACTGGACAGTCAGGAGTTTGGACCTGAGTTGGGGGTTTGGAATCAGGAGGGCGTGGAGGGCAGGGTGGGGGGTTGTTAGGAGGGTGACCGAAGGCACCTTTGGTCGAAGAGGAGGGTCTCGAGACGTGCGTTGAAGGAAGCGAGGGGGTGGGTCGAGGTGGACGGGACTGTGGGATGGAGTTCCAAAGGGTGGGGGAGGGTTCGGGGGGGCTTGCGGAGGAGTGTCGGATCGGACCACCTCTCTGCGCTCACGGCCGCCAGTGATGATAACGTTACCCCTTGAGGCCGGCGAAGAGTTCCTCGGCCATTTTGTGGTGGAAGATGACTTCATCTCTGAAGAGCTCGGTGACCAGGCTGCCCTGCAGAGCCTGTTTCCACAGCCCCAGGCACGAAGAGTCTCCGTTTAACATTCCATGACACAACAGGAAGCCAACTACAACCACAACAACAACAACAACTGGCGTTTTACACAGCGCCCCCTCATGGTGGCAGCGGAGACTGACCCCCGAGCCAAGGGAGGGAGGGAGGGGGTGACCGTAAGCACGATCGAAAAAGGACAGTGGGATTTGGAAGTGGAGAGGGAAAGGGGGAAAAGGCGAGGCGGGGGGATCGAGGGAGAGAGTGACGGAGTTTCGGGGCGCGGTGCGGTGGGTGGCTGAATGCACGGCCCGCTGATGGCAGAGCGGAGTGAGGGTGGGTGGGGTGGGGGGGGCAGGAGGGACAAACAGGAGGCCGGAGACGGGCGAGCGGAGACAGCGAGCCGGGGGAGTGGGGGGCACGGTCGAAGAAGAAGGTCTTTAGACGGGGCTTGAAGGAGGGAAGAGAGGCGGGTGAGGCGGAAGGATCGAGGGATAGAGTTCCAGAGTGGAGAGGGGTGGGGGGGGGGAAAGAGGTACCCAATGGTGGGGAGGGAAGTGCTGGGGGGGGGGGGGCCTGAAGCAGGCTGGTGTCCGCCGAGCGGAGGGAGCGGACAGGCTGATATGGGGCTCGGACCCAAAACAGGGTCATTGGGAAACTTACAGATGATCCATCGCTCCATGACTTCCAGAGACAGAAATTCACACGGCATCTAACAGAGAAAAAGAGAATCAATCCCCAGGTACATCATCATCATCATCATCCTTGCCTTCGATACAGCGCCTTATCAGCTCGTCGAGACGTCTCAAAGCGCTTCACAGGAAATACACTGTAAAATGTAGTGACTGTATTTATTTTGTGGGCGAAACACGGCAGCCAGTTACCCAGTGACGTGCACACAAACAGTCGTGGATTGAGTGCGCGTGTGTGCGCGTGTGTGTCTGTATGTGCGCGCGTGTGTGTCTGTGTGGGGAGTAAGGAAACTCGCCTAAGGTTTCGCCCCGACCCGACCCACTCGGGAATCGAACCCGGGTCCTCTCGGGAGATGAGGGCTCTGACCCCTGAGCTACGGGAAGACAGCGGAGCGTTACGGGGGGACAGCACTCACGGTGTCTGAGTGAGCCGGGGTCAGCATGTTGTTGGCTGCGCTGATCAGGCTCAGGAGCTGCGCACTGCGCCACTGATCCGCTTTCAGGTTCCGTCTCGGGAACAGCATTTGGAGCGAGAGGAGGGCGTCAGTCAGCAACTGCCGAGAGAGAGAGAACAATAATCAATAATAGTAAATAACAGCAATAATAAATAATAATAATAATCCTTGCATTTGATACGGCGCCTTATCACGTCCTCGAGACGTCTCAAAGCGCCTCTCAGGACAATAATTATAATCTAACAATAGTATCAACAATAATAATGATAATAATAGCAATAATAATGATAATCCCCTTTATAGTGTATCCTGTGAAGCGCTTTGAGAGGTCTCGACGACGCGATGAGGCGGTGGGTCAAATAATTAGTATTATTACACAGCAATTATTATTATTATTGTGATTAATAATCGCTGGGTTGACTGTTAGGGTGTGGGGGTGGGGGGGGGTAAGTGCTGCAGTCTAACCAGCTAAACCCCTGTTATGTGTGTTGCTTCTGCATTGTGGTTGCACTATTTCTGTGCACGTTTACCCCACCCTCCCTGACGATGACATATGTCGTACTCGCTCTCTCTCTCTCTCTCTCTTTCGCTCTCTTTCGCTCCCTCTCCCTCTCTCTCTCTCAGGGGCTGACAACACCCAGAGAGGTAAAGGGAGTTGGGTGGGGTGGGGGGGGGGGGGAACCCCGAGCGAGCGAGCGAGGGAAACAAACGAGAGAGCGAGAGAGAGTGTGAGCAAGACACAAACGACTGGAGGAGGGAGTCAGCGACTGTCTGACAGCGCAACACACAGACCTCAAACCAACCACTTCCTCAGTGACTCGAGCAGGAAGGGAATTGGACAGGCGGCTGCTTATAGGGGACGCTCTTAAGCCTTCCTCTTCGACGGTGCCTCCCCCCTCCCCCCCACCCCGGAGTCGGGCTCCGCCACTGTTAAGCGCTCTGAGCCGCTGCCTCGCGCGGAGGGCACTAGATGTGAGTGCAAGTTGTTGTCGTCGTCATCATCTCTGGTTCTGTTTTCCCCGCAACGACACTGGATAATGAATGATAATCCTATTATAATGTGTTTGATCCTCGCGTCGTCGAGACGTCTCAAAGCGCTTCGCGGTGTAGTCTTTCGCCCACACAACACACAGTCACTCCGCTCTGCGGTGTATCCCGTGAAGCGCTTTGAGGCGTCTCGAAGACGTGACGATCAAAAAATAAATGAAGAAGTGAAAATAAACCTGAACTTTAAGCAAAAAAAAAAGGGACCCCACAGTCGCTTAATTTATCCCATTTAGTTCCTCATTTATAGAGTCCTCAGAGAAGGGTTTCTAATGTTAGAGCCACTGCATAAATAAATGGGGTGGAGTTCCTGTAGCTCAGGGGTTCGAGCCCTCGCCTCGCGAGCCAGAGGACCCGGGCGAAACCTTAGGCAAGTTTCCTTACTCCCCCCACACAGACACACACAGACACACACCCACAAATACACACAGATGCACACACGCACACCCACAAATGCACACACATACACAGACACACACCCACAAATGCACACATACACACACAGACGCACACACACACACACGCGAGCGCCTGTTTAATTTAGCAGTAAGTAGGAACCCGTTTGTTAGTCGATTTGCAGATCACTTCCGTGGGGGGGGGAGTGGGGGGTAATAATCCCTCGAAAAAATATAATGATAAATAATAATTGGGTCCCTCAGTCCACGACTGTTTGTAGGAGACATTTGGCTGAAGCATTTCGCCCTCAAAATACACAAAAACATTTTTTTGGGGGGTGGGGGCATCACCTTGCTGTGGGGTGCAAAATCTTCCGTTAACTTCTTCAGAGGGTGGTCATATTCCTGTAACATCTGTCCCAGCCTCAGGTAATTGGATTCACTGTCAGCGAGAGAGAGAGAGAGAGTGTGAGAGAGTGAGTCAGAGACCGACAGAGAGAGAGAGACTCACACACACACACACAGAGAAAAGGAGGGAGACAGAGAGGGACGTGGGAGGGACACAGACGGAGAAACAGAGAGAGCGCCTCGGAGCGCTTGACGGTGGCGGAGCAACTCGCTCAGACGTGGAGGAGGTGACCGTAAGGACTGGTCGATGGGGAAGGCGAGAGAGGAGGGGGCAAAGGCGGAGGGACTGAGGGAGAGAGTAACAGGGGATTGGGGGCGTAGGGGGGCGAGGGAACGAGCAGGAGGCCGGAGCCAGCCGAGCCGGTTTGTGGGATCAAAGAGGTAAATAACCGGGCAGATACGAGCAGGGGGGGTGGATTCTGGTACCTGGCGCCGTTGGACATCTCGAAGGCACAGTTGTACATCCCAATGAGGACCTTGCGGTCCTCCACACGGGAAACCATCAGGATTACAGACATGTAGGTCACGATCAGGTCCAGGTAGTTCTTCGTCAATTCATAGTTGAGGTTCTAGAAGTGAAACATTTGGTCACTGACGTCTCTCCTCTTCTCGTCTGGTCTCCAGACCTCATACAATCAATCCCACCTCTCACTCTGAAACTCAAGGAATCTTACAGCACAGAAGGAGGCCATTCGGCCCATCGTGCCTCTGCTGCTGCTGCTGTTGTTATTGAGTCTCCCTCGTCCCTGGGAACATTCTGGTAAATCTGCTTTGCACCCTCTCCAAGGCCTTGACATCCTGTCTACCTTTCAACCCCCAACTTTAACCGGCTGCAACAGCAACAGCTACAACAACTTGCTTTCACATGGCGCCCTTCACACCGAAAGGGGTATGGTTTGCCGCCGAGAGAGATAGAGAGAGACCACGACAGAGGGGTGACTTGATTCTAACATGATTTTGCAGAGCACGTCATCAGCTCCAATGACACCCCCACCCCACCCACCCCTTAGCTTCCCCTCAACGAGGATTCCTTGCGGGACGGTCCTAGAGATCACACAGGGAATAATAAATCCACACTGGACCGGGAGGCACTCACGATATTGAAGTACACTTGACAGGAGTCGATGGTGTTCAGTAACTCATACACGTTGTTCTGGAAGAGAGACGAGAGACGTGTGAGCGCAGACGGGAGCAGAGAATGGGGTCGGTCTCGAGAACTGACGAACTAACTAGAAAATAACATCTGCTAAAGGGAATAAAGCGTAGAGTTTGGGGCGGTGGGGGGGTAAGAGGGGGAGGTGGGGAGGGGGTTACGACATGCGCAAGCGACCGACGGAATGGATGGTGGAAGGCAGACTGAACGGACCTTGTTTTGCTCGACGGTGGCGTGGGAAAGGGCAGGAGTTGTGGGTGGGTGGGGTGGTGTGTGGGTGGGTGGGGGGGGGCGTTACATTAAGAGGAGGGAGTGGGCAGGTTGGAAGGGTTGGAAGACGGTGGCCACGGGGAGGGGTGAGGCAAGATCGTGGAGTGGATTTAAAGATCAGGACGACTATCCTCCGGGCGACGGGGAGACCCCGTTGAAGCCGGGACTATGTCCAGACGAGGCCCGGCCTCACCCGGAACTCCATGATGTCCACAAACGACAAGTAGTAGTTCGTCAATGTTTTCAGGATTTCGGATTTCTCCTTCTGGACGATGCTCAGGTGTTGCTAGAAATAGCAATTAAAGATAACGGTTAGTAATAGACGTCCCCGCAAACAGCCGCGGGTTGAGTGACCAAATTATCACTATCTTTTTTTTTGAAGGGATTATTACCCACCGGGAAAGTGATGCCCCGATCGATTAACAACCGGGTTCCTACTCGCTGCTGGTAAACAGAGGCGTGTGCGCGCGCGTGTGTCTGGATGTGTGTATGTGTGGGTGTGTGCGTGTGCGTGTGCGTGCGTGTAGTAAGGAAACTTGCCTAAGGCTTCGCCCCGACCTGACCTGACCCGCCCCGGGGATCGAACCCGGGTCCCCTGGCTAGCGAGGGCGCGGGGGCTCTAACCCCCCCGAGCCGCAGGGACTGCACAGACTTACGTTACTCCCTCGGGTGTCGATGTTTGGGAATTTCCGGGCGATGTACTTGACGGCGGATTCCATGTGCTTTTCTGTCAAGTAGGGCAGCTTCGTCTTGGGATCCGAACATGTCTGTGAGAGAGAGGGAGGGGGGGGGGGGGGGAGAGGGGGGAGTGGTGGGTGGGTGGAGTGACATGGACTAAAGATTCCTCATCCAGCTCAGCGTAAAGGAAACTGCTCCTGTGTCAACAACAACAACTTGCATTTACACAGCGCACCCCCACCCCCCCACCCTCACGCAGGGCAGAGCCCCAGAGCGCTTTGACAGTGGTGGAGCAGGACCCTGACCCACACCTCTTGACCTCCTAACTTCCTCCTCTCAGTGGGCTCCGGGTCTGCTCTACGTCTCCCACCCCCCCCCCCCCCCCCCACTCCACCATCGCCGGTCAAGCCGTCAGCCTCTCTGCCCCCTCGCCCTCTGGAACTCCATCCCACAGTCCCTCCGTCTCCCTCCCTCCCTCCTTCCCTTCGAGGCCCATCTCAAGACCCTCTTCTTCGACCAACTGCGCCATTCTTGGCCATTCTCCTACCTCCAACTCCCACCCACCCCCACCCGCCCTCCACACCCTCCCTCCTGATCTCAACCCCCACCTCCCTCGCCCCCACCCTGTTCAGGTCCAAATCCCTGACTGCGCAGCCCCTTTGCGACTGCAACCGCTCGCCCCCAAAAAAGAGGTACAAGAGAGATCGAAAGGGGGAAGAGAGTGGAGGCCTCGAGGGCGAAACACACTCGAGACTGAAGCAGAAAACAGGATGTAGATAGTCACGGTGACAGAGCATCAGGACACAGCTGGGAGTCCGCACCACAACACAGAGCAACAATCTCACGGCCGCAGCATTAGCTGATAATAATAATAATTAATAATAATCCTGATATTATCACGTCTTCGAGACGTCTCACTCGCTCGCTCACACAACACTCATTCACTCACTCACTCACTCACTCACACACTCTCATTCAAACACTCACTCAGAAACACTCTCACACCCTTCCTCCCCCCCTCACACACTCACCTTCTTAATGTTGTAAACGCGGGTCAGCACTCCGCGGCCTCGATCGTTCAAGATGGTCAACTTCTCGGCCAGTTTGTGCTGCATCATCGCGCCGGCGGTCGGGGCAGGAGGCGGTGGCTCGAGAGCCAGAGAACCTCCTCCGAGCAGGGACCAAAACTTGAGGAGCACGACCCCGAGACCTGCCACAGGCAAGGCGCACACTCCCACCGACGAGGCTTTCCTCCTCCCAGACCCGACCTGATCCAGCCCCGCCCCGCCCGGCCCGGCCCCGTCAGTTCCTCTCACTACTTGGTTTGGAACCATGACAAGGAGTTCAGAAGGCTTTGGGTACTTCTCATTGGTTCCACCGCCCGCCCGCCCGTCCGTCCCTCCTGACTTGCGCCAGTCATCGCACAGTTCGAAAAATACCACATCCTCTCTCTCTCTCTCTCGACATTAACTTCATCCCCGTTCAAGACTTACCCCCCCCACCCCAACCAGCCAGGCCACAGGCTGTACGTTGTGCTGTGATCACACCCACTCTTTCACACACACCCTCTCTCTCTCGTCAAACTCAAATTGAGTTTAATAAACAAGAACAGAGGTGTGCAAACGCAAGGGCGCTGTGAGAAACGCAAAGCACAGTCACTACACTCGACAATCCACCTAAGAACTGTAGACCTTCAGGGCACTGCTGTGTGGAACTCTCTTCCTCCGTCCCTCAATCCCTCTGCTTTGCCCCCTTTCCCTCCCCCATCATCAGAAGACTTTCCTCTTCGAGCTACAGCACCTAAGGTCACCCACACCCCCCGCCCCCCGCCTCCGGCTCGGTGTCGGGCTCCGCCAGGGGAGTGAGTTGGACTAGTTGGTGGCTCTTCCAAAGAGCCAGCACAGGCCCGATGGGCCGAATGGCCTCCTCCTGTGCCGTAGGATTGTAAGACTACATGGGGATTGCGTTCGAAATTCTTCCACATCTCTTAACAACACAGACAACAGTGAACTTCCTCCCACCGAGTGGTGTGAGGCTCCCTCTTGCGGTAATTACAGCTCAGTGCACGATCAACACACACACACACACACAAAACAGGCTCGAGGGGCTGAATGGCCTCCTCCCGGTCCTATGTTGCGGTCACTCCCCCCGGATTTACACAAAAAACATCCAGAGAGGAACAAACACCAGACACGGAACCTTTAATCAGGGACACTCAGCATTGACGAGCCCACAGGCCTCGCGCTCAGTACATTTGGTTCAAGTTGGGATGAAATCTCTCAACTTGTGTATCCGCGATCCCCGTTGTTTCGCAGCAAAAACATCAACAATAATATTCAAGTCTTTGGTTTATATCTAAGTATCAATCAAGACACTTACTTGAACACCTCATTTTTTCCCCCGTGCTGTCTGTATAGAATATACGCACACGTATATATATATATATATATATAAAAATCCACCTTTTTTTTTCATTCTTTATCAAAAACAAAGTCATGTGAGTGTGCAAAATATCGTTCATTCGCGGTAAAGTACCGAGCAGAGCCTCAGAAGCAGGAACGGTTTGGCTTCCGAAGCTCTCTGTGAGAAACATTTAACAATAATATTACTTGCACTTGATGCAGAGCCTTATCACGTCTTCGCGGCGTCTCAAAGGGCCTCACAGGACACGCTGTGAAGTGTAGTGACTGTGCGTTTTTGTGGGCGAAACGCGGCAGCCAATTGTCCCTTAAGCAGAGTCTCCACAAGCAGTTTCACGTCTCAAAAGTGAAGTGCTTCGAGACCTCTCAACGACGTGATAAGGCGCGATCTCAAACCAAGGATTATCATAATTGTTCTTATTATTACAGCACCTTTCGTGTCAGGAGGATGTCCCAAAGCGCTTCAAAGGATTTACTGTGAAGTGTAGTGACTGTGTGTTCTGCGGGCGATTCCATTAAAAAATAGCCAGAGAGTGTCAATGATACAGACGTCAAAATTCGTGTACTAAAAAGGAAGCGGGGTGCGTGTGTGTGTGGGTGTGGGCGTGTGGGTGCGTGCGTGTGGTGCGTGGTGTGGGGGTGTGTGGGGTGTGCGTGGGTGTGTGTGGTGTGGGTATGGGGGGGGGGAAGGATGGTATCTAAAAGAGGAACAAATAAATAACTCTTACGTTTTTTTTTAAATGGAATAAATATGTTGTTAAAACTATTATTTATACAAAGAGTTAGCACTTTTGTCCAGTCATTTGGCACTCTGTCTGTGTGTGTGTGTGTGTGTGTGTGTGTGTGTGAGGGTCTGTGTGTGTGAGGGTCTGTGTGTGTGTGAGAGGCGCGTGTGTGAGAGGGCATGTATATGGGGTGTGTGTGAGGTGTGAGGTATGTGTGAGAGGTGTGTGTGTATATGAGACACGTGTGTGTGACAGGCGCGTGTGAGAGGTGTGTGTGTGACGGGTGTGTAAGGCGTGTGAGTGTAGGAAGGGCCGAAAGGTGTAACAACACAACAACGGAACAGAAAGAGCTGTAAACAGTGACCTGTTATGTCACACGAGTGTTGCTCACATGAAACAAGTAACATTAACACATTAGTGATTGCTTTTGAGCCAAGAATTGTGGCTAATCAAAGGCACTGTTCAAACGGCTCCAGATATGTGATTACTTCACACCCACTGGAGCTCTCGACTCTTAACCCCATTCCCCTACTCGCTCTCCCCCCCCCCCATCGTGCCGGTGCTCGCTTCCCCCCACTCTAACCCCATTCCCCTGCTCTCTCTCTTTCTCTCTCTCTCTCTCCGCCCATCGTGTCGACGCCTTGGGAGGTCCCTGAAATGTTTGGACATAATTCATACTTTGCGTAAGTCACATTTAAATGTCCGGTCCAAACCGACACGACTTATATGAGGTTTTCGTGCAATGAACACCATGGATATTTGGTCCTTTTGCGATACTTGAAAGCACAGAAAATTTATGGCACAGAAGGAGGCCATTCGGCCCATCGTGTCTGTGTCGGCTCTTTCAAGAGCAATCCTATTAGTCCCATTTATTTCCCTGCCCTTAGTTTCCCAATAATCCTGTAACTTTTATTCTTTTTTTTAATATATATAATATTATATATGTTTAACACAGTGCCTTATCAGGTCTTCGACACGTCTCAAAGCGCTTCACAAGAATACACTGCAAAGTGAATCGATTGTATATTTTCGGTATTTATCCAGTTCCCTTTCCTTCCAGATTCCAAAGCCAATTTGGAATCTAACTCAACCGCTGTTCCCGGCAGGACATTCCACATCCTACCCTCTCTGTGAGTGAAATAAAATTCTCCTAACTTCTCTCATTTGCTAACTACCTAAAATTGATGCCCTCTAGTAACTGACTCACGACCCTTGGAAATAATTTCTCCCTGAGCTCTCTTGAAACCGCTCGTAATTTTGAAGACCTCAATCAGGTCACCTGACGGTTGTATCCGCGATAAAGACACCATTTATAGCGCCTCCACTCCCTCATCCAATTAGCCTCCCTTCCAACACCTCGAATTCTCTCCCCCTCCTCTCCTGGCGTGGGCTCTTATTTAATAATAATAATCCTGGCATTTGATACAGGGCCTTATCACGTCTCCGAGACGTCTCAAAGCGCTTCGCAGAAGACACTGTAATGTGGATTGACTCTGTATTCGTGGGAAAAAGGCGGCACAGCAGCGTCCCACAAACAGCCGTGGATTGAAGCGACTAAACTATTATTATTTTTTTTTCGAAGGGATTATTAGCCCCGACAATCGACGAACAACTGGGTTCCTTCGCACTGCTGGGTAAACAGAGGCGTGCGTGCGTGCGTGCGGAATAAGGAAACTTGCCCTGCCCGGGAATCGAACCCGGATTCTCTCGCTTGCCTGGCTCCACAAAAGGCCTGTAAACAGTCAAACCCTGTCATAAGGCATTGGTGGTTTAGATCAAACCCCGTGTTATAACAGCTTAGAGTTAAGTTTAGCGTTAAGATCATAAGAATTTGCTGGACCAAAGAAGACCAAGGTCCATCTAGTTTGCCTTCCGTCATCCTGTATTCCCCCCCAGATGTTATTTCCTAACCAAAATCTGTCTCATTTGTTCTTGAAAGAATCAACACTTTCAGCTTCCACTGTCTGTCCGTCTCCCCAGAGAACCTGATCCGTAGGTTTTACCAACTCGCTCACTGAAGGTAGTGGTTTGCGCGTTACGTTTTAAAAAAAGACCACAAGGCTTTCACGAAACCGTTTTCAAGTCGTCGAAACCATCCCACGCTCGGGAAAGCCAGCAAAGCCCCTTTCCGACCCCGAAAACGACGACTTGCGTTTAAAATAATAAATAATAATAATCCTCGCGTTTGATATAGTGCCTTATCGGGTCATCGCTTTTCCGGGGGGTAATAATCCTGCCGTAAAATAATAATAATATGGTCACTTAATCCACGACTGGTTGTGGGGACATCGCTGTGCGCAAATGACTGCCGCGTTTCGCCCACTAAATATACAGTCGCCGCACTTGACTGTACGTCCTGTGATGCGCTTTGAGAGGTCTCCAAGACGTGATAAGGCGCTGTATCGAATGCGAGGATTATTATTGTTGCTGTTATTAAAAAAAAACAAGACGACAGAACGGAGAAGGTTGGAAACCTGGAGAATTGTGGGGGGAACAACCCCAAGTCCCTTCTCAACTTACCACCGCCATTTGGACCTTTCCCCACCTGCTCAAAAAAGTTCTGTCCCCTCTCTCTCGCTGCAAGTCACGGTGTGTCAGAGCAGTGAATCCAACGGGTTTTGCGACGTTGCTTTACGGCAGCTATGGCGAGGGTGAGGTAAGGGAACGGGGTTTCTCCTCGATCTAAGCTGGTGTTTTACACAGTGTCTGCAGCATAACAAGGGCAAGTGTCCCAGTTCTCACGCCGCACCAACCAGGCAGATCGCCTTGACATCATCGCGAGGAGGTAACAGGCTCATCCACGTCATTCAGCAACGAGAGTTCCATTGGCGTGCCCGAACGAGCCTAGAGGCGAGCGAGGGAGAGAGAGAGAGAAAGAGAGAGAAAGTGGGGAAAGAGATCAGTGTCAAGTCTCCCGAACTCGGCAGTTTATAATAATAATAATAATAATAATCCTCGCATTTAATATAGCGCTTTTCACGTCGGGAGGACGTCCCAAAGCGCTTCACAGAACACACTGTAAAGTGAATTGACTGTATATTTGTGGGCGAACGCGGCGGCCAATTGCGCACAGCAATGTCCCACAAACAGTCGTAGATTGAAAATGACCAATTTATTATTGTTTTGGTTTTGGAGGGAATATTATTAGGCTCTGTGTGGAGTAAGGAAACTTGCCCAAGGTTTCGCCCTCTGCCGGGAATTGAACTCAGGTCTCTCACTGGCAAAGCGAGTGCTCTAACCACTGAGCTACAGGACTCCACGAGTTTGCACCCGAAGCAACCCCTGGGTCGTAATTAAACTCCCCTAATAATGCTCACCCCTCCGAGGAGATGGTAAACTGAGGTCCCGTCAGCCTGTTCGGGGCGAGTGTTACAGATCCCGTGGGGATAACGGGAACGTAAGAGGCGTTTCTCCCAACGTCCTGGGCAGCAAAGCTTCTTACCTCTTCAACCGCCCCCGAGGGAGGGTGGACTCCAATTCCAACATTGCGTCAGCTTATAATAACAACAACAACAACAATAATAATCCGTGCATTTGACCCAGCGCCTGATCACGTCTTCGGGTACGTCTCGAAGGGCTTCGCGGGATACGCTGTCAAGTGAATCGACCGCGTATTTTGTGGGCCAAACGCGGCAGCCAATTGCGCACCGCAGCGTCCCCACAAACGGCCGTGGGTTGAGTGATCAAATTTTTCTTATATTTTTTTTTGGAGGGATTACTTCCCCCCCCCGGAAAGAGATCCACCAATCGACTAACAAGCAGGTTCCTAACTTACTGCTGATAAACACAGGCGCGCGCGCGTACTTGCGTGTATGTATGTGCGTGTGTGTGTGTGTGTGTGTGTGTGGAGTAAGGAAACTTCCCTAAGGTTTCGCCCTGACCTGACCCGGGTCCTCTGGCTCGCGAGGCGAGGGCTCTAACCCCTGAGCTACAGGGCTGTATATTGCGGGGAAGCGTTATGTGGAGATAGCTACTGGGCTCAGGAGAAGCACTACAAGAGGAATTAAATGGAGAGAGATTTGATACTTTCCCCAGGACTATATGTAATATACATATATATATAATAAAAAAAAACTTGACGCCTGTGATATTTGGGCAAATAGATTTATTAAAAAGCCAATACTTCTGTACAGAATCTCAAGATGTAATCAGGCAACAGAAGTTCAATACAAAAACAAATTTCACGTCGACACAGACGTCTGTGTGTGTGTGTGTGTGTGTGTCCTGATTTGTGCATTTCACAGACTTGGGGGTTAAACCCCAATGCCGAACACAATGAACACATGGCTCTTGGTGGGATGGGAATCTACAGCAAAATAACCCACATTCCCGCCCCCCCCCCACCCCTGGAGTTTGAAAAATCCCCCGTTTCCCTCATTTTGTGGGCGGAACGCGGCAACCGTAGCCAATAAAAAATAATAATTTGATCCCTGAAATTACGGCTGTCAGTGGGGACGCTGCTGTGCGCAATTAATTGGCAGCCGCGTTTCGCCCACAAACTACACAGTCAATTCACTTCACAGTGTATCCTGTGAAGCGCTTTGTGACGTCTCGAAGATGTGATAAGGCGCTGTATCAAATGCAAACATTATTAATTATTATTATTATTATTATTAATATTATTGGACACAGTAAAGCTGCTCATCTCCCCTTGCAAATGTCACAATAAAAGTCAGGGACAGGCGAGCAACAGATGGGGTGGGGGGTGTGTGGGAAGAGGGGGTGTGGGGCGAGGGGGGCGGAGGAGGTTGGGGTTGTGTTTGTGTATGTGTGGCCGGGGATGAAAAGACAGAAGAAAAGGTTAGGAAAGAAAAAAAATGAAAGGACAAAGCTAACATTCCCGGGTCCCGCCCGGCTCAGCTCTCGACTGTTTCGCTATTCTAAATATATATATATATATATATATATAAAGAAAATTGGACCCCAAAAACGAGACGGGTGGAAGTTGCCAAGAGCTGTACAATCCCTCCCACCCCTTGAGCGCATGTTTCACGCTGAAATGCCCCCCACCCCCCCCCCCACCCCTCGAAAAGCAGCAGCAGGTCTCGGCGACGTCAACCACAAGCAAGCTCCAGTCACAACGTGAATTATCCAGTGAATCGCGACGGATCGGTAACAATTACAAACCTAATAATAAATCATCCTTACATTTGACCCAGTGCCTGATCGCGTCGTCAAAACGTCTCAAAGCGCTTCACAGGATATACTGTGGAGCGCGTCTTGTGGGTGAAACGCGGCGGCCAATTGCGCACAGCAGGGTCCCCGCAAACAGCCGTGGATGTGAGCGGATTTAATTTTTTTGAGGGATTATTTATCTCGCTCATTTATTCTGCTCATTCCTTTGGCAGTGGATAATGATAATAATCCTTGCATTTCACACTGCATTTCATATAGCGCCTCATCACGTCCTCAAGACTTCTCAAAGACTCTTCACAGAACATATGACTGGATAATTTGTGGGCGAAACCCGGCAACTAATTGCTCAGCGAGGTATCCCATAGACAGTCTTGGATTGAGATGAACACACATAATTGTACATTCGATTAAAATGAACGAAGATAAAATAAAATGAATCCAGGAACTAAAAAATGATTTGGGCATTACGTGGCTCAGTTAAGAACTAAATATCCGTTACCTAAATTCAGATTTTAGGGTAACATTTCACATCAGTTCACTTATCAGTGAGCGAATAATCCAAATTCCAGTGCACTTAACTTCATTGTGGATTTCATTTAAAAGCATCCAGTTTTATATATATATATATTTTAAAATCACCCAAATAATAAACAGTTAATCAATCAATCATTAAAAACAAACAAAGAACCAAATGGCTTGGGTCGTTTCGCCCTTTCCTTTTGTCATCTGTCCGTTCCTAACTAAAAACACATTCATCATTTTATCGTTAGAGTAAATGTTTCATATGTTAAAAAAAAACACCACCCGAGCCCCGAGCCTACATTTAGGGGTGAGACCGGAGCAGAAACTATTCCCGCATTGTTCCTAAAAAAGGAAATTGACGGGGGTTAAGCTTTCTGTGCCCTCGCCACACATTTGGCACCTGAGGTGTACCCTCAAGGAAGCCCACTTGCTCAAAGAGCTCTCTAGCAGAGAGAGAGAGAGAGAGAGAGAGGACATGTGAAAAAAAAAGCGTCTCCCCTTAACTCTCAGATTCGTCTTGTTCTTCTATAAGCACAGCACCACGGCTCCTTACCATGAGTCCGAAGGTCGGAAAGGGGCATCCGAGTGCAACCAGGCAGTCCCACGTCTGTGTGTGGGGGGGGGGGAAAAGAAAGAAAAAAAAAACCCACGTTACTTCTCAAAGTAATTTACAGCAATCCTTTTATTTTAATAATAATCCTTGCGTTTGACTCAGAGCCTTATCACGTCTTCGAGGCGTCTAAAAGCGCTTCACGGAATATACTGGTAAAGTGAATTTCTCATGATTTGGTATCATAGTAATCCTTGCATTTTACACCCAGTGCCTTGGTTGGTCCTCCCGACATGAAAGGCACTACACAAATGTAAATTTGTGTTGTATTGTATTGTATTTGAACACAGCGCCTTGTCACGTCGTTGAAACGTCTCAATGCGCTTCACGGGATATATTATGAAGCGGGTTGACCGTGCAAATTGTGGGTGAACCCCGGCACCGCAATTGCACACAGCAGCGTCCCACAAACAGCCGTGGATTGAGTGACTAAACCTTATTTCTTTTTGAGTGATTTTTTATTCCTGAAATTCACCAATCGACTAACAACCGGGTTCCTACTTAAGAGGCGCGTGTGTGTGTGTATGTGTGTGCGTGTATGTGTGTGGAGTAAGGAAACTTGTCTAAGGTTTCGCCCCGCTCGGGGATCGAACCCAGGTCCTCTCGCTTGCGAAGAGGTGAGCGCTCTAACCACTGAGCTACAGGTCCTAATCACGATTCTAATCACCCCGGATAACAACCCGCAAACATTTTTCGTGACACAACGTAAAGTTTAAAATTTGAGAACTTTAGGACAGGTCTTTTGCCAGCACTTACCAAGTAAATTACGAAAGACAAGTACGCGAACGAGATGAAGGCTGCCAACACATAAAGTGACACGTAGTGCAGGCTCGAGACATAGACCACCACAAAGTACATGTTAATGGCGCACACAATTAGAACGATAACTCCACCTGCAATCTTCCAGCCTCTAGGGAGAAAAGAAGACGAAAAAATATGACTGTGACAAGCAGAGAAGGGCCCAGAAACTAGCTTCACCTCCTCCCCTATCCTCTGGGACCTGCTAACCCCCAATATAGACCTGTTACCTTCCTACCCCCACTCTCTCTGCCCTCCATCGCCAACCCCAGCTTGGGTCCAAATCCTTGGGACGTCCTCCCGACGCGAAAGGCGCCGTGTAAGTATCACTGCCCAGGAATCGAACCTTGGTCCTCTCGCTTGTGAAGCGAGTGTGTTAACCACGATGCCTCAGGACTCCAATGTATTCGACCCCGTTTAACTTAATCACAACTTGTTATTTCATCTCACCCTCTCTCCCACTCTCTAACCTCGTCTATGTCCTGAACTGTGGTTGAGACTTAGATAACAGTCTGACTCTTTCGCCTACAACAACCACTCGCATTTATCTCCAGGAAGAAATGCAACCTTAACAATCTGGATACTTACAGAGCGTTAGCGAAATCGTGCATGACCGACCTCATACTGGTGAAGGTTAATATTGGAATCAAAGCAAACGGGAGCTAGATATAGAGGGAATAAAGCCACACGTTAGACCTGGGGCCAGGAGCCCTGCTTCTGTGAATGAAACAGGATAATAATAATAATAATCCTTGCATTTGACAGGTCTCGGTACACAACAACCACCTGTATTTATATAGCGCCCTTCACGCAAAGGCAACATCCCAGAGCTATATCTGTCCACACATCGGTCTTGACATTCCTTTGCACGTTCCCCCCTCTCCCCCGCCCCCTCCCCCTCACCTGCATGCTCTGTAGCACGTTCAGGAAATCATTCATCCCCGTCAGATGGTCCACATCCTGGAACACCGCCACCAGCAACGTTGGGGTGATGGCGATCGATCGAGTGAAGATCACACGGGCAAAACGGGACCAGGTCAGGTTCAGGAAACCCTTCAACAAGAAGGTTAGGGGTGAGATTTGCAGCTCGTAACACCACTCAAGACGGAGCTAGACAGGTGTTTATTAGGTCAGGGTATCAAGGGGTACGGGGTAAAGGACGAGTAACTGGACTCGAGGTACAGATCAGGCGTGATCAAGTAGAATGGCAGAACAGACTCAAGGGGCTGAATGGCCTCCTCCTGTTCCTATGTTTCTATGACTTTTGCCCCTCACAATGCACCAGAAACTCTCACCCCTCCTCTGGCGGGCGGGTAACCAGAGGACACAGATTTACGATAATTGGCAAAAGAACCAGAGGGGAGACCAGACGAGGAGATTTTTTTTTCACCCAGAGAGTTGGAAAGGCTGATGGGAGCAGATTCAATGGCAGCTTTCGAAAGGGAATTGGACAGCGACTTGAAAAGGAAAGGAGAATTGTGCAGGGCTTTGGGGGTGAGAGCGGGGGAGTGAGTGGGACGAGTTGGTGGCTCTTTCAAAGAGCCGGCACAGGCACGATGGGCCGAATGGCCTCCTTCTGTGCTGTAAGATTCTATGATTCCAAACCCCTCTCCCAGGCAAGGCACCGGGGAGCCCCAAAGGCGAGGCAAGGACATTGGTAGAAAATGAGAGAACCTTTAAGGGTTGGAAACGACAATAAAAACGTCACAACAGAGGAGACAATAAAAACGAGGAAATTACCTCCATGACAAACTGCCCGGAGTAAGTCCCTGTCATGGTAGAACTCTGCCCCGCAGCCAGGATTCCAATGGCCCAGATATAGAGGGCGGCCGGACCGAAGAAACAACCCAATACAACCCCCTGCAGGGCACAGAGAGCAACATTTTAGCTCAACGCGATTGCAAGCGCTTCAGAGCACTACTCTCCGAGACGCTACAACAACAGCTTGCATTTACACCGCATCCTGGAGCGCTTGACAAGTGGCAGAGCAAGACACCAAGCCGGGGGTGGGGGGGGCACAGTCGAAGAGGAAGGTCTTTGGGCGCGAGGATGGAAGAGGCAAGGCGATGGGATTGAGGGAGAGTGTGACTGAGTTTCGGGCATGTAGTGGCTGAAAGAGCGGTAGCCGATGGTGGAGCGGAGGGCACGAGGGGCAAGTAGGAGACCGGAGCCAGTCGAGCGGAGGAACCGGGCAGCGGGTTGGGGAGTAAGCAGGTCGGAGAGGTGGGGAGGTGTCAGGAGGCTAGATACCTCGACAAATTGCAATTCACGTCGGGAGGAAATACAAGTTATTGTCGTTATCGTCAGCTAAAAGGTTTCAACTGCAAATGTGTTCTGCAATATTTTACACTTACCCCTTTATAAATGTTAACATCCATGGTTTCGTTGTTAGCAGGGAACAGACTCGAGTGTGGGCTGCTGTTGTTCGAACACATATCCCTCTGCGAAGCAAAAAAAGGTTTTTTTGACATAAGGCGCTATACCAAAGGCAAGGATTATTATTAATATTATATTATTTGTAACCAGGTTGTGCTATATATATATAATATATATATACACACACACACATATGGAGTCCTGTAGTTCAATACTTTGAACAAGGTTCGATTCCCAACAGAGCGTAACATTGGGCAAGTTTCCTTACTCCACACACACGCCTATGTACCAGCAGTAAGTAGGAGGAACCCGGTTGTTAAGTCAATTGGCGGATCGCTTTCTGGGAGTAACAATTCCTTCAAATAAAAATAACAATAATGATAAATATTAAAACTGTTCCCACTGGTGGGTGTGTCGGTGACTCGAGGTCACAGATTCAAAAGAGTCTCCAAGAGAAGCCGAGGGGAGGCGAGAAGGAATTTTTTTTCACGCAGCGAGTTGTTCGAATCTGGAAGGCATCGCCTGAAAGGGCGGTGGAGGCCAATTCGATAACTACTTTTAAAAACGCGGTGGACGGGTATTTGAGGAGAACGGGTTTGCAGGTTATGGGGAAAGGGCCGGGGAGTGGGATTGACATTACACTGCTCTATTCAAAAAGCCGGCACAGACTCGATGGGCCGAATGGCCTCTTTTTGTGGTGTATGATTCTATGATTCTACGATAAATTAGTCGCTTCAATCCACGACTGTTTGTGGGGACGCTGCAGTGCTCATTTGGCTGCTGCCCTCAAAATATCCAGTCAATTCACTTTACAGTGAAGACGTGATCGGGCGCTGTGTCAAATGCCGGGATTATTATGAAAATATAAACAGAAGTTGTTGGGAACTTCTGTTTTTGTATTCAGATTTCCAGCATTGTGTTTTGCAAGGATTAATATTATTATTTAGCGGCTGCACTCACCACTTCGTTGTTTGTCTTCTTATAGAAAGCTTCGGCAAACACAGCGACCACAAAGACATTGATGAGGAACGATATAAAGAGAGCGATGCAGGTTTCGATGAAGAAATAGCGATTGGCTTCCTTGACTGCATTCCTGTTCGCTCGGTTCACGTCCCTAGACTGCGGACAAGAAAGAATCTGCATTTCAAAGTCTTCGTGGTGTTGAAAGCAAAACAAACCAGTCACTGGGGGCAGGGAATCCTCCTACTCGGCTCCTGTTAACCCTGCAAGCCAAAGCCCTAACGGGTAGGGTGGTCCTAGCTGGACAAGCACCGGGAGAGCCTGGCCAGGCAGCGCTCTCGCTGGCAAGTAAGCGTTTTTAGCTGGTGAGCCTCCAACAGTTACCCCAACGCACACTCTGGGCTCCCCTCCGAACCTTGGCTCTTGCCAACCTGCGCCTAATACTCTCCGGAATTAGGTAAGCAGGATGTCTCCCTCCCTCCCTCCCTCCCGAGAGAGAGAGCATGCGCATTCCATTCCAATAATCTATCCCTGGGATTTCCACATTGGGTGGGATGCATGGAATACTCAGCTTGGTTTATAATACAATGAAGTAACTGCTAAAGACAACGATCATCATTTCTTCCACATCTTTCAGTTGTTGGTCAGTGCGCTGCAGGGGGAAATAAAAACATGGGAGGAGGGATAGGGGGTGTATCAGGACTTTGCGAACATCCTGTACAGACAGAAGGAAACCTCACCTTGACGAGGGCAGAGTGGAGGTAGATGTTGTGTGGCATGATAACAGCTCCCACAATACCAACAGCCTGCTCCAACTGGGGTGGCCCACAGCCCTGACAATAGGGCACAAACATCCCCTTCAGCAACGCTCCCTGGTCAGGCCTCACAGTCACGTACTGCAGATCAGAGGAATCGACTGTGAGATTATCATTTACAGACGCAGAAATATAACATAATACACCCAGGCGATGCGGAAAACAGAAATTAACTGTGTGATTATCACTGCAGACGGTAAAGATATATATATTACAATTACACGCACTCACACACACACCCATGTACCTCTTATTGTGTGGGGGAAAAAGGGAATGAACTGATTATTACTGCAGTCTCAATGATGTATTGCACAGGGTTACAAGGGTGGCATAGTCTTAAAATTAGCGCTAGGCCATTCAGGAGTGAAATAAGGAGCCAGTTTTTCACCCAAAATCTGGGACTCTCTCTTGCTCCCTCTCCCAAAATGGCTGTGGATTATGACTGGATCCAATCATGTTTTCAAGACTGAAGTGGATAGATGTTTGTTAGGTCAGCGGTATCAAGGGATACGTAGCAAAGGCGAGCAATTGGAGTTGAAGTACAAATCAGCCATGATATTAAAGAAAACATTTACCTCGTATCCGAACGTGAAGGCCATAACTGTGATAAGGAACCCAAAAAAAGCTTCCAGCCTTCTTAAACCTGTAGAAGACAGAGAAATCTTGTTTACACAGAGATCAGCGCAATGTTTTTTCCTGTGTGAACCACTAAGCCATATGCAATTCAAACTATTTTCTAAATCCCCTCGCAAAGCGGATCCGCAGTACATACTCAAGTGTGCCAAGCGTGGAATTCAAGCTTTCGAGATTGAACTGCACAGGAATTATCCGCAGACTGAGACTTAATTTGGATGCATCGCAACGGCAACAAATTACATTTGTACAGCTCCTTTCACATCAGGGGGACCGTGGACAGTCACTCTTGAAGAGGAGGGTCTTGAGACGGGTCTCGAGGGAGGCAAAGGAGGGGGCGAGGGACTGTGGGATGGAGTTCCAGAGGTGTGGGGGCGGAGAGGCTGAAGGTAAAGAGCTTTCGGAATCAAACCCACACCAATCGATCTTTCGAACTTACCATATTTATCCATAAATAGGAACACAAAGGTGTCTACAATAGTTATTAAGACGCCAGCCCACAGGGGAATCCTGAATGCACGATGGGGGTGGGTGGGGGGGGAAAAGAAAAACACAATGATTTGTCTTGTAAGAAAAAGAACGCTGAAGCATACAATAATCCTTGCATTTGATACAGCGCCTCATCACGTCTTTCGAGACGCCTCAAAGCGCTTCACAGGTTATACTGCAATGTGGAGTGACTGTTGTGTTTTGTGGGCGAAACGCAGCAGCCAATTGCGCACAGCGACGTCCCCACAAACAGCCGTGGATTGAGTGACCAAATTATTAGTATTATTTTTTTCAGGGAGGGATTATTACCCTCGGAAAAGCGATTCACCAATCGTCTAAAGCGGGTTCCTACTTACTGCTGGTAAACAGGCGCGCGTGTGTGGAGTAAGGAAACATCCCTGAGGTTTCGCCATGCCGGGAATCGAAGCAGAGTCCTCTCGCTTGCGAGGTGAGCGCTCTAACCACTCGGCTACAGGACTCTACTAGGTAGACATTTGCCTAACTTGCCGCTCTGGACAACTAGTCGTTGAGCCCTTTCCCTTGGAGCCACCAGTTATCAGGAGTTTACTGTATAAAGATATCTTTTTTAAGCGCAGCATGTTCAATAAGTGTTTCAGCTAACACCACGCTAATCTTGAAAGTGCATGAGGTGTACAGTACCTGCCCGCAGACAAAAGGTTAAAGGCTATGGCTGAACCGATCACTTCCTGCATGTCCGATCCAATGATTGCCAACTCCACCATCAGCCACAGGATTATTCGAGGGAACTGTAAGAGGCACGCACGTTAGGCAAATAACACTAATACTCCTTGCATTGGACACAGCGCCTTATCACGTCTTCGAGAGGTCTCAAAGCGCTTCACAGGATATACTGCAAAGTGAATTGACTGTGTATTTTGTGGGTGAAACACGGCAGCCAATTGCGCACAGCATTTACACAGGGCTGAAGCTGGGATGACTGCACACTCGCTCCGATTTATTATTATTATCGTGCTAGTAGTACCTATTAGCCTATGAGCCGTCTGTTAAACATTTACTAAGGTGTCGGATTGATATCGGACTGAGCAAACATCATGTGGTGCTCATTTAGTGTTTTGTCCTGGCAAACGTTTAGGAAAAATCGCGATTTGTCATGGGAAATATGGTGGGCAGATTTTGAGGTAACCAATCATCTGACACGTACTTGCATTTTCTATTTATTTCCCTCAGGTTTTTTTTGTGTGTTGATCAGTCAAACACACACAGAAATCCATTGGTGTGCTGGCCTTCAGCCACTCGTGGCCTCACCCTCTGGAATGCCATCCCACATTCCCTCCACCTCACCCCCCACTCCCCGCTGCGTAAACGTCATTTGTTGTTGTTGGTAAAGAGTATCCAACCTGACATCTACGTTAAGCCCACGCGGGGAAATTTGAGTGGATTGAGTGACCATTTTTTAAAAATATATCTTTAATATTCAAAGAATTGCACTGTAAAAGCTTCGCTCTCTCTCTCTCTCTCTTTTGATTCCTTTCAGAACAGTATTCCTTTGAACACTAAATATCCTCTCCGTCTTCCACCGCAACACAACACTGGCCGACGCCAAGAGAAATAACAAGAACTCAGATTAGCTTTTGAATGAAAACCTCGGCAGGGCATAAGATATAATCATGACTTTAGAGTGTAAAGACTACAGCTCAATGTAACTGACTACAAAGGAAACTGTGTATTATAGTCAACTTAACTGGGGAACCAGTTGTGAATGGATTCCTCAGTAAACAGGGGAGTTTGGTGAGTCATTGTCTCCAAACATTGAGAGCAGACAATGGCAGCTGTGAGGTTTAAGTTGGTTGGATGTCAGCAGTTACCCCAACGCACATTCTGCCGCACCCCCCCCCCCCCCCCACCTTGACTCTCCACAACCTGCGCCTAATAGACCTCAGAATTAGGGAAGCAAAGCAGGGTTGGGACACACTGTAAAGTGCAACGACTGTGCATTTTGCGGGCGAAACGTCTCTCTCATTACCGTAAGCTCTACTACCCAAGTATCCATCCCTTTTAAACATCCGTCCCAGTGCTTTCAAACGAGATGAGCGACACCTCCTGGTAATCATTCCACTTGGCGACATATCCCGCGAAGAGCTTTTGAGGCACCCTAAACATAAGAGGCATAGGAGCAGGAGGAGGCCATTCAGCCCCTCGAGCCTGTTCCGCCGTTCTATAAATCATGGCTGATCTGTACTTCAAGTCCAATTACCTGCCCTCGCCCCATATCCCTTGATACCCTGTCCTGCAGACATGGGAAACGGCACTATATTAAATGTAAGGATTATAATCTTTATCATGGGTGGTGTAATACATACCTTGGGGTACTGTTTGTGGCAGATCTCAGCAAGGTGCATGCCAGTTACCACTCCTAATCGGGCAGCCAGCCGCTGTAACAGAAGCCCTATGATGGTAGCTGACAACAACACCCAGAGCAACTGGAAAAATAAGAGAGAGAGAGACACAGTACACGTCAATAACAACACCAGCAATTTGGATTGACACAGATTTTTCGAGATTATAAGCTTTACAAGTGAATAATAATAATAATAATAATCGTCGCAACTGATCGGGCGCCTTATCCCGTCTTAAAAACGCTTCGCAGACTATACACGTGAAGTGAATTGACTGTATATTTTGTGGGCGAAACGCGGCAGCCAATTTGCACACAGCGACGTCCCCACGGCCAGTTGTGGAATGAGTGACCAAATTTAGCATTTTTTTTTGAAGGAATTCTTACACCCGAAAAGCGATCAGCCAATTGGATAACAACCGGGTTTTGTTTGACGTACCTTAAACCCTGCTACAGCTCCAGACTGCAGGTCGGACTCGATGTTCCCAGGGTCCAGATAGGCGATGCTCATAAGAAACCCGGGTCCCGTAAACGCCCAGAGTTTCCGAAAGCTAAACCAGGCCTAAAGGCAAGGAACACAAAGTAGAAAAATAATAATATTAGTCATCCTTGCATTTGATACGGCGCCTGATCACGTCAGTGAGACGCCTCAAAGCGCTTCACAGGATATACCGTCAAGTGAAGTTGACCGTTTATTTTGTAGACGAGACGCAGCAGCCAATTGCGCACAGCGGTGTCCCACAATTATTATTATTTATTATGATTATTTCAACCGGTTCTAGTGTAACCCAGCCTGTACAACTTAAAGCAAGGAGAGGCTCATTGAGTTGAACTAACGCTCCGCCTTGCCAGACTGAAGACCTTCCTCTTCAACGTCTTCCTTACAGTCACCTCCTCCGTCCCTCCCTCCCTCTGTCTCGGGGTTAAGCGCTCAGAGCCACTGCCCCGCGTGAAGGGCGCTTTGTAAATGCAAGTTGTTGTTGTTTTAGGACAGTCTTAAAGCCTTACCGAGTTATCGTCTGGTATTGGCACCTTCTCATCCAGGTAGGTCTGATAGCTCTGGTCTAAAGGGTCTGGAGATTCAGGCGGTGTCATGGTGCTATACCCAGTGTGGATTTTATTGGCACCACCTTGGCTTTCTGCAGCTTCATCTGAAAAATAATCACAAAGAAAGAATGAGCAACCACTGATAAAGAGCCAGTTGGGAACGTCTGAGTCAAAATCCACCCAAATCAGCAGTTTCAGATTGTGTTCACGACTGTGTTTGATATAGCGCCTTTCACAATGCAAAGACACAGCGCTGGGTGTTATTGGAGAAACCTTAACGTGTTGGCAAGAGTTTGTTCTGCCAAGCTATGATTTAATAATAATAATAATCCTTGTACTTGACATAGCGTCTTATCACATCGTTGAGACGTCTCACCGAAAGCGCTTCACAGAATAAACTGTAACGTGTACTGGCTGTATATTTTGTGGGCGAACTGTGGCAGCCAACTGCACTTCAAAGAATTTTAAATTAAGTTAAGGATGTTTTTCCTCAATTAATTTAATCGGATTTTAATTGCTTCGGGTAGGGCGATGTCACGCTTCGAAGAAAGAGATGAAAGTTGAGTTAATATGGAACAAAACCACAATGAAAGCGTCTTCTTAATGCATTCCAACCAGGGCCAAAACCTTAGGCAATTTTCCTTACCCCACATACAGGTCCCCAGCAGTAAATAGGAACCTGGTTGTTAAGTCGATTGGCAGATCGCTTTCCAGGGATAATAATCCCTTGAAAAAACATAAGAATTTAGTCACTCAATCTATGACTGTTTGTGGGACGCAATTGGCTGTCATGTTTCACCCACAAAATACAGTCCGTTCACTTCACAGTATATCCTCTGAAGCTCTTTGAGACGTCTTGAAGACGTGATGAGGAGCTGCATCAGATGCAAGGATTATTATTACTATGAAGCTAACTTCTCCACGAAACTTCCAAAGGTTAAAAAAGGTTAGCAGATTTAGCAATCGTTGCAACACCCTTTGTTCTCCGAGTACCTATCTTCCGTCTTTTGAATTAAGTTTCATTTGAACACGATTCGAGGCCCGATAATGTGCAGGCAGATTAGTCAGCAATAGCTGATACTGCTTACCACAGAATGTGTTATGTACTCAGCTTCCAGTCAGGACAGGGGAGGGAGAAAGGGAGTGTGGGCTGAGCAGGGGTTCTGCTTAAACTGTACCCAAGATTTCACAGTTACCAACTAAAGCACCACTGGCCTCACCTAAGTCAGGAAGAACTAAAATATACAGTCAATTCACTTTACTGTATATTCTGTGAGGCGCTTTGAGACGTCTCGAGGACGTAATTAGGTGCTGTATCAAATGCAAGGGCTATTATTATCATTATTATTAGTAGGAGGAGGAGGAGGAGGGAGATATCAACAGTGACCTGACAACCTGGAAACAGTCAGCGGACATTTTATTTGCCTGCGTTCATCTCCCACCGGCTCTACGGCGTGCTCCGCCACTTTCAAGTGCTGCGAGAGGCCACTCCACATGAGTCACGGGCGCTGTATCAATGCTCTAGCAGCTACGCTACAAGATTCAGTACAGCTCTATTGCAGTGCTTTTATTGGGGTGGTCTCGACGTGTGTGACACTTGTTGCTGGCCGCATCGCGACTTTTCGTAATCTGTGTCACTTCTCCATCTTCGCTGAGAGAGAGAGAGAGACGGGGAGGGAGAGCGAGAGCACGCGCGCGCACACACATACTCTTCCTTCTCATTGCTGCCCACTTCATTTGATAGCATTTGATAGCGTGAAGAGCCCTGTAGCTCAGTGGTTAGAGCACTCGTCTCTAACCGCAAGCGAAAGAGCCACTGGGTTCGATCCCCAGCAATGCGAAACCTTAGGCGAGTTTCCTTACTCCACACGCCAGTTTACCCAACAGTAAGTAGGAACCCGGGTTGTTAGTGGATTGGCGGATCGCTTTTCCGGGGGTAGTAATCGCTTCAAAAATAATAATAATAATAATTTGGTCACTCAATCCACGACTGTTTGTAGGGACGCTGCTGTGCACGATTGGCTGCCGCGTTTCGCCCAAAACTATACAGTCAGTTCACTTTACAGTATATTCCGTGAAGCGCTTTGAGACGTCTGATAAGGCGCTGTATCAAATGCAAGGATTATTATTATTATTATTACTCCCAGTCCACTCTTGGCTTGTCCAGTCCTCCTGCCTGCCAATGAAGGCAGCTGAAAAGTACATATGAAGCAGCTGGGCCCCAAGGTTATTATTATACCTTTGAAGTGCCTGCGTTCAACAGAACCTGGGAGCTTCCCACAGGGGGCAAAAGTGAAAACAAATGTTTTTAAAATATCTATATAAAAAATAAAATTCCATTAGACGTAGAGGGACCCTAATGAGGTTCAGAATTCAAAGTTTCTCCTACAAAACACACAGTCAATCCACGTTACAGTATATGCTGTCAAGGTTTGAAACGTCTCAACGACGTGATAAGGAGCTGCGTCAAATGCAAGGATTATTATCATTACTGTCAATATCCCACCTGCATTTATTTGTGTGTTTACATATGCTTAACTTGGCAGTCCTGTTAACTCGTCACTGAGCCCTCTTCGCTCGGAGCGATGATGTATTTGTGATTTGTTGAACAAACCGTCAAACAAAATTTGACAAGTGCAGTAAAAAGCATTTTTAAGTAAATCCAGCAGAGAGATTTGACACCTTTAAAGGAACGAGACTCGGAAGCGATGCCAAGTTGGAACTGAAGGACATGCTCTGTGCGTGAGGGAGAAATGGACCGAGCACAGAACGTAAAGGGCACTGTTTACCTGCTTCCTCCTGCTTTTCCTGATCCGGGGCCATAGCAAACGACACCTCTGGAAACTCTCAAGTCCTCTCTGGCAGCCACGTTTCCTGCAAGAGAATGGGTAAAAGAAAACGTTCGATGAGAATTACAAGGCCGTTTGGGGAGGGGGGAGCGGTGACTCAGCACAAACATGGGTTCAGATAAAAGCCAGTGGAACACTGATTAAACAGACTCAACACTGGAATGCGTAAGGGCACACAATCCGGCAGCGCAAAACTCCTGCGGACTTGCTGTCTTTCGGCATTTCACACACAGCCCCGTCGGTAATGTACAGAACGCAGACACGGACACTCTTGATGACTAAACGCACTTTACTCGATAACTCGATAAACGGGCTCCCGTTAATTCGGTGGATATTGAGACGCGCGGAGCTTCACCTTGTGCGCGCGGGCGCACACGCACCACACGCACACAGCAACAACTTTGGGATGTGTGAAAATGGCAGAGATGTGCTTTATTAATAGTTAATTCCCCTCACTCCTACTTATCATAGAATCATAGAACCTTACAGCACAGAAGGAGGCCATTCGGCCCATCGTGCCTGTGCCGGCTCTTTGAAAGAGCCACCAACTAGTCCCACTCACTCCCCCGCTCTTATGCCATCTCCCTCCACAGTTTTCCAAGTCCCTAAACCAATTCCCTTTTGTCACAGGCAATGTCGTTGTGTGTGAAACCACATCCGCTTTTAGCTTCCAATCCCTGGTGGGAGCCCGATTGTACATGTATAGAGTGCCCTTCGCTCGGGGAAGCACTCAGCTAACATGTCGGGACATAAAGGGAGCAGAGGCCATGGAAGGTCAGGAAAATGGCGTCACTGGACACTCAGAAGACAGGCATCGCTCTGGGTTTCCGCTCCGTCGGATTGCTTCTGCTCTGTATCTGTGCCTGCTCCAGCAGTGAATGCTCACCTATCTCGCACCAACACACGAGGGCGTGAAACAGAAGCTGCTTTGAGGCTGTCAAGTCAGAATAAAGTATAAAGTGCGGCAGTTACTCCCCAACCCACTACCTGCCGCCTCCGCTCGACTGGCTCCGGCCTCCTGCTCGTCCCTTGCGCCCTTTGCTTCATCATCGGCAGCCATGCTTTCATCCACTACGCCCCTCAACTCCGTCACTCTCCCTCAATCCCTCTGCCTTGCCCCCCTCCCGTCCCCGTCTTCAGGTCGTGCCTGAAGACCTTCCTCTTCGACCGTGCTGACAGTCACCTCCCCCCCCCCAGCTCGGAGTTGTGCTCCGCCACTGTCGATCTCTCTGGGACGCTATCCTGCGTGGGGGGGGTGGGGGGGCGGCGGCTGTGTAAATGCAAGCTGTTGTCGTGGCTTGAACGAAAAGCTCTGCTCTGCATGACTCACGATTGCTTGCTCACACCACTGTGAAAATAGTCTCCCAGTGTCCCGGGCGTGAGGCAGAGTAACTCAAGGCGTTTGTCAGCGGGAAGCTAATTTAGTCAAACGGCCAGTTAGCCAAACTGACCACTTATCTAAAATCGGCCGCAATTCTCACGGGAGCCCTCTATCTGTCCAATTACTTGCTTCAAAATACAGTGCGGTTAAGTTATTTTTAACAAAATGAGTACAACTGTTTTGCCCTCCGCTGCAGTACAGCATCACCACAATAGGAATGTTTTTGTTTTTGGAAACAGCCATTTCATATCCATTTCTGTGCTGACGTGAATGACTTGCCCTTGTACAGAGAGCGCCTTTCGCCTGGGAAGACTTCTCAACGCTCTCGACAGAGACATGAGTCGGGGGGGGGTGACTGAAGGCTCAGGGGAAGAGACAGACGGGCTATGAAAGCGGACAGGGAGGGAGCGTTCTCCCAGAGAGTCGAGGGCAGAGTGGGGCGAAGATGGTACGGTGTGGTGTGGCCGAGCAAAGGGAGCCAACCTCGCCAGGCGAGGAAGCGACGTTGGTGGGAGGACAAGATCGAGCTTGGCTGGTCATAGGGTTTATAGTTAAATCCTGTGCACGTACCATTCCAACAGGAATCTCCATGTGTGGGTGGGATGCATGGAATTCTCCTCTTGGTTTGGAGACTCTCAGGCGCGGCAATGGGAGAGGGGAAGAGAAGTGAAACCGATGGATTTTTCTACAGGATTCCCTTCCTTTTTTTTTCCTTTTCAGGAACCCTGGCGCCCAGCGTGTTGAGTTCTCATTGTCTTTCAAAGTCCAGCCCTTTATTATATTTCAGGGAAAACACCCATCTTATCTCGCTCAACTCGCCAGCGAAGCAAAGGTAGCTGGCTGGGGAGTGCAGATAATAATAATAATAATAATAATAATAATCCTTGCATTTGATATAGCGCTTTTCACGTCGGGAGGACGTCCCAAAGCGCTTCACAGAACACACTGTAAAGTGAATTGACTGTATATTTGTGGCGAACGCGGCAGCCAATTGCGCACAGCAATGTCCCACAACCAGTCGTAGATTGAAAATGACCAATTTTTTTTTTTGGTTTTTTTGGAGGGATTATTATTAGGCTCTGTGTGGAGTAAGGAAACTTGCCCAAGGTTTCGCCCTCTGCCTGGAATTGAACTCAGGTCTCTCGCTTGCAAAGCGAGTGCTCTAACCACTGAGCTACAGGACTCCTAGATATACAGCAGAAAGGAATAGAAAACGGAGCAAGGGGCTACCACACCAAACATTATACCCCCTTAGTGCTTCTGAAACCATAAACAGGATTCAAGAGCAGTTTTGTCAAAAATTCCAATGGTTCCATTGCTAACAACTTATATATACACACACACACACGCGCGCGCGCGCGCAGGGTTGCTCCAAGAGAGCCACAGAGACAGAAGAAGACCCTCGGGTTCTGATCCTGGCTTGCGGTCAAGAAAAGGAAGGGAGTTTCTCCTAGTGTCCTGACCAACAATCCCCATTCCCCTACCCCCACCAAATAAATTTGGTTGTTCACTGCTTGGCTGTTTGTGGAACAGTGCCGTGCACGAATTGACTGCGCTTTCGTCGACAAAATATGCAGTCACGGCACTTTACAGCGTATCCTGTGAAGCGCTTGGAGACCTCCGCACAATAATAATAATAATCCTGGCATTTGATATAGCGCTCTTCGCGTCTTCTCGATGTCTCAAAGCGCGTCACAGAATGGACTGCAAAGTGAATTGACTGCGTATTTGTGGGCGAAATGCGGCACAGATAAGGCGCTATGTCAAATGTAAGGATTCCTGTTGCTGTTATTTGTGATCATGCCGATTTTGGAGTCGTAAAACTGGGGGAACAATATATTGTACTGAATTAACTCTTCTCTCTTCCCCCCCCATCAACCATCACACATGCGCCGCGCGCACACACACACACACACACAATTAAACGGCCCACAACACTCGCTGTCTAGGTTTACATACGAAGAATAGCAGCTAGGATGCCCTGGAGACATGGGCTGGAGTAAGCTTGAATGAAGACTGTGGCCCCAGAACAGTCTAAAACATTTACCGGATTAACACATCTTTTTCAACTAACGAGCTGAGAACTTCTCGTCACAAATCACTTGCCAACTCGCACGCCGGGCTTGTGAACCGCGGCTGTTTCTCCTCAAGTCGCGTTTTGACACCTTCTGCCCCCTCCCCCCCCCCGGAAACAAACGCAGACGCAGAACAAACACGCCCGCAAGGTTAACTGAAAGGCCTAACAGTACTTACAACGGACGATCCCTGCACGGCAACCTTTCCCCTTGAGAGACTAGACTAGTTGGAAGGACAGAGAATCTCCACGAGCCTTTCAACCTTGCCCGCACACACACACACACACACACACACACACACACACACACACACACAAGCTACGACAGTTACACTCGTCACAAGACCCACTGGTCAATAAATATCTCCGATCTCATTTGCTGGTAAGTGAATGACTGGGGGTGGGAGGGATAGTGGGAGAGACGGAATGAAAGCAGGGCTGGCAGGAAGCAGCCCCAACGTGCACAGTAAACCCCTGCGTTTGGCCAGGGATTGAGCACCGTCTGGTCGAGACTGTTCCTGCGCACGTTCCCTGCGTTCACCAGGGCCCTGGTCTCCAAACGTCAAGGCAATGAGTCTGTTGCCTGTAAAAGCCAAGGTCCAGGTCAGCATTGCAAAAGTAGGATTAGCCTTTCTCAACCACGCAAACTCCTGAGCCACCAGGCAAAGTCCCCCCCCCCCCCTCCAACAACAACAATAATAATCCTTGCATTTTATATAGCGCTTTTCACGTCTTCTAAACGTCTCAAAGCGCTTCACAGAATACACTGTAAAGTAAATTGACTGTGTATTTGCGGACGAAAACTACCGAGGGACAAATACTGATAGTAATAATCACAAGCCCTTGCATTTGGCGTAGCGCATTATCACGTCTTCGAGACGTCTCAAAGCGCCTCGCAGGATTACCTATAAAGCGTGTTTTGTGGGCGAACAACGGCAGCCAATTGCACACAGCAGTGTCACACAAACAGTCGCATACAGTGGCATACTTCCCCAACGCTATCATCCCTCAATCACCAGTTGAGCAATCAAACTCCTCAAAAACCACACCGAGAATATAGCATGAAAAACGTACTCCTCCACTAACCCATTCCCCACTGTGATGCGACCTCAAGTCTAATGCTCTATCTAACTGCACGTGAACAGATAATGTCGTGCAATCTCAACGGAGCCAGTTCTCTCTCCTGGAACAGTTACTGAGTCAGTTTCTGCCCTCCGCTGATAAAGGCACAGCACCCTCTCGAGTCTGCTAAACCGCGAAAGATTGAATGGCACAACTGCTACGTGTATATCGTATTCGTACACTTACATGAAGGAGAATAATAATAATAATAATAATAATAATAATCCTTGCATTGGATGCAGCGCCTTATCACATCTTCGAGCCGTCTCAAGAGCTTCACAGGACGCACTGTAAAGTAAACTGACTGTATATTTTGTGGGCGAAACGCGACAGCCGATTGCGCACAGCAGCGTCCCACGAACGGCCGTGGATTGAGCGACCATAAATCTTTTCGTAACATTTATTTTCCAAACGGTGTGGAAGAGGGAATGAGGAGGTGTATAAACTGGGAGTATTAATACCGGCACAAATCAGTTGAGCCGCAACGCTGAATCCCTATGTGGGAGCGTTCATCAATGGGCTTTTGTTTGAATAACTTTGACCTGTTTCGGAAGGGTCAGTGGATCAGTGAAGAATGACATTACTTGTTTCAAACTGCTCACGGTGAGTCAAAAGTCTTTATAAGTATTTTCTTACAGCAGATGACGTTCCTCTTTCCCCTGCCTCGCAGTGCGAGGAGTTAATTTAAATCTTGCGCAAAGCCGAGAACTAGTTTGGCAGCGACAGGATGACCTGGAGCCACGGCACAAACTTTTAGCGCTCTTCGTGTCGTCTAGATGTCTCAAAAGCGCTTCACAGAATATACCGTGCAGTGTAGTGACTGTATATTTGTGGGCAAAACAAGTGCGCACAGCAGTGTCCCACAAACAGTCGTGGATCGAAGTGACCAGATCATTATCGTTCTTTTTTTCTTGAAGTGTGAGTGTGTGGAGTGAGGAAACTTGCCCAAGGAATCGAACCCGGGTCTCTCGCTTGCGAGGCCCGTGCTCCGACCCCTCCATTTATCACGCCTCGTTATTGTTGTGCGCCGCTAATTCCACGCAGCAGTTTCTCCGCATACAGTCGTGGACTGAGTGAGCAAATTATTATTATTATTTATTTTTTTGAAGGGATTGTTACCCCCCCCTCCCCCCGCCCCAGGCCTCGGGAAAGCGATCCATCAATTGACCGTCAAGCGAGTTCCTACTTATACCGAGTGAGAAGGTTGCGGGGTTCAAGCCCCCCGACCCCCACCCACGTCGGGACTTGGAATCGCATAGTCGAAGGCGACACTTCAATGCAGTGCTGGGGGGGGGGGGGTCGTGTTGGATCGTCGGAGGCGCTGTCCTTCCGATGAGATGTTAACCCCACTCCACGTCTGCCTGTCAGGGTGGAAGGTTAACGACCCCCGCGGCGCTATTCGAAAAGCGAAGGGAGTTTCTCTCTCCCGAACCAAAAACCGGACCCTCACTCCGCAAACGTGCGCGAGACGCTGCTGTGCCCAATTTAATTTAATTCGCCCACTGAGCGAAACGGCGGCGTATTTCCCAAAACACACAGTCACTGCACTTCACGGTGTAGTCCGTGAAGCGCTTTGAGACGTCTCGAAGACGAGATACGGCGCTGTGTCAAATCAAAGGTTATTATTACACAAAATAATAATACATATAATATATCAATTATGTATCTGCATATACACAATATATATTATATATATATACATGTCTGTCTTGTAGAAATAATAATATAAATACGTTATAAATATAATGTTATATTAACAATATTATTATTTACAATAATGTAATATAAAGGCATTTATATAAATAATAATCGATAATATATTAAATATATATACTGTCGATCTCTCACATAAGTAACATATATATATAAAACCAATAATATAAATGTATGTAACAATATACAGATAATAAATATAATATAAATATGTGAGGGTCAGGAACTCTGAGGTACAGACAGACACACAGAGACATACAGAGGCACACACCCACACACAGAGAGAGACACACACCCACACACAGAGAGAGACACACACCCACACAGAGAGAGACACACACCCACAGAGAGAGAGAGACACAGACCCACACACAGAGAGAGACACACACCCACACACACAACACAGACCCACACACAGAGAGAGACACAGACCCACACACAGAGAGAGACACAGACCCACACACAGAGACACACACCGACACACAGAGAGACACACACCCACACACAACACAGACGCACACACAGAGAGAGACACAGACCCACACACAGAGAGAGGCACAGACCCACACACAGAGAGAGACACACACCCACACACAGAGAGACACAGACCCACACACAGAGAGAGACACACACCCACACACAGAGAGAGACACAGACCCACACACAGAGAGAGACACAGACCCACACACAGAGAGAGACACAGACCCACACACAGAGAGAGACACAGACCCACACACACAACACAGACCCACACACAGACCCACACACAGAGAGAGACACAGACCCACACACAGAGAGAGACACAGACCCACACACAGAGAGAGACACAGACCCACACACAGAGAGAGACACAGACCCACACACAGAGACACAGACCCACACACAGAGAGAGACACAGACCCACACACAGAGACACAGACCCACACACAGAGACACAGACCCACACACAGAGAGAGACACAGACCCACACACAGAGAGAGACACACACCCACACACACACACAGAGAGACACAGACCCACACACAGAGAGAGGCACAGACCCACACACACAGAGAGACACAGACCCACACACACAGAGAGACACAGACCCACCCACAGACAGCCCGAGGGGGAGGGGGGCCTGGGCCGGGCCGGGCCTGGGCCGTGAGAGAGGCCTCGTACCTGAGCGGCTCCGGCGCTGAGGTGCGGTGTTCGGGCGCGAGACGCCGACTGACTGCTCCCGCCCCCCCCGCCCCCACAAAGCCGCTCGCTGATTGGTCTTCCCGCCCACGCTCCCGCCCTTTCCATTGGTCCGGACCCACTGTCAATCATGTGTCCCGCCCTCCCCCACGCTGATTGGTCGCGACCGCCCACACTTCCGCCCTTTCCATTGGTCCGGACCCACTGTCAATCATACGTCCCGCCTTCTCCACGCTGATTGGTCGCACCCGCCCACACCTTCCGCCATTTCCATTGGTCAGACGTATGCCCCGCCCTCCCATCGCTGAGTGGTCTATCTGGCTCACAACTTCGCTCTTTCCATTGGTTATCCCGAGCTGTCGCTCACATACCCCGCCCTCGCGCCTGTTCTGCTTGTTCATTGGCCACTCCATCGACGCTCTCCATTCTCATTGGCTAATTTAGCCATCACTCACACACGCAGCACACGCCCCCACCCACCACACACAAGCTCCTCCCACTGGGTGACCTCCTGGAGCAGCGCCTCCAGCTGGTCGGGTGGGGTCAGTACAGTGCAGTCACTTACAACCAGACAGTCTGGTTACTGCGCTGTGTACAATATAGTCAATGGTTAATAATTAATAATAATAATAATAACAATAATAACAATCCTGGCATTTGATACGGCGCCTCATCACGTCTTCGAGACTTCTCAACGCGCTTCACGGGATAGGCCGTAAAGTGTAGTGACTGTGTATTTTGCGGGCGGAGAAAAATAATACACTATAATAATAATGATGATCATATAATAATGATGATGATGATGATATAATAATGACGACGATAATAGTATAATAATAATTTTATAATAATGATGATGATAATGATCTATAATCCGTCCATTTGATTGAGTCCCATTCAAGATTGGTAGTCTATGTCGGGTCAGGGTTCAAACCCCTGACCGTCCAACGCCTTGGGACGTCCTCCCCACGTGAAAGGCGCAGTGTAACGTCACTCCGCCTTGCGCGCAATCATATTTTTTCGCGTTAAACGGACGGTCCCAACCGATGCCACTCACGTGAGCTCTACGGTAGTGCGGACGGCAACGGGTTGTGGCAAGCAAGAAAGGTCGTCGGAATAGCCAGTAGACGCAAACCTTTATTAATGTTATCCGCTGAACAAACACACGTGCACGCGCCGCTTGTTACGGTTGCGAGCTTTCCATAGCAATTTGCGGTTCGTGTCCTGTTGGCATTCATTCATCCCACACCCCTAACAGGTCACTTATGTGGTGCTTTTACAATTGGACGTCAGTGATTCGCCTGAGATCGAAAAGAATCTATGTGGTCTTTGCTGGTCAGTCTCTGTTTGATCCATTTAATATGGAATCATGGAATCCTACAGCACAGAAGGAGGCCATTCAGCCCATCGTGCCTGTGCCGGCTCTTTGGAAGAGCCACCAACTCGTCCCGCTCACTGTTCTTATCCCAAAGCCCATCACATTTTTTTTTCCTTTCAAGTCCCCTATCCAATTCCCTTTTGGAAGCTACCGTCGAATCTGCTTCCACCACCAGCCTTTCAGGCCGTGCGCTCCAGACTCTCGGGGTAGGAAAGCAAATTCTCACCACTCCGGTTCTTTTGCCAATTATCCTCTGGTGACCGACCCACCCACACACCAGAGGCAACTATTTCTTTGTGTTTACTCTATCGAAACCTGGGTTCGATTCCAGGGCAGGACAGGGCGAAAAATTTCCTTACGTCCCCACGCCTCTGTTTACCAGAAGTAAGTAGGAACCCGGCTGTTAGTCGATTGGCGGATCACTTTTTCGGAGGTAATCATCCCTTTAAAAAAATGTGTAAGGCACTATATCAAATACAAGTATTATTATGATGATGGGATTGATTCACTTCTCTTTGCGTTAGATGTCCTGTGAATATTATTATTATTATTATATGTGGGTTCATTGACCTGAAACGTTAATTAATTTTGCTCTCTCCATAGACGCTGCCTGACCTGCTGTGTGTTCCCAGCGACTTCTGTGTTCATACAATATTCTAACTAACTAACTAACTACCAGGACGACCTCGTAACACAAAGATTCCACAGTTGATTAGAGACACACAAGGTCGGAGAGAAGAACATCGCTATCTCTGGACTCACACACGCACACGAGACACAACACACGCCAGATTCTCCCCTGAAAATATAGGTCACAGTTTGAGTGGTCTCAGATATGTTTCAAGGCTCTAAATGACCTGCCTCTGCGCTCTCACCTCTTCCCTACCGCCATTGTTAAGCGCTCCGAGACGCTACCTGGCGTGAACGGCCCTGTTGCTGTTATTGCAAGCGAGAGGACTCGGGTTCAATTCCCGGGCGGACGGGTCAGGGCGAAATCTTAGGCAAGTTTCCTTACTCCACACACGCGCGCGCCTCTGTTTAGGAACCCGGTTGTTAGTCGATTGGCGGATTGCTTTCCGGGGGCAATAATCCCTCCAAAGAAGTAATGACAATAATAATAATTTGGTCCCTCGATCCACGACTGTTTGTGGGGACGCTGCTGTACGCAATTGGCTGCCGCGTTTCGCCCCAAAAATACAGTCACTACACTTTACAGTGCATTCTGTGAAGCGCTTTGAGACGTCTCAAAGACGTGAGATAAGGCGCCGGATCAAATGCAGGATTATTATTGTTATAATATCGGCATTAAAAGTAGCTAAACGCCACAATGATTTGGTCTCAGATTGAAAACATTCCTGTTTAACACGCGGCAAAAATTTCACAACCGTCTTGAATCCCATGTGAGGAAAGACAGGTTGGGGTTAATTACAAATCCTCCGCCGTGTCCCCATCAGCAGGCTTTCGCAATAAGCTAACCGCTCTCACGAGACGCACGGGCTCAGCCGCGCTCCCCGACACACCCACAAGCGCACACCCACACGCACACCCACACGCACACCCACACGCACACCCACCCCCCCACCCGCTGCGTCATTCCTCAGTGATGATCTGCAGCCACCACACCGCTCCGATCACTCCCCCAAGGTGTCCGGTTCATCAGGACTCCCATGGCGATTAAACAAAACCACATCTAGAAACAACGACAACAACAAGTTATGTTTGCACAGCGCAGCGCCTTTCACGCTGCAAGTGGAGGCCGATTCGATGGCAGCTTTCAAGAGGGAATTGGATAGGTAATAGTAGTGGTAACAACACTGGTAATGATAATAATAATAATCCTTGCATTTGATTTAGCACCGTGTCACCTTGTCAAGACGTCTCAAAGGTGCAGTGACTGTGCATTTTCTGGCTCAAAAGGTTCTGGAGACGGACAAAATGTGCAGGGCTTTGGGGGTAAGAGCGGGGTGAGTGAGTGGGACTAGTTGGGGTAAGAGCGGGGCGGGCGCGGGCAAGATGGGCCGAATGGCCTCCTTCTGCGCTGTAGGATTCGATCATTCAGCGGCGCCCGTCGGGAGGACATCCTAAGGGGTTGGATGGTCAGGGATTTGGACCTGAGCTGGTGGTTGGGACCGGAAGGGGAGGGGAGGGTGTGTGGTGGGTGGGGGGGGGTTTGGGGGGGCGTTGTTGTTGTTGTTACGGAGACAGAGGTCAGTGCCGGGAACTCACCAGGTACAGTACAAAGCCCACGTACATGAGTCCAAGGATCCCAGCGACCGCATAGACGACCGGGAGCCCCAGGTTGATCACGTAATCGATCACGAAGTACAGGTTGATGGAAAGGATGAGAAGGATGATGGCAGCTCCGAATATCTTCGATACCCTGCGAAGGATCAGGAGAGTAAAGGATCCTTTGTGTGCGACCGCATCTGCCACTCGCGCAATAATCGCAATTGTATTAATAATAATAATAATCCTATTATTGTTACAAATAAATAATGTTTTTAAGGATAATAGTACAAGTAATAACTTGACCCGGCGCCTTCTCACGCCTTCGAGACGTCTCAAAGCGCTTCACAGGATACACTGTAAAGGGTAGCGACGTCTCGAAGACGTGATAAGGCTCTGTGTCAATCGCAAGGATTATTATTATTATCATTATTATTAAATAACAAAAATAAGAAGATTATTACTTACAGACCATTGACAAATTCCTGCATCAGTGACCCCAGACTCGTGAAGGTTAATATTGGAATTAATGCAAATGGAAGCTGGAAAGAAGAAAGAAGAAATCCTATATTATTATTATTGTTATGATAATTACTACTAATTTTATTGTTATTATCTTATCATTATACATTAAATTTGGAGCCAGGCTCCGTGCTCTTAACTATTAATACTACTACTAATTATTAATATTATTAATTTATTTGTAGCTTATTTATTCCTGTCTGACGCCGAAGCCCTGGTGACCTGTAAACTCATCAGCACGTTCAGGAAATCATTCATTCCTGTCAAGGTCTCGACGTCCTGGAAAATGGCGATCAGTAAAGTGGGGATAATCGCAATGGTCCGAGTGAAGACCACCCTCGCGAAACGAGACCACTTTAGATTCAGGAAACCCTGGGAAAGCAAACGAGAGGAAGAGAGGAAGATCTTCAGTCGTGACCTACAAGAGGGGAAGGAAGGGGAGGGGGGGGGGGAGGGGAGGAGGAGGAGGGAGGGAGGGATTGGGGGGAAAGCGTGACCGAGTTTCGGGGCGTAGCGGCTCGAAAGCCCGGCCCCCGCGACGCTGGAGCGGAGGGGACGAGGGGCGAGCAGGAGGACGGAGGGAGCCAGTCGAGCGGAGGCAGCAGGTGTTGGGTTGGGTGGGGGGGGGGGGGGGGCGGTGGGGTAGGTGGGAGTGGGGTAAGCAGGTCGATCGGGGAGGGAGGGAGGTGCCAGGGAGTGAAGGGATTTGCGGACGAGTGTGAGAGGAGCTTGACAGTCAATCCAGTTGGTGATGGGGAACCAGTGGAGCTTGGCGAGGGGCTGGTGTGTTAGGGGTGTGTGTGTGGGGGCGGGGGGAGGGCGGGGGGGGGGGCGGAAGGGGTCGGAGTTTAGTGTGGGATCTGTGGCCTTGTTTATTCACCGCCTCACGCTATTTTGACACAGCGACCCACTTACTCTCCACTTACTCTCTGAACGTTGATGTGTGTGTAGTGTGTGTATGTGTGTAGTGTGTGCGTGTGTAGATGACCCTTCACCTGTGTGTGCGTGCGTGCGTGTGTGTGTGTGTGTTCTCAACAACGCCACAGAGGTAACTTGGATTACCTCCATGACGAACTGGCCTGTGTACGTCCCTGTCATGGTCGAACTCTGCCCCGCAGCCAGGATTCCAATGGCCCAGATGTAGAGGGTGGCCGGACCGAAGAAACAACCCAACACAACCCCCTGTAGGGCACACACACAACACCAACGTCAACGACAACGACTTTATTTACTGTGCCCTCCATGCAGGGCAGGGCCTCAGGTGGGGGGGGGGTGCGGGTTGGGGGGGGAGGTGCCATAAGTACGGTCGAAGAGGAAGGTCTTTGGCGGGAGGGCCGTGGTAAAGGGCAGAGCGGGGTGGGTGGGGGGGGGGGCAAGGCGGATGTCAGTTTCATAGCTTCCTGGGTGCGTTCACCTCCATCATCATCATCGTCATCATCGTCATAATATTAACCCTTGCACTTGATACAGCGCCTCATCGGGTCGTTGAGACGTCTCGAAGCGCTTCACTGAATATCTTGTCAAGAGTAGTGACTGTGTGTCTTGCGGGCGAAACGCGGCAGCCAATTGCGCGCAGCGACGTTCCCCACAAACAGCCGTGGGTTGGGCTGACCACGTTTTAAGGTCATTTTTTTTTTCTTTGGAGGGGTTTTTGTTATCCCCGGAAAGCGATCGACCGATCAACTAACAAACTAACTAACTAACAACAACAACAAATCAACACGTGTATAGCGTCTTTCACGTCTTCAGGAGGATGTCCCAAGGACATCCCGGACAGCCAGGGATCCAGTCGGCCGCAAAATGGCCGCTGATGGTGGAGCGAAGGGGACAAGGGACACACAGAAGGCGTGAGCTGGTTCGATGAAGAGGTGCGGGGCGGTGGGGGGAGGTGGCTGGTGTGTGTGTGTGTGTGGGTGGGTGTGTGGTCGAGGGGTGGTGTGTGAGCCGGTAGGGTATCTGTTGCGTTTGGCTTGTACTCACCCCTTTGTAAATATCAACCTCCAAGGTCTCGTTGTTGAGCGGGAAGAGATGTGCGTGCTGCCGGCTGTTATTGGCGCACACTTCGTACTACAAGACGAAGAGAAGAGGAAATTAGTGATAGAGACGTCGTCAGATTGGGCCCAGTGGCAACTCTCTGGCCTCGGGCTCAAGACCCCAACCCCACACACCTCAGGTCACACTGTCTAAGCTGAAATCCCCTTTTTTGGAGGGATTGTTACCCCCGGAAAAGCGATCCGCCAATCGACTAACAACCGGGTTCCTACTTACCGCTGGTAAACACAGGCGCGCGCGTGTGTGTGTGTGTGGGTGGGTGTGTGTGTGTGTGTGGGTGGGTGGGTGTGTGTGTGGGTGTGGGTGTGGGTGTGTGTGGGTGTGTGTGTGTGTGTGGAGTAAGGAAACTTGCTTAAGATTTTGCCCTGTCGTGTCCCGCCCGGGAATCGAACCCGGGTCCTCTCGCTCTAACCCCCCGGACTCCATATAGGATAATATATATATGATACTACGCTGGAACAACAACAATTACATTTACACAGCGCTTTCCACGTCAGGAGGGGCGAGGGGCAGGGAGGGTGGTGGGAGTAAGAGGGTGGTCGAAGGCACCATTGGTCAGAGAGGAGGGTCTCGAGTCGGGCCTCGAAGGAGGCGAGGGAGGTGGGGTGGGGGCGAGGCGAGGGACTGGGGGATGGAGTTCCGAAGGGCGGGGGCAGAATGTGGAGGGTGGGTGGGGTGGGGTGTGGGCGGGGGAGTGAACGAGTCCGGCCCGACTCACCACTTCCTCGTTTGTCTGCTCGTAGAACGCTTCGGCAAACACGGCCACGATGAAGACGTTGATGAGGAAGGAGACGAAGAGGGCGATGCAGGCTTCGATGAAGAAATAGCGATTTGCTTCTCTGACTTCTTGCCTCTTTGTTCGGTTCACCTCCCTGGACTGGGAACAACGGGGAGATCCGTTCAGGGCAGAGCGACTCGCTCAGGTCTACCCCCTCTGCCCCCTTCAATAGCGACAACAACTGGCATCGATTGCCCCTCGCGCGAGGTGGGGTGGGGTGGGGTCCCCGGAGAGCTTGATAATAACGACGATGATCATAATATAATAATGATAACAATCCTCGCGTTCGACACAGCGCCCCATCACGCCGTCGAGACGCCTCAGAGCGCTGCACGGGATACGCCGTAAACTGGAGCGACTGTGCGTTTTGTGGGAGAAACGGGCGGTGCAGCGAGCGACCAAATTTAGTGGGGTGGGGGGAGCGTGCTGGGGCTTGTCGGCCAGGAGACCAGGGGGGGGGAGAGAGAGAGAGAAGAGGCACTGACTTTGACGAGCGCGGAGTACAGGTAGATGTTGTGGGGCATGATGACGGCTCCCACGATGCCCACTGCCTGTTGCAGTTGCTGAGGCCCACAGCCCTCGCAGCTCGGGACAAACATTCCCTTCAGCAGCTTCCCCTGGTTCGGCTGCACCGTCACGTACTGCGGAGAAGGGGACAATAATCACCACAACCTGTCCTTTACGTCGCGGTTGGAGCTCTTGTCTCGCAAGCGAGATGACCCCTTGGCTCTCAATCACACGCGCAACACGGCGCCTCTCAGGACTGGAGGACGTCCCGAGGCGCTGGACAGTCTGTTTCGGACCCGAGCTGGGGGTCGGGATCGGGGAGGGGGGAAGGCGGTGTTGGGGGGTGGGGATGGGGGGGATGGAGCAAGAGGGTGACCAAAGGCACGGTTGAAGAGGAGGGTTTTGAGACAGGTGTTTGAAGGAGGTGAGGGTGGGGGGGAGAGGGTGGGGTGGGGTGGGGCGAGAGGGTGGGGTGGGGTGGGGGGAGAGGGTGTGAGACTCCATATGATGGAATAGAAGGATGTGGGTGAGGGGAATTGAAAGAGTGGTGGAACGTATACCCTGGCACGGACTGACTGGGGCGACATATAACAACAACAACAACAATAGCAACAACAACGTGCATTTATATAGCGCCCTCCAGGCAGGGTAGCGACCCACAGCGCTTGAAATGGCTCACCTCGTAACCGAATGTCACAGCCATGGCTGTTATAAGGAGCCCAAAAAAGGCTTCCAACTTCCTCAAACCTGTGAAAGAAAGCGTTCCTGTTAGACATAAATCAAGCGATGCTGATGGCGCCCTCGCACTGAGCAGCGAATCCTCCCCCTCAGCTCCCGTTAACCCCGCAGCCAAAGCACTAACTAACTAACTAAACTAACTAGCGGGGAGGGTGGTCCCAGCTGGACAAGCAGCGGGAAAGCTTGGCCAGACAGCGCTCTCTCTCTCTCGGTCAGTGGCCGAGCTACGTGTGGGTTTAGACTCCAGCAGTTACCCCCAACGCACACTCTGGGGTCTCCCCCCACTCCCCCCCAACCCTTGGCTCTCGCCAACCTGCGCCTAATACTCTCCGGAATTAGGTAAGCGGGCGGCGTCCCTCCAGGGGGAGAGAGAGAGAGAGAGAGAGAGAGAGAGAGCGCATTCCATCCCAACCACCGCTCTCTGGGGTTTCCAGGTGTGGACGGGAGGTCTGGAATTCTCAGTTGGGTTTGGAGACTCTTAAGCGACGGTGACGGGTTTCCGTGTGTGTGTGTGTGTGTGTGTCCGACACAAAATAAAATTAACATTGAAAGTGTCGACGGCAAAAGATAATGGCCGAAACATACCGTATTTGTCCAAAAACAGGAAGAAAAAGGTGTCTGCGATTGTGATCAGCACTCCAGCCCAGAGAGGGATCCTGAGCACGGGGAACAAGAAACATTAGGAAGATCTCCAACGCCCTCTCCTGTTTATACTGGGCATCCGCAGACTAAAAAAATACACAGTCACTACACTTCACAGCGAATCTTGTTCCTTCCCTCGCCAATTTGCGCACGGCAATGTCCCGCAAACAGCCAGGAGGGGCCGCGCTGTCCCAGGGCGCTCGCTGCTGATGGCGATGGGTTTCTGCGCGCGTGACCCCCCAAAAAAGTGAGTGACCAATTATGTTTGGGGTGGGGTGTGATTGTTGGCCTGGACACTGCGAGAGAGAAAGAGAGAGAGAGAGAAATAGAGAGAGAGAGGAACTCCCTTCTCTTCGCCAATATTCTTTTAACTGTGACAGTGAAGTGGTTCTCCGGGCTCTGGACTGTAGGAGGTGGTGGGGGGTGGTTGGGGGTGGGGGGGGGCGGTAAGAATAGTCCTTTACCTTCCAACAGACAGGAGATTAATAGCGATTGCTGATCCTATGACCTCCTGCATGTCTGAGCCAATGATGGCCAACTCCACCATCAACCACAGGAGGATTCGGGGAGCCTGAAACCATGGAAACCATAGACAACAACTTGCATTTACATAGCGCCCTTCACGAGGGTTAGCGCCCCGGAACGCTTGACATTGTACCGCACGGAAGGAGGCCATTCGGCACATCCTGTTCCGCGCTGGCCCCTTTAAGAGCGATCCTTTCAGTCTCATTTCGCTCCCCAAAGCAGACATTTAAATAATAATAATCATTATAATAATATTAATCATCCTTGCATTAGATATAGCACCAGTGTGGTGTGATGGTGTGATGGTGTGATGGTGCGTTATATCATAGGATATACTGTAAAGTGTAGTGACTGTATATTTTGTGGGCGAAACGCAGCAGCCAATTGCGCACAGCAGCGTCCCCACAAACAGCCGTGGATTGAGTGACCAAATATCATTATTTATTTACTTTGGAGGGATTATAATCCCCGTAACGTGATCCGCCAATCGACTAACAACTGGGTTCCTACCTACTGCTGGTAAACAGAGGTGTGTGTGGGGGTGGGGGGGGGGGGGTGGGGGGGGTAAGGAAACTTGCCTAAGGTTTCTCCCTGTCCTAACCCGCCCGAGAAGCGAACCCGGGTCCTCTCGCTTGCGAGGCGAGGGGATCTAACCCCTGAGCCACAGGGACTCCAGAGCCCGTGTGTGCTCAGGCCCCTACGCCCCGAAGCTTTGGAAATCTCTCCCCGAAATCCCCCCGCCTCACCCCCTCCCTCCTTCCCCACTTTTAGATCACGCCTGAAGACCTTTCCTCTTCGACCGTGCCTCCTCCCTCCTTCCCTCCCTCCCTCACCTCCTCAAAGCGCTCCGGGACGACCCGGGTGGGCGTTTGACGAGCTGCGCCGGCACTTACCTTGGCGTATCGCTGGTAGCACACCTCGGCCAGCTGCATCCCAGTCACAACCCCCAACCGGGCAGAGAGTCGCTGCAACAACAGCCCCAGGACGGTGGCCAACAGCAGGACCCAGAGAATCTGAGGCGAAGACGGACAAACTGTTTGCAGTTGACGCTGACGACTTATCGCCCGGTGGAGTGGTTCGCTTCAGTGAGCGCCCTGGAATACTGCAGACCCTCCTGGAGACCGCACCCCCCACCACCACCCCACCATTTGTGCAGCGATGCGGAGGCGTTCTAAGACGTACCTTAAACCCCGCCACGGCTCCCGACTGCAGGTCGGACTCGATGTTCCCGGGGTCCAGGTAGGCGATGCTCATCAGAAACCCGGGTCCCGTAAACGCCCAGAGCTTCCGAAAGCTAAACCGACTCTGAACGCCGAGAAAAGCCGAAACAAACCAAAACAACACGGGTGACTTAGGGTCCACATCCGCGCCCCCACCACCCCCCCACCCCCACCCCCACCCCACACCCCTCCCTCCTCCATAGCCCGTAAGTGTTATAATATGTTTCTGGTATTGTTTATGCCGCCGAATATTGTGTCACTCAACCCACGACTGTTTGTGGGTGGAGGTGGGGGGGAAACGGACGGTCGCTGGGGGGCTATCGGCTGCCGCGTTCCGCCCCCAAAACGCGCAGTCACTACGCTTTACAGCGTGTCCGGCGAAGCGTCTCGGAGACGGGATCGAGCGCCGGGGTCAATTGCGCGGATTATTGTTGATGGTGTTTTAAGGGTTTACCGAGTCGTTGTTTGGGATTTGGATTTTTTCGTCCAAATAGGTGTGGAACACCAACTCCGGGGGCGGGGGAGACATCGTCATTGTTCGGATGCCGCTGTTCTTTGTCGTGTCGATGAGATTGGGGGCTCCGTCTGCAAAACAACAACAACGACGACGACGATAACGAGGCATCACATTTACACGGCCCCTTTCACGTCGGGAGGACGTCCCGAGGCGCTGGGCTGGACAGTCAGGGATTTGGACCCGAGCTGAGGGTGGGGATCAGGGTGGGCATTGGGGGAGGGGGGGGGGCGAAGGTTGCTGTGGGTCGAAGAGGAGGGTCTTGAGACGGGCCTTGAAGGAGGCGAAAGAGGGAAGGAGGGAGCGAAAGAGGGAAGGAGGGAGGGAGGGAGGGACTGTGGGATGGAGTTCCAAAGGGTGAGGCAGAGAGGTTGGTTACAGGCAGATGTGTGTGTGTGATCATTTTATTATTATTATTATCATTATTATTATTGTTATCAACTGCTCCCAGTGAAATTTTTCTTTGTTTGAATCCTATCAGATGAAGGACATCGTGTGTCTGTCTCCCTCTACTCTAACCCCCTTTCCCTGTTCTCTCTCCCTCTCTCTCTCTCTCTCTCTGGTGTCTGCGCTGGTGCTCTCTGACTGAAAGCCCGTGGTGGGGCAGGTAGGGTGGGGCGACGTGGAGTTGGCAAGTGTTGGGCGAGCGAAGGGAACACGTTGGGAAACACCAGGGTTAAGTAACGGAGATGGCAGTGTCTGAAACGGAGAAGATGTTTGACATCAAACAGGGAAGAATGTTGGTTGCAACACCTTCTGTTGGGCTGAATGCCAGACAAAGACTACACAGCACCGTCAAACCGCTTTACAGCGGATCCCGTGAAGCGCTTTGAGACGTCTCAACATCGCGATTAGTATTTCTCCCAAAAGAATACAGACAGAGACACAGACACAGACACAGACACAGAAAGACACAGACAGAAACCGAGACAGAGAAAGACAGACACAGACAAACACAGACAGAAACAGACAGAGACAGAGACATAGACAGACAGACAGACAGACAGACACAGGCACACACACAGACGCACAGACACACAAGCACAGACAGACACGCGTGCACACGCACACACTGGCTGACACTGATGGACAGAGCCCTGACTGTCACACTGTTTACCCGTTGACTCTCTCTGCTCCTGATCTGTGATAAACTGAATCTGACGGAGCTCCACATCACCTTCAAGAGACGGAAAAGGACGAGTGAACGAGAGGCAGAGAAGGTGCAGACGGCGGAGAAATCAAAATCCTTCCGTTCGGCCGGCTCCGGCCCCCGTTCGCCCCGCGCTCCCTCCGCCGTGCCTTCAGCCACCGCACTACCCCCCGAAACACTGTCCCTGTCTCCCTCAATCCCTCCGCCTCGACCCCTCCCTCTCCCCCTTTCAAATCCCACCTAAAGACCTTCCTTTTTTGACGGTGCTTACGGTCACCTTCCTCCCTCCCTCTCTCCCCCGGGCTCGGGGTCAGACTCCGCCACTGTCCAGCGCTCCGCGACACCGCCCCACGTGAAGGGGACGCAGTGTAAAATGCAAGTTGCTGTTGTCGTGGTGGAGGCACTCGGGGTTACCTGCTCTCTCTGACTTCTCCTGATCCGGGGCCATGGTGGAGCCACTGTTCCTATCCCGTCCTCTCCGTCCGTCTCCTTCTAACTTTGTCCTGGAGGTGAGCGCGAGCACAGAGACGGACACAGACTGTATGAGGTTCATAGAGGGCGGAACGTTAGTTCGATTGGAGGCATAAAGAGAGGTGTGGGTGAGTGCGTGTGGGGGGTGTGTGTGGGGGGGAGTGTGTGTGTGTGGGGGGGGGTGAACAGAACAGAGCAATGAATCATCAGGTGTAAAAGCCAACCACAATCTGGTATGAACATAACAAGTGCTGTGTGCAATCGGCTGCCGCGTTTCGCCCACAAAATGTGCAGTCGGTTCGCTTTACAGCGTATCCTGTGAAGCGCTTTGAGACGCCTCGAAGCCGTGATGAGGCGCTGTGTCGAATACAAGGATTATTATGATGATGAATTTAAAAAGAAAACTGAACTGACTGAGTTTCATAATAATAAGAAGAATAATAATCCTTGCATTTGATGTAGTGCCTTATCACGTCTTCGAGACGTCTCACAGAACACACTGTAAATGCTCCTTTACACTACCACTCCTGATAGCAATCCTTACAGTTGCCCCCAACGCACACTCTGGGCTCCCCCCAAAAGCCTTGGCTCTGGCCAACCTGCGCCTAATACTCTCCGGAATTAGGTAAGGAGGGGGCGATCCCTCCCGGGAGAGAGAGAGGGAGAGAGAGAGGGAGAGAGAGAGAGAGAGAGAACGCCTTCCATTCCGACGATCTATCCCTGCGGATTCCATGTGTTGGTGGGAGGCAGCGAGTTCTCAGTTTGGTTTGGTTTGGAGACCTGTTAAGCAACGGTGATGGGTTTCCACGTGTGTCAGACACCCACCCGGTTGACCCCACCCCCCTCCCCTCCCCACCACCACCCCACAACCCCCAAAAAAATTGTGGGATGGGGTGGAGGAGACAGACATGAGGAGAGCAAAGTATACAAGGTATACAAGGTAGAGAGAGAGAGAGAGTGTCGCAAGTCCTTTGGGTGAAGTTGGGTGAAGTTGGGGGTGAGGGGGGGATGGGGAGGGTAAAAAATTCAAGTGTTTGGCATAAAACGGGAAACCACAGATTTCGACAGATCTCTGGCTCGAAAGAAACAGCCAACGCAGCGCCGTAGTCCCAGCGCTTATGAGAACACGTCCGAAATTACCAGCGATCGTGTGATTTGCTCTTTCGGGAACTTCCCCAAAGTAAAGTTCTGTTTTCGCCTTCCGGCTCAACCTCGGTCACAGGCAACATTTTGTGTGTGTGCGCGCGTGTGTGTGTGTGCGCGTGTGCGCGCGTGTGTGTGTGCGTGTGTGTGTGCGCGTGTGTGTGTGTGTGTGCGTGTGTGTGTCCTTGGCTGGGAATCTTAAAGCAGGAGGGATTTTGAGAGGACCCGGGTTCGATTCCCGGGCAGGACAGGTCGGGGCGAAACACACACACATACACACACACACACGCACGCACACACACACGCGCCTTCTGTTTACTCGGCAGTGAGTAGGAACCCAGTTGTTAGTCGATTGGCGGATCGCTTTTCCGGGGGTTAGAGGGGAGTTTGAGAGGGATTAATGACTTACTGCTAAGTAAACAGAGGCGTGTGAGCGTGTGTGTGTGTGTGTGTGTGTGTGAGTGTGTGTGTGTGTGTGGAGTAAGGAAACTTGCCTAAGGTTTCGCCCCTTCCTGACCCGCCCGGGAATCGAACCCGGGGTCCACTCCGGCTTGCGAGGCGAGGGGGGGTCTAACCCCTGAGCTACAAGATTCCACTCGACTGCCATCTGCGCTCTGGTTTCACATTATATGTCGCTACGTCTCTAATTCTAGTGTCTCCTTCCCCTAATGCGTTGATGATGATGATGATAATAATAATAATAATCCCTGCATTTGATGGAGTGCCTTATCACACGCCACGCAGCGTTTCGCCCACAAAGTACGCAGTCACTACACTTTTACAGTCTATTCTGCGAAGCGCTTTGAGACGTCTCGAAGACGTGATCAGGAGCTGTACCGCAACCCATCACCGTGCTTAAGAGCATCCAAGCCAGCGATCCGCCCGGGAGTTAAATGCCCCGAGTGACTGGTCTGCCCTTCCAGGACCTATTTGCAATACTTAACACTGTGGAGATCCCCGTAGCTCAGGGGTTAGACTCCTCGACTCGCAAGCGAGAGGACCCGGGTTCGATTCCCGGGCGGGTCAGGTCAGGGCGAAAGTTTTCTTACTCACCCCCACACACACACACACACACAGACACACAGACACAGACACACAGACACAGACACTCGCCTCTGTTTACCAGCAGTAAGCGGGAACCCGGTTGTTAGTCCATTGGCGGATCGCTTTCCGGGGCTAATAATCCCTTCAAAAAGAAAATTGGTCCCTCGATCCACCACAGTGTGTGGGTCATCGCTGCTTGCAATTGGCTGCCGTGTTTTTGTCCACAAAATACACAGTCACTACTACACTGCACAGTGTATTCTGAGAAGCGCTTTGAGACGTCTCAATGACGTGATGAGGCGCTGTAGCAAATGCATTATTATTATTATTATTATTATTATTACTTCCTGCACGTGTTTATGCCACAGGTTCTGTGACTGATGTGGTAGACACCCGTGTGAGTTACTCTGCCCTCACTAACCCTATCGGCCTTTCCTCCGTACACGAAGTCGAAAGTGTCGGGAAGCAACGAACTATTTACTGCATTCCTACTGACTGACGCAGGTTTATTACCAGAGGCAAATCACTGCCTTTACAACAGCGCAAAGTGCACGGATTTCATCGTAATAATCCCTGCATTCGACGTAGCGCCTTATGCAGACGTCTCAAAGCGCTTCACAGGATAGGCCGTAAAGTGCAGTGACTGTGCTTTTGAATAGATCCTCTCACACTCGTCTTCGAATCCCTTCAGACCCTGACACCTCCCTACCTCTCCGAACTGCTTACTGACCCCCCCCCACCACCCCCCAACCCACCAGCCGCTCCCTCCGCTTCTCCCGCGTGAAAACTGGCTGCCATTTTGGTTTTACAACAAATACGCAGTCACTTCACTCTTCGCTTGAATCACCCCAAGTGCTTCGAGACGTCTCAGCCACCTGATAAGGCGCTGTATTAGACGTGAGGCGTACGATTGGATGTGTGGAACTCTCGTTAACTTGTCCTTGATACCGATTCACGTGATGAACTTGCAAGTCAACCGGTTCAAACCCGGTCTATACAGATCTGAGCAGGAATGTTAAGTGCTGTTATGGTTATTACTTGATAAGGAAAAACAGCAGGTGCACAATTGGAGTCACCAATATTTGTGTTGTGGTGTGTAAAAAAGAGTCAAAAGTCACAATCTGTGCAGTTGGTTTGAAACTCCGTGGGCGTCCCACGTGGTTAGAGCGCTTGCCTTGAAAGGAAGAGGGGCCCGGGTTCGATTCCCGGGCGGGACAGGACAGGACGGGACGGGACAGGGCGCAACCTTAGTAAACCTAAGTTTCCTTACTCCACACACACACACACACACACGCTCCTGTTTACCCAACAGTGAGCAGGAACCCAATTGTTAGTCGATTGGTGGATCTCTTTCCGGGGATAATAATCCCTCTAATAAAAAAATAATAATAATAATAATCTGGCCACTGTTTGCGGGACGCTGGACGCCTCTACGCACAGCCCACAAAATACACAGTCTCCGTGTATCCTGTGAAGCGCTTTGAGACTTCTCAACGCCGTGATAAGGCGCTGTATCAAATGCCCGGGTTAGTATTGTTATTATTTTTTTAACTTAAATCGAGCTGTGTTTGCGCTCATCCGGACCCAATAAAAGAATATCTGCTGGCGGGTAATAAGTTTTAAGAAAGGAGAGTTTATCTGACTTTATCTGAGATCTGAAACAGGATATGAAGCATGACGGGAGGAGAGAGGGGCTGAACTGTCTCACTTCCTAGTCCAAGAACAGTCAGCGAGTTAAGGGGAGGTGATCAACTGAGGAGAGGAGAGCTGTCACAAGACGTGGGAGAGAGACAGAAAGAGAAAGATACAGAGAGAGAGAGAGAGAGAGAAGGAGAGAGCGAAAGAGAGGAGCAAGACAGGACGATGGCAGAGACACCAACCAAAGCAGGAGGTGCAGGACTTTTTGCCAAGCAAGTCCAAAAGCGTTTCATGAGAGCACAAGAAATGGTAAAAAAAAACAATACTTCTTCATTTTTCGCGAGATTAGAGAGCGGTTGACCTAATCCAGCGGGTGTTTCTTTATAACCACGACTGCTTTCGCGTAGCAAAATCTTTCCCCCTCCACCACCACCTCCACCGCCTCAAAAAAGATGATTTCCTCTGGCGGGCGGGCGGGCGGGCGGGTAACCGGAGGACACAGGTTTAAGATAATCGGCAAAAGAACCAGAGGGGAGACCAGACGAGGAGACTTTTTTTGCCCAGAGAGTTGCTACGGTCTGGAACCCACGGCCTGAAAGGCTGGTGGGAGCAGATCCGATGGTAGGTTTCAAAAGGGAATTGGATAGGGACTTGGAAAGGAAAGGAGAATTGTGCAGGGCTTTGGGGGTGAGAGCGGGGGAGCGAGTGGGACGAGTTGGTGGCTCTTCCAAAGAGCCGGGACAGGCCCGATGGGCTGAATGGCCTCTTTCTGTGCTGTAGGATCCTATGAGCATTGCTCTTCTGAGCACTGCAACGATCAGCCTTGTGTTTGACTTGGCGCCATATCACCTCGTCTCAACGTGCTTCACAGTAACTCAATCCGTTTAATCCTGTGTGTTTTCCCGGCCGCCAGTTTATTCGAATTAGATCTAAATAATAAATAGCGACAATAAATCCTGGCATTTGATACCAGCGCCTTATCACGCCTTCGAGACGTCGCAAAGCGCTTCACGGGATACGCCGCGGAGTGAATGGATTCACTTTTACTAAAGTAAATCAGCCACGGTCTAGTGGAATGGCGGAACAGGTTCAAGGGGCTGAATGGCCTCCTCCGGTTCCTACGTTCTTATGTTCCTAGGTTTCCAATTTCCTCGCGGTAACGTCCCACAAACAGCCGTGAAGTGAGAGTCCGTTTCGAATCGATGGTGGTGGTGGTGGGTGGGTGGGGAGAGAGTGGGGCGGAGGGGGAAGTGCGTAGGGAGACAGAGTGCGTGATCATTATTATAATAATAATAATAAAACGATGATTGATTATTTTCCCCTCTGAAACCCCCCCCCCCCCACCCCACCACGTGGGTTCTATTTCCTGTTGTGAGATAGCGTTTGAATCTTTCCCCCCGCAAAATAGATCGACGTTTTCGCGCCTCTGCCACGTGACTTTTATTCGGTGCGAATGGCGCTATCGAGATAAATGCAAGCTGTTGTTGTCGTCGGCCTCCCCTCGACTGGCTCCACCCGGCCTCCTGCATGCCCCTCGCCCCCTCCGCTCTGCCAGCGGTGGCCGGGCTTTCAGGCGCTACCCTTTCCCGGAAACTCTGCCGCACTCTCCCTCAATCCCTCCCTCCATCCCCGTCTGAAGACCTTCCTCTTCGAACGAGCTTACGGTCACCGCCCTCCCCACACCCCCCCCACCACACCCCGGGCTCGTGCTCTGTCACCGTCAAGGTCTAAGCACAAGTTGTTGTGGTGGTCGTTACAGATGGTGCAGTATTTACTCGGGGCAGAGCTAGGGCTTTGGTCAGATTGCACCTTGAATACTCTCTACAGCTCTGGTCACCACGACATAAGGGGTCTGTGGCCAAGACCTAAGGGCAGTGCAGAGGAGAGCAACGAGGCTGATCCCCAGTGTTAGAGGAACGAACTGTGAGCAACAGTTCGATGCTGCGATGGAGGCGCGAAGGTCAGATCAGTCACTCAGGGGCAGGGAATCCTCCCCCCTCAGCTCCTGCCAACCTACGCCTAATACTCTGCGGAATTAGGTAAGCAGGAGGCGTCCCTCCAGGGAGAGAGAGGGAGAGAGAGCCTTCCATTACAACAATCTCTCTGTGGGGTTTCCAGATGTCGGTGGGAGGCCTGGACTTCTCAGTTGGGTTTGGAGACTCTTAAGCAACGGTGACGGGTTTCCGTGCGTGTCAGACACCCACATGGCTGAGGAAAAATTCCGTGAAGCTCTTTGAGACGTCTCGGAGACGTGATGGGGCGCTACATCAAATGCAAAGATTATTATCGCTCTCATATTAGTATTATCGCTCTCATATTAGTATTATCGCTCTCATATTAGTATTATCAACCTCTCCAGCACTCTTACCAGCGCACACGACTCTCTCTCAACACCGGACTGACATTGCGTATTTATATATATTTTTCACGTTTAGCGAAGAAACGTAGTCTGCGGTGGAATGCTTAATATCCTGCCTTGGCACACTCACCCTTTCTGCGCTGCTGATACGTTTGCAACTTTCATGCAACAGAGCGACAGGAAAAGGTGTGGTTGATGGCGAGATTGTGCGCGTTAAGTGATGTTTGGGTTGGAATCAAAGTGCTCGCAAAGTGTCGCCTCGCACAGTTAGCGCGGAGGGTGGTTCCAGCGTTGCTGGCGCTTGTTTTGCGTCGAATAAGCCATGACGGTTTGGGGAGGGACATTGACTGGCTGTCCGCGTCTCGTTTCCCGCCCACCACCCCACCCCAAACTCTACAGTCACTGCACTTCACGGTGGATTCTGCGAAGCGCTTTGAGACGTCTCGACGCCACAGCGAATGCAAGGGTTATTCTCATCGAGCGCTCCAAAAAAAAGGTTTCGGTCACTCAGTCCAGAAGATGTGGAACCTTGTTACCTCGCTCGCCTCGTTACCCCACACTCACTCACTCACTCACTCGCACACGCGCACACGCGCGCGCCTCTGTTTATTCAGCAGTGAGTAGGAACCCGGTCGTTAGTCGATTGGCGGATCGCTTTCCGGGGGTAATAATCTCTCCCGAAAAATAAATAATGATAATTTTGAGACCTCCCAACGATGTGAAAAAGCGCTCCAACGAATGCCGCGTTTCGCCCACAAAATGCCGTCGCCTCACTTCACGGTGTGTCCCGCGAAGCCCTATGCTACGTCTCGACGACGCGATCGGGCGCTGTGTCAAAGGCCAGGATTATTATTATTATTATTATTATTATTATTACCGTTATTATTAACCACCCGAGATGGGGGCCGTGGTCCTTACCTGCGGTCTCAAGCTGTTGATGCTGAGAACGGCGCTGTAGACTGAAGCCTCCTGGAAAATCGGGCTCCTAGACTTTAAAGAGAACATTATCGGCTGCAATGATTAACTTGATAGTTTCAGCCAGATGACCAGGGACACTGTGTATTGTCATCGAATCGTTCTTAGCTTATAAATGGGCTCAATCAGGGCTGAGTTTTATTGCTGTTCGCTTGTTTGAACCCGAAGGTGAACCAATCTCCAATAATTTGCCATGAGTGAGCCACCGGAGTTTCCCCCTCGCTCGTTGGGTGACACACTGGGGAGCAATGCCGACACAGAGCTACAAACAACAACAACTTGCATTCGCACAGCCCCCATCCCCCCCCCCGACCCCCCCCCACACACGAAGGGTAGCGTCCCAGAGCGCTTGACAGTGGCGGAGAGGACACCGAGCCGGGAGGAGGGGGGTGGGAAGAGAGGGAGGTGACCGTAGACACCTTAGGTCGAAGAGAAAAGCCTTCGAGCGCTACCTGAAGATGGAGGAGGAGAGGGGGTGGGGGGAGAGCTTTCTAGAACTTTGGGGGCATGGCGGCTGCACGTTCAGCCACTTGATGGTGGGGCGGAAGCTTAAAAAACTGTGAGAGTTCATACAAGTGGGGGCTTTCCATAGCTGTGGGCTTCTCGGCTCTGTGGTTTCTGAAGGTGGCAGAACTCTCACCCCATGTCTCTGTTCTCCTCCTCCCACCCCCACTCCTCCTCCCACCCCCACTCCTCCTCCCCCCCCCACTCCTCCTCCCCCCCCCCCACTCCTCCTCCCCCCCACTCCTCCTCCCCCCCACTCCTCCTCCCCCCCACTCCTCCTCCCACCCCACTCCTCCTCCCACCCCCACTCCTCCTCCCCCCCCCACTCCTCCTCTCCACCCCCCACTCCTCCTCCCACCCCCACTCTTCCTCCCACCCCAACTCCTCTGTCCGCTCCCCTTTCATCAGCTGAAGTGAGGCTTTCTGCTTATCCCACATCCCCCTCTCTCCACCTCACCCCCCACCACATCAGATTGGAGACCCTGTAGCTCAAGTTAGAGCCCCCGCCTCGCAAGCGAGAGGACCCGGGTTCGATTCCCGGGTGGGACAGATCAGGGCAAAACCTTAGGCAAGTTTTACTCCACACACACACACACACACACACACAGACTCGCCTCTGTTTACCAGCAGTAAGTAGGAACCCGGTTGTTAGTGGGTTGGTGGATCGCTTTTCTGGGGGTAATAAGCCCTTTAAAAAAGAATCAATAATAATTTGGTCACTCAATCCACGGCTGTTTGTGGGGACGTCGCCTGTGAAGCGCTTTGAGGCGTCTCGACGGCGTGATGAGTCTCTATATCAAACGCAAGGATTATTATTATTATTATTATTAATATTAATGTATCGTCCAATGTCCTGTTTGCAAAGGGAGTCAACCCAAAACGCACAGGAGAACTGTTACTGGTTTTGAGGGGGAGCCAGCTGGATGACTTTGCAGAAACCATCGTTTAGCGAAACTCTGAGCATAATTCTTTCTGCACAGAAATTGTTCATGGTAATAAAAAAAAACTAATTGTAGGGCTGTAAAACAATTTGTTCTCAACCCATTCCAAACTCATGCTGTTCGGGCTGATTGGAAGCAAGTTGTGGTTACACATTGTGATGCACTACGTTTCGCCCCCCACCCCCCCACCCCCCCCACCACCCCCCCACCCCACTCCCTCTCTTTCCCTCCAGTTGTTTTATAGGGAGATCGTTCTTTCAACAACAACATCTTGCACTGACACGGCCCACCCCCCACCACCCCCCTTCACACAGGGTACCGTCCCAGAGCGCTTGACAGTGGTGGAGCACATCTGCCGATCGAATCCAACTTATTATACAAGACCCTCCTCTTCGGCTGAGCCTTTGACCACCCTCCTACCCACCCCCACCCCACCCTACCTACTCCCAACACCCACTCCACCTTGCCGCCCGCGCCCCCTCCCAAATTCCTGACTGTCCAGGCGCTGTGTAAAGCAATATTATATTGTATTGTACTGCGAGGACGAACAGAGAGGCGTGTGGGGTAAGAAAACTTGCCTAAGGTCTCGCCAGGTGTGTCCTGACCGGCCCGGGAATCGAATCCGGGTCCTCTCGCTTGCATTGGATGCAGCGCCTCTTCACGTCTCTCAGACGCCTCAAAGCGCTGCACAGGATATATTCGTGGGCCAAACACGAGAGCTCGTCGCTCGCAGCAGAGTCCCCCACAAACAGTCCCCTACGCTCCAACCACTGAGCTACAGACTCGGTGTGTAGGTCGGTGCGATCGTGAGGGGGATGTGGTGTATCAATGAGGCCGTGTGGTTGTCTGTGAATTATCGTTTGGTGTATTAACATCTAAAACCGGACTTTGACCGGAAAGAAAAAAAGAAAGAAAAAAAGAAAGAAAGAAAGAAAAAGATCTTTCCATGTGTTTCGAATAATCATTAACAGACGAGGGAGTGTTCCACCAGCCCACCCCAGCCCGTCCTTTCCTGCGTGCCTTAGACATTGTTCTGCTTTGAACCGTTAGATCTCAAGATTATGAGGGGTTTTGATGGAGAAATTGTTTCCACTGGCGGCGGGCGGGCGGGCGGGTCGGTAACCAGAGGACACTATAATAATAATAATAATAATCCTTGCATTTGATATAGCGCTTTTCACGTCGGGAGGACGTCCCAAAGCGCTTCACAGAACACACAGTAAAGTGAATTGAGTGTATATTTGTGGGCGGACGCGGCAGCCAATTGCGTACAGCAATGTCCCACAAACATTGCCGAACGAACCCGCACAGAAACGATGGGCCGTAGGGCCTCCTTCTGTGCTGTAAGATTCTATGATTTCCAAGAAGACCCTCACGCTCACCTACAAATCCCTTCACGCCCTGTCCCACACGCTGCGAGGTGCAAGTTGTTGTTCTTGTCATTGACGCCTTTGTCTGTTTGTTTATTTGCCGCTTCAGGTGTTCCAAAAGATTGGCAAAACGGTGGAGACGAAAGACGAACAGTTTGAACAGTGCGCCAACAACTTCACCAAACAACAGGTGCATAACGACGGGGGCAATATCGTGTGTGGTGGGGTGGGGTGGGGGGGGGGGGCGGGGTGTGGGGTGCGGTGGGGGGGTAGGGGGTGTATACAGTCCCGGAAACGGGGGCAAAATCAACAACAACAACAACATTTATATGGTGCCCCTCGTGCAGGGTACTGTCCCAGAGCCATTCGTTTACACCCCATTCATTCATTGGTGGAGTCCCAGTAGCTCAGGGGTTAGACGCCTCGCGGGCCAGAGGACCCGGGTTCGATTCCCGGGCGGTCAGGTCAGGGCGAAACCTTAGGCAAGTTTCCTTACGCCCCACAGACACACACACAGACACACACACAGACACTTTACACACACAGACACACACACACAGACACACAGACACTTTACACACACAGACACACACACACACAGACACTTTACAGTACAACCCGCTGCGCGGGTTGTACTGTAAAGTGTAGAGACTGTGTATTTACCACGGCGGCCAATTGCGCACAGCGGTGTCCCACAAACAGTCGTGGATGGAGTGACCTCACTTTTGGGAGAGGGAATTGGAACTGAGTTCCTACTTACTGCGGGGTAAACAGAGGCGTGTTTGCGTGTGTGTGCGTGTGTGTGCGTGTGTGCGCGCGTGCGTAGAGTAAGGAAAGTTATCTAAGGTTTCGCCCTGAACTGCCCGGAAAACTGCGAGAGCTCTAACCCCTGAGCTATCGAATTGAGATGAGATTGAATGAACGAAAGGGACATTTCTCATCGCTCTTGTGATCGGTTGACGGATTGACTGACTGCCTTTTACCTTTCTTTCTGCAGAACGACAGCTCTCGCCTTCACAAGGACCTGAAATCTTATATAAATGCTGTCAAAGGTACATAACACCTCAGTTCAATAAACTGCATCGTCAGGGATTTTGAGCTCACAGTCTCAACGATGTGGTAAGGACCCGGGTTCGATTCCCAGGTGGGTCGTAGGAAACTGGTTGTTAGTCAGTTGGCGAACTGCTTTCCCGGGGGTTAATAATCAATAATAATTTGGTCACTCAATCGATGACTGTTTGTAGCACAGGGCTGTGCGCAATCGGCTGCCGCGTTTCATCCACAAAATATGCAGTTAAATTCACTTTACACTATTTTCTGTGAAGCGCTTTGAGACGTCTCAACGGCGTGATGAGGCGCTGTGTCCAATGCGAGGCTTATTCGAGTGGTTTGGAAGAAGACGCGAGAGAAGGGAAGGGACTGATGTGACCAATTGTCTTGTGCGTGACCAGCAACCTGTCTGTTTCTCTCAGTGATGCACGAAACAGCCAAGAAACTCTCAGAGACACTGGAGGACGTTTACGAGCCCGAGTGGCAGGGCAAGGAGCAACTGCACGAGATCCTCGAGGTGAGAGATCTCTCCATCATCAACATTTACTTTGCGGATTCCTGTAGCTCACATGACCGCATTTCTTTCTTGCCAACCTGCGCCTAATACTCTCCGGAATTAGTAACCAGGGACAGGGGGAGAGAGAGAGAGTAGAGAGAGAGAGAGAGAGAGAGAGCGCATTCAATCCGAACAGTCTCTCTCTGGGATTCCCAGGTGTAGACGGGAGGCCTGGAATTCTCAGTTGGGTTTGGAGACTCTTAAGCAACGGTGATGGGTTTCCGTGCGTGTCAGACACCCCCCGGCTGGGCAAAAATTATATATATAATAGTCAAATCTAAACCTGGATGGAATTTCAGTCCCTGGTAGGAAGTATGAACATCTTAGAAACATAGGAACAGGAGGAGGCCATTCAGCCTCTTGAGCCTGTTCTGCCATTCTATGGCTGATCTGTACACCAACTCCAATTATCCGCCTTCGCCCCATATCCCTAGATATCCTGACTCGATCCACCTCAGTCTCGAAGGGTCGGTGTGGGGGGGGGACAGGGGTTATTGGTGGAGCAGGGGAGCGGTGGGGAGATAGGAGAAGCCAAAAGTCCGCCATGAAACATGTCGAATTTTTTGATGGAGCAGAAGAAAGATAAAGCTCCGGCAAAGCGTCTCTCTCGGTGTCTCAAGGGCCGAATGTTTCCTTGCAGAACAGCGACCTCCTGTGGGCAGACTATGGAGAGAAGTTGTCTGACCAGGCTTTGAGGACAATGGAGAGCTACGTCAGCCAGTTCCCCGAGTTCAAGGTGAGTCCCTCCAAATCCCTTCCCCGTACCTCCCCGACACCTCCCTACCCCACCTGCTTACTCCCCCCATTACCCGCTGCCTCCGCTCGACTGGCTCTGTCCAGCCTCCTGCCTGTCCCTCGTGCCCTCGGTTCCGCCATCAGTGGCCGCGCTCACAGCCACTTACGCCTCCGAAACATTCTCTGGAACACTCTCCCTCAATTCCTCCGCCTTTGCCCCCGTTCCTTCCCCCCGTCATCAGGTCGTGGCTGAAGACCTTCCTCTTCGACCTAAGGCGCCTGGGGGTCACCTCCCACCCAGCGCCGCGACTGTTTTGTGGGCACGCCTCTGGGCGCAATTGGCATAGCCACTACACGTGAAACGCACAGTCACTGCACTTTACGGCGTGCACTGTGAAGCGCTTTGAGACGCCTCAACAACGTGAGAAGGCGCTGGGTCAAGTGCGAGGATTATTATTATTATTATTATTATTATTATTATTATGTGAAGCCGGGGGCAGTAGTGTCAGACTCAGGGAATCTCAGTGACCGGTTTCCATCGCTTGTCCTTTAGAAGCGCATCGCAAAGCGGGGAAGGAAACTGGTGGATTATGACAGCAGCCGACACCATCTGGAGGCTCTGCAGAACGCGAAGAAGAAGGACGAAACCAAAATCACAAAGGTGATACCCCCCCCACACCCCCCCCCAACCCCTCCTCACCTAACACCCCACCCACAAACTCTCTCTCTCTTTCTCTCTCTCTCTGCCATCGGTTTCAGCCGCTACGCCCCGAGCCTCTGAAACACTCTCCCTCGATCCCTCCATCCCGCCCCCTTCCTTCACCATCTTCAGGTCGCTCCTGACTTCCTTCCTCTTCGACCATGTCTACGGTCCTTCTATCTCTCCCTCCCTCCCCGACCCGCCACCCGGCTCAGTGTCGTCTCCATCTCTGTCAAGCGCTCCGGGACACTATTGTTATTGTTGACCCTCCTCTTTGACCGCGCCTTCGGTCACCTTCTTACTCCCCCACCCTCCCTGCCCTCCGCCCTCGCCTTATCCCAACACCCACACCCCCCCCCCCCCCCGACCGCCCCCCACCCTCCAGCTCGGGTCCAAATCCCTGACTGTCCAGCGCCTAAATGTCACTTGTTGTCGTTGATGTTGTTTAGGCGGAGGAAGAGTTTATCAACGCACAGAACGGGTTTGAAGAACTGAACACTCAACTTCGGGAAGAACTTCCTGTGCTGTGGAACAGGTTCTTACTGATAGTTAGAAATAGCCTCAAAGATCTGCTCAAAGATTGGTCCCACCTCAGAGGAGCTTCCTCACGCTCAGGTCCGAATTGGTCTGGGACAGAGATACAGAACAATCAAACCAGAGGACACATGGCCTGTGATTGAAAGGGGGTGGGGAGGGGGAGGAGGGGGGGGGTTTGAAACGCAGAACAAATCTAGGACGCACTATTTCAGTGAGCGAGTAGAGAACCCGGGGAGGGAGACGGTTGAACAGAAAACATGTTGATTCCCTTCAAACACAGATTAGATAGTTTTCTTTCAGGAAATAACATGATGGGGTTGTAGGATGGACAAGAGGGAGTTGGGGACGTGTGGGCAAACGGCCGCCAGGAAGGTGGAAGGTGAACCGGATGGGTCTCGGGTATTTTTTTGCGTCCAGCATTTCTCATCTTCTTACGTTCTCCCCACAGTCGTATCGGGTGTTATGTGACCATCTTTCAGAACATATCAAACTTGCGGGATATTTTCTACAAAGAGATGAGCAAGGTAGGATTAACCGCCTTCGATGCCCGGGCGGCTCAGGTCAGGGTGACACCTTAAGCAAGTTTCCTCACTCCGCACACACACACACACACACACACACACACACACCTCTGTTTACCAGTGAGTAGGAACCTGGTTCCTAATCGATTGGCGGATCACTTTCCAGGAGTAATAATCCCAAGCGCAAGGATCATTATTATTAATTATTATTAGTATTATTATTGTTATTATATCATCTTGCCTTTTTGCAGCTGAACCAGGACATGTACGTCCTGATGACCAAACAGGAGAAAGAGCACAGCAACAAAATCTTCATTGTGAAGGGAGTTTCAAGGTAACGGCTTTCATTCGGTCATTACTTTACGCTGAGGGTTGTGATAGCAGATCGTTTAAAGGGTAACCTTCGCATAAGGGGGGGGAGAGGGGATACACAGTCACTACACTGGAGAGTATATCCTGTGAAGCACTTTGAGACGTCTCATCGACGCGATGAGGCGCTGAATCGAATGCGAGGGTTAGAGTTATAGAATCCCGGAGTTATACAGCACAGAAGGGAGGCCGTTCGGCCCATCGTGTCCGTGCCGGCACTTCGAAAGAGTTGTCCAAATTAACCCAACTTCCCCCGCGCTCTCCCCGTAGCCCTGTCAACTTGTCCTCCCCAAATAATTATTATTAAATTATTATCATTGTTATTATTAAGGCTCCGTATCAAATGCAAGGCTTATTATTATTAATATTATTATTATTATAAGGCAACCGGGAGATTGACAGGAAATAAATATTTGAGGCTGCCGTGTATTGTGTCTATTGCGCTCCCAGATGCTGTCCTGGGTGATGGGTTTTGTATAAATCCAAGTTCTCGTTGTTTTGCAGCAAAAGGCGTTCACTGATCATCTCATCTCCGGTGAAAACCATGCACAGGCACTCCAGCTCGTCCGAAGGCAGCACAGACCAGCCGCCGAGTGCGAGCACCAACCCGTCAGCGAAGAACGAGGTCTTATCCCCTTCGAAGCCCGGCGACGTTCCAGCTACGCCAGCTTGGGAGGCCATGCCCGAGCTGATCGAATCGAGCAACGAGGCTCCATCTAGTGTGGTGGCTCCATCGTCTTCTGACCTCCCATTATCTAGCGATGACCCATTGTCTACCAATGTCCCATTGTCTGGTGACCTCCCATTGTCTGGTGACTTCCCAATGTCTGGTGACCTTCCATTGTCTGGTGACCTCCCAATGTCTGGTGACCTCCCATTGTCTGGTGACTTCCCAATGTCTGGTGACCTCCCATTGTCTAGTGACCTCCCATTGTCTAGCCATGCCCTATCGCCCTCTCACTTTCCCTCAGACCAGGCTCCGTGTTCTCAGTCCCCTCCCTCATCGCCAGACCCAATGTCCTCTGCTATGTCATCGTCCTCGTCAGCGAGCGGCGGAGATGCAGTCTCCTCGGAAACTCCGACACCTTCTGACCTTGGCAGGGATCGTCCAGCCAAGGAACCCAGAAGCCACCCATCTCCTTCAGAGCAAACGTTGGTTGACCTGCCCGACTGTGCCTCGGTCTCTTCGCTAACACCAGCGACGCTCAGTGTCTCCAACACCATACCAGCCAACACAGCCATTGAGGACCTTCAAACCCTTTCATCTCTGTCGTCAAGTGAAGAATCTTCTGCCGATTCTCCACTCGATTCTCCTCCAGGATTGTCTCCCGGGGGTTTGTCTCTGCCTGTTACCTGCAGTCAGCCTGTGGGTGAGGTGTCTGCAGACTCAGATTCTTCCAAGGAACATCCATCCAACCAGTTGGCTGTGCCAGTCAGCTGTGCGTCCGTTGAAATCTCACAGCTCGAGTCCCCGTTCCAGGTTTCCGCTGATGTGCTCGTTTCCAATGGTCAACCCTCTAACGAGGAATGCTTGCAATTAACCTCCGCGACTCCTGAAGTCCTAGCTACCTCTAAAGCTTCGTCAGACGAACCACCATCATCTAGAGTGGTCACTGTGCCAATCAGCTCCCCAACTCCCAATGTTTCATTTCCAGACTCCGACACGCAAGTTTCTGCTGATAATTTAGCCTCTTCCAATCTTCTCTCTGATGCCGTGCTTTCCTCTGAAAACCTCATGGTGTCCAGCGAGGCTCCTGCAGCCAAAGTCAATGACTGTTCCAGTGACCCACAGCCTCGCTCCGAACCAGCCCCAACCAACATCTCACCACAGCAACCCACCGAGGTGAGGTGGGGAGTGGGGAACTCGAATCAATCCTCTGCGACTCTTTGCGGGACACTGCTGTGCGCAAATTGGCTTCCCGCGGTTTCGCTCACAAAAAAAAACACGCAGTCACTACACTTTACGCTGTGCACCTGGAAGCGCATTGAGACGTCTCGAAGACGTGATGATAAGGCGCTACGACGATTGCAAGGATTATTATTAATATTGTTGTTGGGCACAAACTAATCTCAAGGGCTGTTCACAAAGCCACGTAGCTCTCCGGCTGACTCAGTCGGTGGCGTTCGCCTCTCTCTGTCTCTCTCTCTGTCTCCGTCCCTCTCTCTTTCTCTCTCTCTCTCTCTCTCTATCCCAATGTCCCGACTAAAAATCCCTCTCCAGATAAAACTGCTTACAAAACACACAGTCACTACACTTTACGATACATCCCGTGAAACGCTTTGAGACTTTGCTCCCGACGTGAAAGACACCTCCTCAGATTCAAAGGGATTATCCAATGAAGAGGACAGTCAGTGGTCAGGACAATGGCACTGACCTGAATTGGACTGACGTTGCGTTGTTCTCCTCGCAGGAGCTTGTCACGACATTGCGTGCGGGTGAGGAGTGCGGACGCGAAGCCAGCGATGGTGAAGATGACGAAAGAACAGACTTCGACAGGTCTTCTACTCAGGAGCCGCCTTCGGTGGAGGACGAAGGCAACAGAGTCATCTATAACGTGTAACAAGACACCGCAGGATCCACACACGAGGTACCAAAAGTGGTGGCCCGTAGAGCCCTCGCCTCGCAAGCGAGAGGACTGCCGAGTTTCGCCCACAAAACATACAGTCGATTCACTTTACAGCGTATCCTGTGAAGCGCTTTGAGACGTCTCGAAGACGCGACAAGTCGCTGCGTCAAATACCAGGATTATCATTATTATTATTGTTACTCTATTTTTTTCTTCCCAGGGTGACTGCGGAGAGAGGCTGATCGATCGCAATTAACGCCCGGAAGCTTCGTTGCTCATCTCAAGGCAGTGTTTCGGAGCCCGGCTCGCCGACCCGCACAGAAGCCCGCACCCTGACCCAGAGAGCGCTCCAACTGTTCAAAACAACCCGAAACTCGTTCCCGAAACGAAAAAATGATCCGGACGCCGTCTTTCTACGGACAATCCACAGCCACAAACAACAACTCACGCAGAGTGGCATCCCGGAGTGCAACCGACCAGCCGTGTCCCACTCTCGTCTGGGTTCTGCGTTGGAACCACCGCAATTTACTGCGCGGAATGAGGCCATTCGGCCCATCGTGCCTGTGCCGGTTCTTCTTCGGAAGCAAGAGAGCTTTCAGTTCCGCTTACCTGCTCTTTTACCCCTATTTCTCCCCCCCCCCCCCACCCACCCCACCCCCAGAGGTCGGAAATCTCACCCGGAAATATTCCAGAGAACAGGATAACTTTCAGATATGCTAAAGGCGTGAGGGAGGGCGAGAGAGTTAAAAGCTGCAGAGTGTGAAGGGCAAAGCTACGTTGGGTAACAGGAAATATTTTGTGACAGATAGAGTAATAAACAGCAGCTAACAGGACGTATCCTCACTCACTCACTCACTCATTCACTCAATTAGTTTTAAACCACTGTCCAGTCTTTCTGCCATTAACTGACTTGTTGAAATCACTAGCGATTTTTTTTTGGGGGTTGGGGGGGGGGCTCAGCTAGTCGGCCGGGTGGGTGGGGGGTGGGTGGGTGGGTGTCTGACACACGCGGAAACCCATCACCGTCGCTTAACCTCCGTTCCTCTGGCTCCGGTCTGCTCCACGTCCCCCGCCCCAACCGCCCTACTATCGGTGGTCGGGCCTTCAGCCTCTCAGCCCGAGGCTCTGGAACTCCATCCCCCAGTGCCTTCGCCTTGCTTCCTCCCTTTCCTCCTTCAAGGCCGGTCTCAAAACCTTTCTCTTTGACCGTGCCTTCAGCTCCCCTCTCGACTCTCTTCCTCCTCCTCGCTCCCTCCCTTCCCTCCCCTCACCCTGACCATTTCCCCCTCCTCTCTCCCTCCCTTCCCTCCCCTCACCCTGACCATTTCCCCCCTGCTCGGGTCATGACCCAACTGTGCAGCGCCTTGGGACGTCCTCCTGACGTGAAAGGCGCTCTATAAATGGAATCTTGTTGTTGTTGTTGTTAAGAGTCTCCAAACCCAACTGAGAATTCCGGGCCTCCCGTCTACACCTGGAGACCCCAGAGAGACATCGTTGGGATGGAATACGCTCTCTCTCTCTCTCTCGCTCTCTCTGTCTGTCTGTCTCCCTCCCCCTGGAGGGAAGTCTCCCGCTTACCTAATTCCGGAGAGTGTTAGGCGTAGTAGAGCCAAGAGCCAAGGTTTGAGGGGAGTCCAGAGTATGCGTTGGGGGGGTAACTGCTGGAGTCTAACCGGCTATAAACCCCCGTTTAGCTTGCCACCAGCAACCTGCTGTCAGTCGCCGAGTGTCAGATTGCCAGCTGAGGGCTTTGAAGTTAATTTTTCTCTTTCTCTCACCTCTGGGATAACCATTAACGCGCGGAAAACCTTTCTGCTCAAGACTGTTTTTTTTTTGTACAGAAATAAAATCTCCCCCTGCGTTGCCTTTTCCAGTTTGTTCCTGTGCATTTAACGACAATAATAATAATAATAATAATAATAATAATCCTGCCGTTTCGATACAGCGCCTTATCACGTCGTCGAGACGTTTCAAAGCGCTTCGCGGGATATAGCGTAAAGTGGAGCGACTGTGTGTTTTGAGGATTATTGCCTCCCGGAAAGTGACCGCCAATCGACTAACAACTTGTAGGTAAACGGAGGTGTGTGTGTGTGTGTGTGTGTGTGTGCCAAGCCTTAGGCAAGGAAACTTGCCTCAGGCTTAGCACTGTGGGTTCCTGTTTAAGGTCTTGATTTAGCCAAATGACAGATTGGAGAGGAAAGAGGTCAGATAAGATGTACTCTTACCGGCCAGGTCACTGTTAAGGATCTCTTTGATGCTCTTTTGAAGGGTGAGGAGATTGCTCGCTGGCTCGCTGGTTGGTCTTCCGCTCAAGATTCCTCTCGTCCAAATTCACCAAAGTAACAGATTAATCGGTCATTCATCTCTGTGTCACGTCACCTCCGCATTTGGTTATACACAACCAAGTCCTCTAGCGTATCAGTTAGACTGAGGGGACTCAGGTTCGATTGCCGGGTGGGTCAGGGCAAATGTCCTTACTCCACACACGCGCGCGTGCGCGGGGGCCTCTATTTACCCGGCAGTAAGTAGGAACCTGATTGCTAGTTGATTGACGGATCGATTTTCCGGGGGTAACAATCCCTCCAGAGAAAAAAAAATGTGGTCACTCAATCCACGACTGTTTGTGGGGCACTATACCGCGGGGATGAAATCCGAGGCAGTTTGGGTGGTCTGGTTGTGGGGGGGGGTGGTCTAAGCAGAGGCAAAACATGACTCTTGATGTCCTTGTGTTTTGGGGTTCACACGTGTCTTGCGCCCGCCTTCCCTGAGCTCCTGGCAGCTCAGCTCCTGGCAGACTAAAGAATGTGGCCTTTCTGTTGAAGGTAATTGGCCACAGGTGAGCGGACCTTCAGCACCACACGTAAAGAGAGGTACATTTCCAGTGCAGTTAACTCTTTCCTTTCATTCCGATTTCCAGTGGCCAGGTTTGGGCAATGGTGATCACGATCACAATAGTCCTCGCATTCGATCCAGCGCCTCACCGCGTCCTCGAGACGTCTCAAAGCGCTTCACGGGAATACGCTGTCAACTGGAGTGACTGTCCGTTTTGCGGGTGAAACACGGCAGCCAATTGCGCCACCAGCGACGTCCCCACAAACAGCCGTGGATTGGGTGACAAAATGTATATTCGTTAAGGGATTATTACCCCTGGAAAGCAATTCGCCAATCGACTAACAACTGGGTTCCTACTTACTGCCGGGTAAACAGAGGCGCATGCGTGGTGGCACGTGTGGCGCGTGTGTGTGGCGTGTGTGCGTGTGTGTGCGTGTGTGCGTGTAGTAAGGAAATTTGCCTAAGGTTTCGCCCTGACCTGACCTGCCTGGGAATCGAACCCGGGTCCTCTCGCTTGAGGCGAGGGCTCTAACCCCTGAGCTACAGGGGTTCCACCCTATACATTCTGAGTACAATGTCTGGGCATCTGAACTCAACTGATTTTAGCAATAATAACCCACCCCGTTTGTCCCGTTTACACTTGCCTCACGCGGTTTTGATACGGCGAGTCAACTGTCATATCATTGGTCACATTCGGAGGCTCTCACACACGCACACACACACGCACACGCGGTGTAAATCACACATTCCAACCACTGGGAGTCTGAGTATCATATCATCAGCCAATTTGCCTTCAGTGACGTCCACACACAGCCAGTTTTATCCGAGGGGAATTGTCGGCCAGGACACCGTGTGTGAGAGAGAGAGAGAGAGAGAGACACTCCCTTCCTTTCCGAACAGTGTCGCGGGAGAGATCTTTAACGTCCGTCTGAACGGGGCACAGACGGGGTGGGGGGGGGAGTGAGTGAGGTTTATCATCTCATCCGAAGGACGGTGTTTCCCATTCGCGGTGCGCGCCAACCATCGAACGTACAGCGATAATAATAATAATAATCCGTGCGTTTGACCCGGGACCTTATCCTTGGCGTCGGGAAGTCTCAAAGCGCCTCACGGGATACGCTGTCAAGTGAATGGATGGCCTATTTTCTGGGCGAAACGCGGCAGCCAATTGCGCACAGCAGCGTCCCCCACACAAACAGCCGTGGATTGAGTGACCGAATGACCCGGAACAGTGTTTGTGTGTAAGAGTTAACACAAACATCGGTAGAGAACCTGAGGCACCACATACCAAAGTTACAAGCGGTTTCCAAAGAAACCCTAAGTCAATGTTTCACACCCAAATTGTCCTCGTCAGAACTATTAACCTTAAAGCTGCCAAATTAAGGTCAGGCCCTTCGATGCCTCTCAGAGCTCAGGGATAACAATAATCCTTGCGTTTGATATAGCGTCTTATCTCGTCGTTGAGACGTCTCAAAGTGCTTCACAGGGGATAAGGCAAGGTGCAGTGACTGTGTATTTGGTGGGCGAAACGTGGCAGCCAATTGCGCGCAGCAGCGTATCAAAGGCAAGGATTATTATTTGCGGTTGTGCTATTTTTATTACTGAGCAAGGAATCAGGCCGTAGCAGTTAAAGGGTTAAGCCGATCCCAATTCTAGTTACATCATTAATTGCCGTCAAGTCACGTCAAGATCAGCCCAGCAACAGCGATCTGGGGACATACAAACACGCACTCACACGCAAGCCCACGCGCTCACACGCACACAGACCGAGGAACTTCCCGGTGGTTGTGTACGAGAGATCAACGTGGAAGGAACAGAGCAGAACACGACAGGAGAAGAGTTACTTTGAAAGCATTTATATGGACCCTGTTGTGGCCGGGGGTGACTTTACCCGGTCAGTCACACAGCCACACACACACACACACGCACAGTGACTCTCTCTCGCTCTCGCTCTCACTCGCTCGCTCAGTCTTTTCTCTTTGAGGAGAGGGAGGAGTGTTTGATTTGCCGTTTAAAGTTTGGAGGCTGGCGGTGGGAAACCCGGTAAGTTTCTCTGCTTTGTTTGAACTTGTCGTCACGGTCCGACAACATAACAATGTAATATAATAGTCCTCTCCTTCGAGACAGCCCCTAATCGCGTCTCCGAGACGTCTCAAAGTGCTTCACAGAATGTACTGTAAAGTGAATTGATTGTGCGTTTCGCGGGTGAAACCCGGCAGCCGATCGCGCACAGCAGAGCCCCCACAGACAGTCGTGGATTGAGTGACCAAATGTGCTTTTTTTTCATATACGATTGTTTTTTTGGAAGGGATTATTACCCCTCGGAAAAGCCATCCGCCACTCGACTAACAACCGGGTTCCTACTCATTGCCGGGTTCACGGAGGCTGTGTGTGTGCAGTAAGCAAACACAGTTGGGTGTGTTTCTTTTAAGGAGTGGCTTTCAAGTCCTTTCATGACTCAAGGTGATTCTCCGCAGGACTGTACTGTACTGTACTGTAAAGCGTAGTGACTGTGAGTGAGTGAAACGAGGCAATAACAACTAACATTTACCAGCGCCTTTCACGTGGGGAGGACGTCCCAAAGTGCTGAACAGTCAGGGATCAGGACCTGAGCATGGGTGGTGGGGAGGAGGGGATGGGGGGGTGGGCAGGGTTGGAATGAGGGAGGACACAGGGGGTAGAAGGGCGGCTGAAGGCACGGTCGAAAAGGAGGGTCTTGAGTCGTGCCTTGAAGGAGGCAAGAGAGGGAGCGAGGCGAAGGGATTGCAGGATGGAGTTCCAAAGGGTGGAGGCAGCGAGACTGATGGCAGGGTGGGTTCGGGCAGGAGACCTGCCGAGCAGAGGGAGTGGGTCAGAGATGTAGGAGGGGGCAAAGCCGTGGAGGGCCTTGAAGGTAACAACGAGGATTTGAAATTCTATTCTCTGGGGGATGGGGAGCCAGTGGAGTCGGGAGAGGGTGGAGGCGATGGGGTCACGGAGCCTGGTGCGGGAGAGGACACCAGCTGCAGAGTTATGGTTGATCTGCAGTTTGTGGAGGAAAGAGTCGGGGAGGCCGAGCAGGAGGGAGTTGGCGTAATCGAGCCTTGAGGTGACAAAGGAGCGTATGAGGGTTTGGGCGGCTTGAGTGTGAGGCAGTGGCAGAGTCGGGCGATGTTGCGGAGGTGGGGGAAGGCAGAGCGGGTCATGGCACAGATATGGGGGAGAAAGGACAGTTGAGGGTCGAACAAGACGTCCGGGTTCCTGGCTGACTTGGTGAGGTGGACTGTGCAACCGTGGACGCTGATGCTGCCAGCGTCTGAGGTGCTGAGGCGCTGGCGCGAGCCAATCAGGAGGACCTCAGTCTTGCTGACATTCAGTTGTAGAACATTACCTTCTCATCCAAGACAATGTCAGTCAGACAGTCTGTCAGGACATCAGTTGGCCTGGAATCGCCAACCTGCGCCTAACACTCTCCGGAATTAGGAAAGCAGGATGTCCCTCCAGGGAGAGAGAGAGAGAGACGCATTCCAAGATATCTCCACTTCCTCTCTACCATTTTGATTTCCGTTTCTTTCAGAAGCCAGAACGTCAAACGACCAACAGTCCCAGGAGACAGAAACAATCTCGTGTAGAGACAGACCCACACCCTCCCACAGGTCCCATTGTGTGTTATTGCCGGGTTATTATAACACAATGAACACAACGGTTTCCACAACCACCCCACCAGGTAAGCATCACTTACCCGCCCGAGATGCTCAACATTTCGCCCACAAAATGTGGGACTAAGCCGTGGAGGGATTTGAACATGTGGATTCAATGGTGCCCTCCGAGGGACGACAGATTGTTGTATTTTCAAGACTTTCCTGCTCGCTTGTTCCCCCAGGTGTACAGGATCAACTCACAACCCCATGGTCTGACACTGAGCACATCAACACTGTGATTATTGGAGGTAAGAATGTGTTCGGAGGAACTGCTTAAGTATGGATCCATTTCCTGTAGAATCCTACAGCACAGAAGGAGGCCATTCGGCCCATCGTGCCTGTGACCGACTCTTTGAAAGAGCCACCAACTTGTCCCACTCACTCCCGCGCTCTCACCCCCAAAGCCCTGCACAATGCTCCTTTCCTTTCCAAGTCCCTATCCAATTCCCTTTTGAAACCTACCATCGGATCTGCTCCCACCAGCCTTTCAGGCCGTGGGTTCCAGACCGTAACAACTCTCTGGGCAAAAAAAAGTCTCCTCGTCTGGTCTCCCCTCTGGTTCTTTTGCCAATTATCTTAAACCTGTGTCCTCTGGTTACCCGCCCGCCCGCTCGCCCGCCAGAGGAAACAGCTTCTCCTCATTGACAAATTTCCAGCAAAAAGCCATAGTCTTTTGTTGGTGGATTGGCGGATCTCGCCTTGGGGAAGGAGCTGGGCAAAAAGTCATCTCATGTTGTATTGACCGCTCTTAACTCTTGCAGCTGTGATCACGATCTTGGTAGTCAGTATCCTGTGCTTGGCTGGGCTGGTGTGCAGATACATGCACCACCAGAAAGGCAGTTACATCACCTACGAGCACTCTTCAGAGGAGGACGTCACCTCGCTTAGAATCAAGGAGATCCCGAGGGAAGAGAAGATGGAGTATTTCATGTGACTCGAGGCCTTCTCCGCAACAGCCCGGCTTAGCGTTAAAATGTATTAAGATGCGCCCGGCACAAGCTCGGATGCAAACATGCAAAGGATGTATTTGTTTCCTGTAGTGGTCAGTGGTCAGAGCCCTCGGCTCGCAAGCGAGAGGACCTGGGTTCCACTCCCTTAATTAGGCAAGTTTCCTTACTCCTCACACACACGCCTCTGTTGTCAGTCGATTGGCGGATGGCTTTTCCGGGCTTTCCCCCCCACCCCTAAAGAAAAATAATAATGCGATCACTCGATCCATGGCCGTTTGTGGGACGCTGCTGTGCGCAATTGGCTGCCGCACGTCTCCGCCTGAAAATACACGTCGATTCACTTCACAGTAGATTCCTGTGAAGCGCTTTGAGGCGTCTCGACGGCGTGATACGGCGCTATATCAAATGCAAGGATTATTACTATTCTCCCGCGACGCTACTGAAAAAGAGGGGTCTCTCCGAATAAATTGATCGTTCTTGGCCGTTCGTAGGAACCTTCCTTTGCCAACAAACACACAGCGCGACAGAATTTGCGCGTGAATTGCTTTGATGTTACGGCGGCTGTAACGGATGCCAAGACGTTAAATTATTAGCAGCGAGCTTTCCGATAGTCAGTGAAATATATTAGTCTGTCCCTTTGGATGAGACGTTAAAACCAAGGTCCTGCCTGTTTCAGTTGGACGTCAAAGATCCTGTGGCGCTGTTGGAAAAGAGAAAGCAAGTTCCTCTCTCCCGGTGTCCCGGCCGATAATCCCTACAAACAAATAAAAAGAAATGGTCATTTGCTCCACAGCTCTCCTTGTGGCATATTACTGTCCGCGGTTGACTGCCTGCCGCAAAATACACAGTCACTTCACATTTTATATCCCATGAAGCGCTTTGAGACGTCTCAATGGCATAATAAGGCCCTCTATCAATATATATATATATATATCTAAATGTATTATTGTTATTATTCCACGTTTTGCTGTGCGCTGTTGCGTTTGCTCACAAAACACAGTCACTGCAATTTACAGTCAACCCTGTGAAGCGCTTTGGGATGTCCTCCCGAGGTGAAAGGCGCTGTAAAGATACTTATTATTTTGTTATACAAACACTGGGGAATGCTTTTTTTTTAACAGTGAGCTTCATGATATGCATCGGTCACGAATGTATTTAATGTATTTAAGGGTTTTTACTTTGCGTTGTGAGGTCTTTTATCTGTTGTGGGCGAGTTGTACGTTGGTGTCATTAAGCTATTATTTTTTGAAACAAAATGCTGACGGAATTCTCTCTCAATAAATCCACTCAACTTTCCGGTGAGTAAACTTGATCGACGACTTACTGTTAATTTATTGTTAGTCCTCCAGGGAGGGAGGGAGGGGGAAGAGAGAGAGAGAGAGAGAGAGCGCATTCCATCCCGACAAACTATCTCTTAAAAATGCCAAATAAACTCATCAAAAAGTTTCGGGGTCGAAAACCAACCCAAAGCGCTTAACGTGGGACGTGACCCGTGCAAGCGACTGCCAGGAGGGTAGAGGGTGAGCGGGATGGACCCTGGGGCTTCTTGCGTCTCGGCAGTTGTTATGTTCTAAGTGGTTTGAGGAGTTATTTGCAAATCTCACGGATATCAAGTATTGGGATCAGATGCGAGTCTGAGACCCGGAGACATTCATCTGGGTGTAGCGGAACAAGCCTTGTACAGACCCAGAGGTCTCTGTGCTTTTAATATTGAGTTGTAATAATAATTTGGTGACTCAGTTCATGACCGTTTGTGGGACATTGCTGTGCGCAATTGGCTGCCGCGTTCGCCCACAAATATACAGTCGATTCACTTTACAGTGTGTTCTGTGAAGCGCTTTGGGACGTCCTCTCCCGACGTGAAAAGCGCTATATCAAATGCAAGGATTGTTATTATAATATCCTGTGCAGCGCTTGGAGACTGTGACAGACCGCGACGGACACCAACAAACATTCCGCACCAGCCACGGAAACCGAGGTCGGGCGAATCAAGTGCAGAAACAGGACTATTTCAAAGGGTATTTTTATTTAAAAAAAACACCGAAACAAGAATTAGGAACAGAACCATATTAAAGATCCCTGAACTAACGTTCAAGCCTTACAACTTCATTTACTTCAGTTTATTCTTTTTTTTTTTAAAAAACAAATGAACCTTTCGTTTCTCCTACATGGGCTGCGATGTTGCATTCATTGCCGAGTTATATTGCAATAGGGACTACTTCACTTATCCACTTTTTCCTCCCAAAGAACAATCTCTTTCCGGTTGATCAATTAGGCAACTTCCTTTGCCGTCCCCTCTTCTACGAGGATACAGTGCATTGCAAAGCAATTTCGCGTCGTTCTGAAAAACACTGCAACTAACTGTAGGTGGGACCTTGGTCTCCTTTCGCCTCGCTAATTTTTACGCTCTCGACTGCAGGGCATTTTCTGATCACCATTCGGAAACGTTCAGTGAGTTTAAACGCTCCATTACAAAATGGTATTGTGTTGCTAATTTGCCCCCACACACACACACGCGCGCGCACACGCGCGCGCACACACTTGCATTTAATTTAATTGGGGAAAGAGTCAAAACAGTACAACCACCACACAAAAAAAAACACACGTTTTAAACACTCGGTTCGGCGGACTTAAAAGGCAGCCTATGTAAAAGAATAAAAGAGTCATTTGTTTGAAAGAAAAACACCCATAAAACAAAACTGAATTAATTTGTGGAACAAGATGCCAATTAATACGGAGGTCAGCTGCCGATAAACAACACCGAAACCCTAACCAAAAAAACTGTGGGCATCATCGTAAATGGACTAAAAAAATGGCTTCTCCTCCCATCAAAGACCATTAAAAGCCAAACATCCAAAGATATAGGGGCTCCGAGCCACCAGCCCTGGTGAAGGGCACTATGACCAAGCTGTGGTGATGCGTTAAAAAGTTGGGGCATGGTTTTAAAAAGTTTCAGAATTCAAATCGTGGGCGCCAACAGTCCACCCCGGCCACATTTTGTCTTTGCTGCTTCCTGGGAATAAGACGGGATGGATTTCTCCCCCCCCCGCCCCCCCCCCAATTGTGGTGACGATTAGAATCAGCCGGATTACGAGCGCGAGGTTGCACCCTCCTCGGCTTTCCAACTTTATTTTTTTTTCCCCGTTGCTGTTGTTGAGCGCGGCGGGGGAAGCTATTGAAAGGAGAGTTTGCCTGAAGAATAAAAGGAAGAGCGGGAAGACGCCCGGCATTCGAGTCAGGCCCGAACTGAAGAAAAGGTCGTGATGGCATTCCAACATGATAAAAGGCTCCGTTTTGGGTTTAATTGAGTTAAGGTCACTGTTGAGGGTGTCTCGTTCCCAACTACGGGTTGTCCGCTCAACGTTAAATGGTACTCCAGTTTTGATTCTGTGACGGCAAAAACGCTTTTCAGTCATTCTAGACGCCTGGAAGCCTTTGCCCGACACACTGCTGCCCTCGTGTTACAAGCACAAAAGAAAAAACCTTGCCCACCCCATCCAGTTCGGCCAATTGTAACCGGAACCGAGACGCAAGCCGAAGGTCACGTTCATCCTACAGTGATTCGGGTGGGAACGTACCCATTTGAGGCGCTGAACTAGACACGTGAGGTGCTCGCCGGATGATGCACTGCACTGCACCTTCCAACGTGAGATCGATTTAGTGCCACGCAAACTGAAATTAAAACAGTTCTTGATTGGGATTAGAATTTTTAATCGGAAAATAGTGTGAAATCAATCCGTTAGAACATTTATTTCCACGGTCATCTGTCTGTCTGTCAGTCACCCAGACTGTAAAAGTCCTGTCTTATTATTGTGCCTCTTATAAAACTGTCATTGGCGGTGGGTGGGAAGCGACTTTACTCGGGTCCAAACCGCTGATAATTGACCCTTTCAGGAGTGGAATTTCCGCACTTCACAATGAGAAAAACAAAAAAAGTTGCCATTTTTAATCGAGGAATAGAATATGAACAACAAGCATTCTATGGCTTTTGTGTTTACTTTTCCCCCATCCACACCCTCACCCCACCCCCTCGCTCTTGAGCATTTAACATCGGTCATAAACAACAGAATAATGTGTGCAGAGGTTAACACATTGATAGATGTCCACAGTTTTTAAGTGCTGAAAATGACCATTTCCCAGTCCTCAAAAGCGATCGAAACAAACATAGCAAATCCTAGTGTGATCATGAAGTGCTGTTCGGTCAGTTAAGGTCCATTTCTAACCCCCGCCACCTTACGATAATTAATTAACAAGTGCAACAGATTAATTCTTTAGTTTTAAGTTTTTTAAAAATGTTAAAAAATAAAACTGAGAAGTTGAAAGGCACAAAAACATTTTTCTCAATTCACTCGGCTTAAGTTTTCTTATGAGCGTTTACGCTATGGGGGGGGTGGGGGGGGTGGGGGTGGTGGGGTCGGGCGGGTGGTGGGGGAGGGGGAAGGGAGGAGGTACACTAAATCAAACTCAATTCTGGAAGAAAAAAGCTTAAAGGTGCCAAGAGGCTTTGTCACCAAGAAGGATGCACCCCATTATTTGCTAAACTGTCAGCAAGGTTAAATGTTTCTAAGGTAGTACATTCCGAAGATCACCGCAGCTCCCCTCCCCCCTCCTGCCGACTACCAGACCGAGTAGCCGCCGTCCGAACCGCCTAGGAACCAGGTGCCTTTTCTCTGCGTCACCACGACGTTGGCACCTTGCATGGCCGCAATCTGGGCTGCGTTCGGAGGACAGCCGGGCGGAGGAGGCTGGAGCAGAACACAAGACAAAGAGGGGGAAAAAACAACAGATTAAGACTGCGCGCCACGGTATGTTTCTCTGGTCAAGCTTTCCCGCCGACTTGGCCAGCTGGAGCCATGCTACCCGCCAGGGCTTTTGGCTTGGGGGCTAACAGGAGTCTGTGAGTGAGATGTCTCCCCGACGTTCAGTGACTGGTTGGCCCTTCCGGGTCCTGCCGATGGATGAGCCAGGCCGGGCTGTGCTGTCGCCAACAGCGAATGCCCTGGAATACTGCGAGCGGGCTCGACCGCAATATTCCAAGTCGACCCCAAATCGTACAGGTAAATGTTTGTTTGAAGACCAGCACGTCTCTGGTAATCTTGCCCACTCTTCAAGTACTCCCTGAGCCGAGTCGGGAGTGCGCGTTGGGGGTAACTGCTGGGGAGTCTAGACAAGCTAGAACCGAACAGCTTGCCATTGAGAGCGCCGTCTGGCAAGCTCCGGAGACTGGGTACGGGAGGGAAGAAGCCGCACGGCAGGACGCAGGAGCGCCGCTGGGAACACTTACCGGAATGCTAGCGGAGGCTCCCGCTCCAAACCTGGCACCTGGATCGAACCCTCGCTCCATGAGGACGGTTGAGGATTGAGGGAATAATTGTGGCACCGCATAGTAGGTCATGGGCATCCCAGCACCAACTGGCCCCATGGGCATCTGAGCAGTTACCGGGACATACATACCACCTGGAAAGCCAGCACCAACATTAGCTGGAGCGTGCACATATCTTGGATCGTACAGCTGGAAACGCAAACAAAACCAATTTAGTTTTCTCAGGAAACCTTCTGTGCATCATAGAACGGACATGAACACGGTTACATAGAATGAATCTACAGCTCTGAAACAGGCCATTTGGCTGATATATATAAAATAGATATACTCGATCCAATAATGACATATCAGAATTGCGTGTTTTTTTTTTGCAATCTGCTTCAGGACAGCAAATTAATTCCGTTTCTGAGCTCTCTATAAATCTATGAATTATTGCCAGTACAGATCATAACCATGCAAGGCTGTCATTTTACTTCAGGGTTCTAACATTGTCAGTAAATCCACTTATTATCTGGAGCAATTTTCTAAAGTAAATTGCAATCCAATCAATCACTTTCAATGATCTTCAGTTCCATGTCAGCTTTCCATGACCTGGTCTCTTATCATTAAGTGGTATTGTAATCTCATAGAGTATTACAGCACAGAAGGAGGGCCATTCGGCCCATCGTGCCTGAGCCATCTCTTTGAAAGAGCTACCCAATCAGTCGCACTCCCCCGCTCTTACCCCATAGGCTTGCATTTTTTTTTCTGTTCAAATATCTATCCAAATCCCTTTTGAATCTCATGTGATACTACAATAATTTTAAAAAAGAGCCACTGCTGACAGCCACCCATGTTCAGTCACGACAGGCGGAAGGGTCAAAAGTCATTTATTTTGAGCAACCGAATGAATGACACTAACGATGCCATATAGCAATAATGCAATTTCTAGAATCAATTTTAATTTCAGTTCCTGTAGGCGAACGAGGTGTCTATTCTCAAAAGGATTTGGCAATAGCACCTCTCCTCCTTGGGAGCCAACGGATGTGAAAATTGATAAATTGATACCCTAAAAAGAGGAGAATTATTTCATTTTCAAAGCATCAAGCGCCTAACAAAATGAGACAAAATAGTAAGCGTGCTAACGTTTAACGATAAATGCTGTAATTGCTGGGGCAATAGAGTGAACAGTTCTAGGATTAGAGCCAATTAATACACATTGTACATTTATTATTTCTACCATCACACGCAAGCAAAAAAAAAAATCGCAAGCCTTCAAAAATGGTGTTAAGCTCAACCACATACAGTATTACATTGGACAGAATGCAATACTGAATTAGATGCTGATGTGAAAAGAGAAAATTGGGATAATTAAACCTATATTAAAAAAAATCAGCGTTTCGTTTAAAGCCCAATCAGTCAGAAAGTGTGTTTTTTTCCCTCAAAAAAGGCAGACCATTTTTTTCCCCCGCCCAAGAACAGATTAGAAGATTTCTGGTAGGAAATAATATCTGGCGATCAAGTAGATAGTTTGGGGACACGTCATGTCAAGCGATTTCCAGGATGGTTGGTGGAAGGTGAACTGGATGGACCTCGGTCTTCTTTTGCCTAGAGAATTCTTATGTTCTTACAGCGACAAGGGATTCCGACCTATTCAAGAAACATTACGATTCCAGATCTGACACGAGAGCACGGCAGAATCTCGGATCCACAACCTACAAAAGCCCGAGTTTTTGATGAGCTTGTTAGACCACAGCTGGGATGAAAATATCCAAGTTTCTCAGGCACGTGGCATTTTATGGCTTACTATTGGCGAGGGTCAGCACATAACTTATGCAAAGGAATGTCTGGTAGAAGCTAAGATGGAACACGTTACCTCTGGAGCAGTGTACAAGTGTACGGTTAAATTAGTTCATTCACCTCTGCATAGGACGGAGGGGCTTCTGCGTATGCGGGGGGCTGAGGGACCTGGACTGTTGGGTAGTGTGGTGGAGCCACAGTTGCCTGCTGCGTGGGATAACATGGCTGTTGAGAATATGGACCTGCAACAAACAAAGAAAAACACAAATGCTGTGTGAAGATATTCTGTATTTATAAGAATAAAACAATCATTACATTGATGCTGATCTCTCAGGCCCTGCCCATCCCAACACATTGTTTTCGCTTCCCAATTTTTCTCCTCATGAATGCATCCCATTTATTTTTATTTATGGTTGCATCGGGTCCTGTTGCCCTCCAGCACTGCAACCAACTGATTGTTACTCACAAGATCATCAAAGATCTTTGGATGAAGAGGGCCCTTTAGCCTATTTGATCTCATCTTTCCAAAATAGCCACCCTACTGCCTCCCCTCACAGCCTCAAACTATTCACTGAATGGGTCCAACACCCTGGTCTCAACCACCCTTACTGATTCCATTTGTTAATCATCCTCTGGGACCGTTTTAATGTGAACGGACCGAGCAAGTTTCAATAACCTTGTATTTAATGCTGGTGATCCAGAATCAACAGAGTTCCATCTTTCCCTTTCAAGCTCGTCGGTTCTTTCAAGAATTCCAGAACAGAGCTGATTTTTTTTTTTGGTGTCAAGAAAAACCTTCATATTATAGGTTAGATTCCTGACCCAGATTCCTGACAAACTGTACTTATATTCAAGAATCATCTGGAGGAAAGAAATTGCTGCATTGCATCCAGGTTCAGTCAATCCTGCTGAAAACCAATATGATTTAGAAACTTATTCTAGTCTGTCTTATAGGGCAGATTATTCCAAGGCAGAATTAACGCTAAGCAATGTCCCTAAATGCAAGAGTCCCTTTCAACCACCTGGAACTCTCTCCCTCCACCAAAAGGCTGTGGCTTATGGCTGGATCCATTCACATTTTCAATTTGAGGTGGGTAATGTTTGTCAGGTCAGGGAATCAAGGGCTTTGGGGCAAAGGCGGGTGCCTGGAGTTGGGGTACATGGTCTAATAGAATGGCAGAACAGGCTCGAGGGGCTGAATGGCCTCCTGTTCCTATGTTCCTAACAAAGATAGTCATCGCTACAAACGACCAAAAAAGATTTGTCACCATGACAGTAACTGGTACCACACAACTATTGCCCCTGTCTAGAGGAAAATAAACTCCAATTGCGATCTGTTCATTCGAGAGTTGCGCACAAGCTAACGATGCTCAAGATTTGAAAACAACTGCCATTTAGTGGGGGAACGAGGCTTCATTCAGAAACCAATGCAAATATCTCCGATTCTGTGGAAGAGTTAAGGCTGTTCAGGTCATTATGAAAGAGTAAAGAGAATTTGGAGGAATCTACAATTTGCTGCATAAACCGCAAATCTTTTTTTTTTTTTGAATTGCCATCATTTGCCCCACTCGGGAAACGGGGCCAGAACGTAAATGGGCGACTGGGAATACACGCGGAATGAGACTCTTCCCCCCCCCCACCCCCGGACGGCGACTACGCTGCCCTGCGCAAATTGGCCGCCGCCTTTCGCCCACCCAACATGCAGTCAATTCAGTTTAGAGTAGGTCCTTTGAAGCGCCTCGAGACGTCTCGAAGACGTGATGAGGTGCTGTATCAAACGCAAGGGTGATTAGCGTTACCCCCGTGGGTGTTTTTAAATGCACCTTTTTTTAAAAAAATACGTTCTAACATGCTCAAGTCTCCATCTTGTGGCCAGGGTATGCAGTTTGCTTTCACTTTCCTGCAATATGACGTCACATTTTTTTTCTCCCCCCCCACACACACACACGGGTAAACAAGACAAACAGGAAGCCATGAAAGCAATTCATATCCTGCGAGAGAACGGAGTAGATGACCACACCAGGAGGGTATGAAATAATAATGCCCCAGGGCTTTTCAATCAAAATCAAATCCTAGATAAGCAATTTACATTGAGATCAGGTATACACGCTGAAGTTTAAATGCGAACCATACGGATCCTACTGACATTATTGCTGTTTTATTACTGTACACCGATTGCTCTCAATTGTTTTCATTTCATGGGAATGCAAGGAAAGTTAAGAGCAGTTGACACAGAAATACTGCAGGTGACTCCCAATTTAGGTTTGAATAGATTGTAGGGTTAAGGGAAAAAAAATGAATGTTTTCAGCCGTCACAGCCTTCGGGTTTTGGGAAAGCAATTTAAAGATAGAGACAACGCAGCAAGTTTTAACAGGAAAAGATGGAGGCTTTTGAAAAAAGACTGTGTGCAAGACAAATATTTCCTGAACAGGGTACAGGATAAAGTGGATTAACTTCTGACACACATTTTATTGCCTGTTACACAACACTCCCAATTTTA